TTTCTACTTTGCCAATTTATTGTAATTCTCTTTCAGTCAACTGAAGCTAAGAGTTGGCTGGAAATATAAGCATTATAAAGGCAAAATTACAGGCAACTGAACACAGAAAACCAGATGGAGCAGTGACTCCTCCCAACTGCTTTTTCTAAATGGCATGGCTGTTGGATATGTTTAACATACAGTAATCCCAAGGGGGGGGGGAATCAAAATTAGGACAGCTTTAAGTGTTCTCCCAGTTCTATGGGACCAACTTATGAAAATATATCTATATAAAGGTGTTGAATAAAATGTAAGCCCTCCACTATCATAGCTTCACTTTCAATAGAGATTATTTTAATAAAGGAAACAATCAGAAACATTTTAGCTTTATAAACTATAGATGCAGGTCACTGCATGGGCCTTTGATAAGTTCCAGGTATTATTCAAAAGTACCGGTTTTAACCTATATAGCTTGGTTCTTCGATATTTTTGGGCTGCCTCCTTCAAATAGAACCACTCTATTGTTTACACTTCTGACAGAAAGTGATGCAGAACATTCTACCAGGAAAGAAATTGATGGACAGGTCCAGAGGCAGAATTTCTCAGTTTCTCTTTCTCTGCACTTGAAATAGCCTTTCCAGATGTTTGGTTGGCAACCTCTTTGTTTGCATTTAGAAAAGCCTTTAAAAACCATATTGTTCGATACACCATTCCTCATCACTGGGTGCAGGTGGGTGAGTGGGTGGGTAAGGGTATTGACCTTATTATTACTTTGCAAACTTAGGTCTCTTTTTACTCTTATTTATAAACTGCCAGGAGTCATGCTGAATTCATACATTCGTTCATTGAGGGTGGGAAATGGAGTATGTGTGCTACTACATAAACAGCAACTGAAAGGAAAGGAGGCAGTTCTGTTCCCTTTCAAAAAATCTTGCCCTTCCTCCCCCCCTCTCCAAGGTGAGTAAAGCAAATCCCTCCTAAAGCAAATTCGCAAATGTTACAATAGGCAGCAGGGCATACTTGCAAAGAGTAAGGGCTGCTTCTGCTGATTCAACACTGACATGCTTTCTTACTTTGTATGCAAGAAAGAAGGCAAAATGGTGAGAAGCCTCAGCAGAAAGGTCAACAACATTTGCAAAAGTGTTTTGGAGACCAACTGACAAAGACTGGATAGAAAAGCCAAAAGCAATTATATTGTTAATTGTTGACTGTAAACAAAGACAGCCCGTGAAACATGGCTCAGCTACACAGTCTAATTGGAAGCCTCACTCATGACATTATTTTTCCTTAACTATGACTGCAGAGGGAAGGCATCAGACTCAAGGACCCCTGGCCGCCCACCAGCTGGGGCTGCCTGGCAGGAAAGCTGACTCTATTTTGGGGGGAATTGTCACCTTACCATCAACCGAATGCTGCATTCTATTTATTGCCTCATTTTTTAACATGCCATTTGGGAGGAGATGTAATATTTACTGAATAACCAGGCTTCTATGCTTTTTGTAAAATTTTATGGACCAGATGGAAACAGACTTGATCAACTGCCAGAATAAAGATGATGATGATAATAATAGAGATATTGCAAACTCTCCTTAGGATTGTGCTTGGCTACTGTTGACTGCAAGGGCACATCCATCTTCTTTTCCTGGCTATAGTACAGAAGTTGACTGTTTCTGCCTTCTTTTTAGATGCTTTTCAATGTTCCAGTCTTGGCTATAGCTCTGAAATTTCCTACTGGTCTCCCATCCAGATAATAGCCAAGTTTAATCCGGTTTAGTTTTTAGAGATCGACAGAAGTCCACTTGATATTGCCTCCTAGTAGTATTGCCAGAATAAGAGACTGCAATGCCAAGGCAGTCTCTCTCTCTCTCTCTCTCTCTCTCTCTCTCTCTCTCTCTCTCTCTCTCTCTCTCTCTCTCTCCTCCCTCCCTCTCTCTCCCTCTCTCTCTCTCTCTCCCTCCCCCTCCCTCCCTCCCCCCCCTCTCTCTGTGTGTAGGACAAGATAAAAATGCATTCAAGATTAGGGGTTTTTTTTTGTTTGTCTAGTGCTCACATATGAGCTGATTTTATATCTGCTCGTGATCAACTATGTGCTTGCATTTGCTATGTACTGCAGGAGACATATCTGTGTGGTAAATGGAGCAAGGCTATTTTGGAGGAATAGATTCTATAGCCCAGTAACCTGGAACATATTAAAATGTCTTCCCATGTTCATGATGCTTTCTAGATATTTGTTGCTCTGTAATTGATGCATGAAGATGGTTGATGTTTTGGATTGTGAATCTAAGCACTGCTGCAGTGAAATTTGTCTTTCATGGTAAAAGAAAAGACAAGTGCAAATTTCTCTAGGTCTCAGAATATATAACTTAATCCTGTGTTCTGCCTCCTAAGATTCAAATCTAAAGTTATCCAGCCGTGAGTAATCAGAGTTGCAGGATGGTTAAAAGAAAGTGCTTTACCTAGTACATAGTTAAGGTAGAGGCTAGGTTTCAAAATAGTTTTTCCCAAATATTTTTTTTACAAAATTTTTGTTCCTCCTATCCCTTAATTATTCTTAGCATGTTTAACTTATTTTTCATCCTGAAAATGTTCATTCTGTCTTTTAAATTGTTGGTAAATAAACATTCCAAGTTAAGTTCAATGAAGACTGTCATTTTCTCGGCAAAAAGTGTGCAAGAGATTTGTCGTAGCCTTTTTTCATTTTCTCAGTCCAACCTACCATTTGGGATTTCTGGTAGTTTCCCATTCTAGGTCCACTGAGCATAACTTTTCTAGATCAGCCAAAATCAGATAGATGCTGTCTCCTGGCTAGCTATAAAATGTAATTGAATGCTAATCTCCAACCAGCACAGTGCATTTCTACAACTGACTTTCTATAAATCTAAGCTTACAAAATACATTTATTTATATTTCACACTCTTCTTCCTCCTACAATCTAAGAGTAGCACATGCTTTTGCAATGCAAAATAAGCTGGGAATAGTTGTTAAAAACAATTAGCTGCATTTATAGCCCAGTTGTGAAATCGAGTATTACATACACAAATAGAGCACTCTAGCAGTTATTTTTTTAGTCTATGCCAGATTAAAAACATCACCAGCTCTTTGTGATTTTATCATATTAGTGGTGTTAAGATTTATTTGTATGAACTGCAATATATTCTAAATCACAGTAAAACTATTTTCTTTGTAGAATTGCAATTCTGTGGAGTTTATGAGCAACCCATTTCTCTATGCGCAAGAACAACCCACCACAGCCAACTCACCACAGCCAATTCTCCACAGGACAACATGCCGCAGGACAGTTCAACACTGTGTTAATTATTTCATTCAGTTACTTTTATTATTGGTGACATGTTTTCACTGAAATTATAACTCTTGTATTTCTGGATTGACTTTATTTTATTATTATTGGCCACGGTTCTGTCAAAATTAATTTAACTTTTGTATTTGTTGAATCATCCCACACAAGTTGTTCTGTGGTGAGTTGGCCATGGAGAATTGTCCCAAGGAAAGTTGGCTGTGGTGAGTTGGCCTCAGTGAGTGGTCCCATTCCAGCTCAGCTTACTATGTCTTCTCTAGATACTCTACTACAGGGGTCTTCAAACGTGGCCCTTTTATGACTTATGGACTTCAACTCCCAGAATTCCTCAGCTAGGCATGCTGGCTGAGGAATTCTGGGAATTGAAGTCCACAAGTCATAAAAGGGCCATGTTTGAAAACCCCTGCTCTAGTACCACATTTCAAGGGAAAAGGTAGCCTGTTTTGCAGCTCTCTGCTCCATTACATCAGTAGGAACTTATTTTTTTTTTCACATAACCAGACAAATGCACATAGCACAGTGTCAGAATCGGGATGGAAATACAGGTAGTCCTCAACTTACAATAGCTTATATAGTGACCGTTCAAAGTTACAACAGCACTGAAAAAAGTGACTTATGATTGTTTTTCACTTACAAGCTTTGCAGCATTCCTGGATCATGTGATCAAAATTCAGACACTTGGAGACTGACTCATACTGATGACCATGGCTGTGTCCCAAGGTCATATGATTGCCTTTTGTGACCATGTGACAAGCAAAGTCAATGGGGAAGCCAGATTCACTTAACAACTGTCTTACTAACTTATCGACTGTGGCGATTCACTTAACTGTGGCAAGAAAGCTCATAAAATGGGGCAAAACTCACTTAACACATTTCATTTAGCAACAGAAATTTTGGGCTCAATTGTAGTTGTATGTTGAGGACTACCTATATAAAAGGAAAACTTTTTATTTATAGGTTGAGGGGGAGGAGGGCAGGGAAATGTTGGTTTCTCCAGTGAGAAATCCTGTGCCAATTTAAGAAAGATGGCTACCATATTTATTCAGTCCTTTCCTTATCTCTAACATGAGATGTAAATACAGAATAAAGTAATTAGAAGCAACCACATGCATGAATATGTTGGAGCAAAAACATATAAGCAGGTCAGGAAACTTAGACTCTGATATTCAACAGTAGAAGGGAAAATGTTTTCTCTTGAAGGCAGTTTAGAAAGGCAAGCAGCAGCATTATCAACAGGTGAAGAAACAAAAGCCAGCATTGGAGTGCCATTATCCAATTGTGAATTTTGCCAATAGAGCTAGTCTGGAGAAAACAAAACGAAATGATGGTGCTAGCTATATCCCTAAGAAATGACCTGGGGTGGGAGAGAGAGAATCCAGAAGGGTTGTATGATAGCATTTATGAATCCTATGAAGCCACTGGAAGACCCTGTCACAGTGGACAAATCAGGAACACTAGAAACTTGGCATCTCCATTACACCAACAAAAAAATATAGATGCTTCCATGTTGAGAGCACCTGTGAATTACCATTCCAAATCCATTGTGCAGTTATTTCAGGTTTACCTTTTGAGCTAAGAGAAAAGATGGAAAGGATTACAGCTAGAGAGATGAGAAGAGGATCACAAATGGGAGACAATGTGATCTAGACACATCATAAAAACCTGGTAAATGGCACAGACCTGGATAATTACAATGTTATGTAAAAGTGTTAATATTGTATTTAAAATCAGAAAAGGAAATTAAATATAATCTTTTTTTATTTGCCAGGTAAGATCTCTTTATATTTCCCATATTTACTGCTAAGCATTGGCTTTCACTAGGTCTGGCTATTCAAGGTGGGATGAGGTCATTTCTTCCACTTTTAGATGGAAAACTTTAGTTAAAAATAGCATGGGCAAAGCTTCCATGTTGCTTTTTTCATGTCACTAAGAGGTAGCATATGTTAAACCTCTTTGGCACAGATGCACATTTAAAACATTGATGTCTTCTCTTCAGCTGCTACATCTCTTGCCTTTGGGTGTTTGTTGATTTTACGAGTCATCAGACCCCAAACAATCAGGGATCCTGCCAAAATTCCAGTTGTGGCCGCTATAATCACAGCCCAGTAGGGCACGCTGTCTCCACTGGACTTTGTTTCGAGGCCTGAATTGTGCACTTGGCTGTTTCTTGATGTGAAAAGATATGGGTATTCCTGCAGCAGAAAGAAAACATTTACATTATTTAGAGAATAATCTATTTACTACAGATTGCCCTAGTCTGGGGGTATGAGAGAATAAACATTTCTCCTCAATAGAGAAGCAATAAAATGGGGATGGAACTTCTTCTGTCCAGTTGAGACTTATGCAAATCTAAGTAAACATCATTAAATCTATAAGAAAAGGATTTTAGGGCAGAAAAACCTGGTTGATGTAACTTTGCTCAATCCCTGTACTTATGTCTGCATAATGGTATACAAAATTGCTTAAATCTTTTCAGGTCCATTCTTCATTTGGTCTTCAGCTGCCCTCCTTCATTCGTTATTGTGGCAGATTTCCCTTTCTCCACCAGGCCCCACTGGTATCCAGCTTACAAGTAAATCCAGGCCTTTTTTCATTAATCCTGCCCAGCTCTGTGGTATCCTTCCTTTCCTGATGCTTTATGTGTTGCTCCATTAGAAGTGGGACAAGTATGACTTGAAGAGGTTAGATTCACCTGTCTTAATGCTATCTAATTTTTTTAGGTAATCAGATCATTTATATATTACGTAAATCTCATGATGGATCAGCACTTTTTAATAAATTTAAACTTTATTTAATCCAAAAGAAATACGGTAAGGAGACTTTTTATTACAGATGACTGGGGATGACCCATTTTTTTCACTATTGTCTTAACTCTGCTTATTGTCATTATTCTCTCCTTGATGGTTCACTCATGCTAAAAGGCTTCACTTTTTGCACAGGCTTCTTTCCCCATTTTGTTATAGAGTATTGCCCATTTACTTAAAATCTATTTCTGACATCTGTTTTTAGACTGTTTGCTGTAGTCTGTGAACTCAATCTGTCTCTTCCTCTCTCATTCAGAAAGATTTACAACTTTAGGGAAAATTTATAGCATGCAATTCTTCTATATAGGATAGAAATATCCTAGAGACTAGGCATGATAATATTAATTGGGAAAATATGAGTGCAAAGCGTTCATAATTTGTCCCAATTTAATAATTCTTGGAGGCTTTAAAAATGAAAAAATAAATCAATGGATTAAAACACGATTGTCTTTGCCACTTATGAATGGATTGCCTATAGATGGAGACTTTATACCGACAAGTATAATGAAATCTGGGACTCATTTAACCAGTATACAAATAGATTAAAAATAATTCATATAAATGTATTAAAATGTATATACATATTGTACTTGGATATTTGCATTAGATAAGTATATATAAAATTGTAACTGTTTATTGTTCTGACATGTTTTTTTCCTTTGTCATATATCTTTCACTTTTGCATTTCTATCGTTTTTTATCTTTTGCTCTTTTTCCTTTCTCTTGCTTTTTGTTATTATTAAAAAGCAATAAACATTAATTGAATTTTTTTAAAAAAATGGGAGATTTGATCTAGATCAGACATGTCTAACTCGTGACATGACGTGACGTCGCACAACATATCTGGACGGTTTTGCCATTGCCAGCAATGGGGTGGGCATGGCTTCTGGATGACATGTCCAGCCCGTGGGCTGGCAGTTTGACACCCCTGATCTAGATGAAACTTCAGCAAATATACTTTGTATTTTAAAGAGGAGGAGGAGGAGGAGGAGGAGGAGGAGGAGGAGGAGGAGGAGGAGGAGGAGGAGGAGGAGGAGGAGGAGGAGGAAAAAGAAGAAAACAGCCTGATTTGGCTATTATTTTTAAAAATCCTGCACAGCAATGCTAACCATACAAGGAACATCAAATCTAGTTTATCATTTAGAAAGCTTTCAACAGGAGGTTGTTGGACAGATTCAAACTGTGAGGTGAAAACATAGTTACTGAGTCTAATAGTTGTCAGGATGTGGTAAATATGTACTACCTTTGGAATTAATGGCTCCATGTGGGAAAAGCTTATCAGTCCTGCTTATCAGTTTCCAAGAAGCATCTGCTTTCCCTGGATATTGGACTAGATGGCTTTTAGTTTTCACCCAGAAAGAATTTTCTTGTGCTTTTATGTTCATGTTACAGAGTTAGGGCTCTGTAGGAACTAACTTGCTACTTACTGAGGTGGGACACTTGAGCTTCAGTCTTTCCTTTGTGAAATGTTTATATGACTGTTTATAGCCAACTGGCTCCAGCTGAAAGAGAGACAAAGAGTTTCCAACTGTTAGCAAGGCTGCCTGTTATGGATAAAGGTAAAACTTTTTATATTTGAGTAATCATACAACTCCCCTGAAAGCAGGACACTAAATGCCTACAGAAGTGAAATCTACATCAAAGGAATAAAAATAGCTTGTTAAGAGCAACTGTGAAGCTTTTGTTAACTGGCAAATTAACAAGATGAAATAATAAACGAATGTGGGAGGGCTAGACTATATGTCCCCTATAACACTGTTAGCTTCTCTGTGACAAGAAGTATCTATAGTTGAGTCTCTTTGGCTAGAGATGAATGGAAAGAGGTCAAACCGGTGAAACCTGATCCTTATTTTAATGGTATTCACTTGAGGATAAGTGAGCATAAGTTGCCAGGGTAGTATTCTAGCTTCCCAAAGATAGCCAGAAATACAGGAATTAGCTGGCTGCTACCCAAAAGATGACTCAGTACCCATCTTCAAAATCAGTGCAACATAAAGGAGGAATGAAATTGGCAATGCCAACAGGCAATAAATATTGCTTTATTGTTGTTTAAGTTTTATTTAGATGGAAGCCCAGCTTCCTAATTAGAATCTCTGACAGGGATGAAAGCCACAAAGATGATAAGGCTTTCAGGTAACCTGCGACCCACTCTCATTTCATCTTTTCCAATGATCTGGAGAGAGCTTAATTGCTTCCTCCTCTTAAAGAGGGAACAATTCTAGCACACATTTATCAACAGCCCTATAGGCTCGACCTTGGCCTGGATGGGCTGCAACATCAAAAGAAGCTATGAAATCATGGAAATTTTGCTCTGCCTCTACTTTCTGAACTTCTTGTGTGATGCAGAGGCAACCCATTTCTTGATTCTTATTGTCACAATGAACTTAAAAAGAGGGAAACATGTTCCAGGCCCACCTCTGTTCAGGCAAAATGTTTTACTCTAACTTTCTTCATCTTCATTTGTTGTTGGTTGGATATAAAGACTGAAGAGCAGGTTATTAATAACTTATTTTTTTGCTAACTTTGTTTTCCTTACATTTAGCTTGGGCTATGATGCATATTGTAAAGGAGACTGACAGTAGCCACTAGCCCCAAACTACTCAGTGATTGCTTGGGGTGTTTATCCTAAACTCCATAACTCAGTAATAGAATGCATCCTTTTCATTAAAAAAAAACCACTCCCAAATTCCATTCCTGGCAAGGGTCTTTCAAAATATTGGAAAAATACTGTCAGTCAAAGTAGGCAGTACCTAATTAGATGCAACAACATAAGCAAACTAATCTACATTATATCATCTCTCTATTGGGTCATGCTGATTCTCATCATTATTGTGGAAGTTAACAAACAAAAGAATTGTGCAATGCTTTGGAGTGCATGGGAAACAGTAGTGAATGCAGAACCTCATTAAATGCTGCTTCTTTAATGAGTCATACGGTAGGTAAATGATGTATTTGTGCTCCCAAACATTACAAAATACCTTTCCATAATGAAATTCAAAGTATTTCCCAGCCCTACTAATCAACATAAACTGAAGGAGTATAAACTTGGTTTATCTGATCTAGCTTAAAATCGATATATTATCTCTGTAATTCTTAATTCGTTTTTGCTGACCAGGATTGAACAAGGAGGCTATAAGGATCTGTTTATAGATAAGAGATGAAATATGGGAGGAAGAGATTATTTGCTGTATTTTAAGAGAATGTGATAAGTTACTAAAATTATGATGACCGGGGGGGGGGGGAATCATTTATTTATATATTTCTTTTTTCTTTATGTTTGATTTTTTCCCTTTTATATTATTTGTATTTTCTATTTTTTTCTTTTTTAAAATTTGTATTAATTTTTTTATCTTTGTATTGTAATGTTTAATAAAATTACTATGCAAATATTATCCCTGTGTTTTTGGTTCAGGGAACTTGTGTTTTCCTGGGAAGACGACACCATTCATTGACACAGGCCAGAGCAACCAAATAATAATAATAATCATGGGAAACTTAGAAAAGTGGCTGGCAAAAGCAGCTGAGAATGTGCTGATCTGGCATTCTCCCTCTGCAGTCTTTACTGGAAGGACTACAGAGAGAATTCCACCAGAGATTCTAACATTGCCTGACCCAGAAAAACCTTGATAGGGAATCATTATTTTAAAAAGAACTTCTTCTGTTCTTACTTCTTGCACAAAGTTAGGAAAGTCACTAGCCTAAGAAATGTATAACACACTAGTAATTCAAGAAAATGTAACAACTTTAAATAGGGATTTTCTAACCAAATAACAAAAGCTCACAAATTTCTGAACCACAAGGAATTTTTAATCCTACAAATTATCATTCTGGGTCAATCCTCATTAATGATTCGAGTTGGCAGAAAGCTATACTGACATTTCTTATCTACAGTTGCTGTCTTCAATACTGATTCATACCCTGCCTCTCTTCCCAGTTACTGGAGCCAGTTAACTTCTCTCCAGAGTAATAGGTGTCAAAGTCTAACAGACATTATGGATTTTGAAGTTGTCACTGGATGGTATCAGAATAAGAGGGAAATTTTGCTCCTAAGGATGACTGTCTCACACCAGTGGAACAACTTGCTTTCAGAAGGTGTGGGGGCTCCAACACTGAAGGTTTTTATGAAGAGATTGGACAACTATTTGTCTGAAATGGTAGGGGATTGGACTAGAAAACCTCCAAGGTCCCGTCCAACTTTGTTATTCTGTGATTTGTTGGCTGAGAACAAAACAGAAACAAGATCCCAGGGCATGTTGGTATTGTGGTTAGGTGAAAAAGAGAAAGGTCTCTCTGCCCGAGTTGTCCTTAGATTGGCTCGGAAAATAATGGTTTCTTGGATCATAACATCCTCAAAAAGCAAAGAAAAACACCTTGGGCCATTTCTATAAGCTGCTCGTGCCTTTTTATAATATAAACACGTTATATGATATAATTATATAATATAAGCATATTAATTTTTTTTGATAAGGCTTAAAATCTTCTAAAAATTATTGACATTCCTAATTATTCTCAAAAGGTATATTCTGACTTTTTTTTTTTTTTACATGTGGAGTAGGCAATCTTTTGTGCTGGCCAAGGGCTACAGTTAAGATACTTGTGAGGCTGAAGGCCAAACAATATAAAAAAAAGAATTATGCCATATCAATGAGCAGGAGTATTTTTCATTCTTTGTCTCTCTTTTTTTTTACAGAAATACTTTCATGTATTTCCTGTTTCAGAATGGTGGGAAACTATGCTGTGAGTTTTCAGCAATTTCAGAAGAGGTTGCAAGGAAGGTCATCTTTTCAGTATTGGCAGGTCTTGCAAAAAAAAAAAAAAGTAACTGCATATCTCCGGGGATGTTGATTAAAAGGACTGTACTTGCAGCTAAAGGCTGTCTTGTCTAAAGATAATGGGAACTGAAATGAAACACATCCAAACGGCACAAAGCTGATGAAGACTGACACCAATTTATACCAAAGAACTGGTATTTGATGTTCTAACTTTCCTTATCTCAATACTAATACTGAAATCTATGAAAATTCCTCAAGGATATATTGTGTGTTTTCAGAAGTTCTATCCATAAGTTCAATCAGATCAATATTTCTATGACTTGAACTTTTAAGCCATCATAATGTGATTTCCAGCTCCCAGAAGAATGAAAGCAATTATTTGGACAACCATTTGTCTGGAATGGTATAGAGTTTGCTGCCTGAGCAGGGGGTTGGACTAGATGACCTCCAAGGTCCCTTCCAACTTTATTATTATTATTACTACTACTATTATTATTATTATTAATTAGACGTGAACTTCAGTCAACTGAACATTCAAATTGACTGGCATTGATGGTTGACACGGGTTGCCAGCATCATCATCATCATCATCATCATTATTATTATTATTATTATTATTATTATTATTATTATTATTACTATTACTATTATTATTATGACATCAACCCCATTCCTTTTTGCGATTGGCCAGTGGGAATGGTGGGAGAATTCTGCAGATATGGAGCTGTTTTTTCCCCAGCCCAGACTTAGGAAAGGAGAAGACATGTACTGTATAAAGGCAGGTCATCTGTTTCCCAGATAAAATGTGGACCCCATCAGTTCAGAATTTTTTTTTTTTTTTTTTTTGGCAAAATTAAAGATGCCAGATGCTGGTTAGAAGGGAAAAGAATGTTAGGGAATCTAGCAATCCCTGTTCTGAAACAACCTCTATTAAATTGTGTCAGAGAAGCAACATTAAGCAGGCTCGTTGTTGAGGTGCAATAATAGGTAGGCTATTAAGAAGCAATATAGTCTTTTCCAATTTCAAGGACAGTAGGAAACACATTAAGATGGCTGTGAAACTAAGCCTTTGATGAATTCTGAGGTCCCTTCCAATTCAGGGATTCACTTACCATATTATTCCAGAGTGCCACGGCTATCTCAGCATGACCTCTCTCAGAGAAATGAAAGCAATCCATTGCAAAGAAACTCCGATCTGGTTCCCCTTCCTATGATTTAATACAAAACATTATTCCATTTCAGAAAACCATTTATTCCTTGTTAGCAAGGCTCTGGCATTTCTCATATAAGTTTTGGCTCCTTGTTTTCTGTTTCTGGGCCAAGATTTTGCTAGTCAAATCTTACCTACCAAGAGAAGTTACAGGATTATAAATATAGCTGTTCCAGCAACCACCAGTTATGAATTGGCTTTTCTCATTATGTATATACTTCACTGAAATTTGTAGGATTATAATGCTGCAAGTTCAGGGGACCATCTTTTCCAATTGGTAATTTTGATAAATATTTACCTTTAATAGACAGGATGCAACTACCACAATGCTTTCTCTTACTTTGAAAATGAAAGGGTGTGTGTATCTCTATTAAGATGGAGAATATTTCCCCTCCAGCTCCTAACAGAGGATTAAAATACATATCCAGTCTTCTGCATTCATCTTACTTCTGAGTGAAAATTTAGCACTGACATTTGATTGATTATGTGCTGCCAAGTCAGCATCAATTCTCACAAATTACATAGGTAGACCTTATTCAATAGGATGAAGCACTGGTATAGCTGTTTTAAAGATGAGTACAATTGAGTTGTAAGCTACTTGAAAGATTGCCTCATTTTGTATGATTCCCATTCCCAGCAGAAACTTGTTAACACAGGTTAATCTCCAGTACAGAGGTTTCCTGCCCCCTGACATCTTCTTACAACTTATTTCAACAATTCAGTTTTTCAGTTCCAATTCATTAACTGAGAAATGATGGAATAGTAGTGAAATGATACACAAAGGAGGCCTAAAATGACATGATGCTAGAACTAGAAAGAGTATGCACTTAGATAAAAATGTATGTCTTAAACCGAGTTATCATTTTCATGGTTCTGTTAAAAATATTGTAATATGCATTACTCTAATTCTTCACACATAAGTCCTTGCATATTAGGTCAGTGTTTTTTTAAAAAAATATTTTTTACTATTCCCTTTAATTCAACTGCTTATATTTCAGGCTAGCTATTTAACTTTTATAATTAGACATGGTACTCTGTGTGTGTGTGTGTGTGTGTGTGTGTGTGTACACAGTATAACATTATCTTTAGATGATGTTCCTTGTGTCTGAAATCCAGAATCAGTTCATTCCTGGCTTCTAGAACCTATAAACTTAATCGATACAGATTCTCTGTGGTCTCAGACCTGATCAACAGAATTAAATTGTATTGTTTCTGGGACAATGGTGGGAAATGATGGTTTTGCTTACTTGCTCCTCTATTTTGCAGTTTCCCTTGCAGACAAAACAGATAATATGGTTACAAAGATGTAATCCTCCACCCTTTGTATCTATCTTATACACAGTAAAACAAATAAGGATGTAATAATGAATGCTTCAGCAACACACAGCAACTTACACTGTCTAGTGGTAGGAAGGTGTTTCGGAAAAATGGTTGCACAACAATGGCAAAATCCTCCCGCTGATCATAACGGCCACTGTTGAATAGCATTGCACTTTTAATCTGTTTGGAAATGAAAAGTAGTAAATTTCAAGGCCATTATTTTCCCTCCAGTTTACAAATGCTAACTCAAACATGTCTTGCCTTCTAGAAACTATAAACTTAACTCAGTTCATATAGATTCTCTGGGGTTTCAACTCTGATCAACAGAAATAAATTGTACTATTTCTGAGATAATAATAACAACAACAACAACAACAACAACAATAATAATAATAATAATAATAATAATAATAAAGTTGGAAGGGACCTTGGAGGTCTTCTAATCCAACCCCCTGCTCAGGCAGGAAACCCTATATCATTTCAGACAAATGGCTGTCCAGCCTCTTCTTAAAAACTTCCAGTGTTGGAGCATTCACAGCTTCTGGAGGCAGGTTGTCCAACTGATTAATTGTTCTGTCAGAAATTTCTCCTTAGTTCAGATGTTGGTGGGAATTGATGGGTCTACTTGCTGCTCTGTTTTTCAACTTCTCAGAAAAGGAAAAATGGTGGTACAGTACAAGGGTAGTACCATAGAAAACTATCCAGCTTGGCTCCTGAACAGAGATGAAAATACTATCCAGTTTGGTTCCCAATATATATATATATATATATATATATATATATTTTAGAAAAACATGCTTTGCCTAATTATTGTATTTTCATTTCTGTCCAGTGGCTAAATTTTTAATTATAATCCTGAATGTCAAAGGCCTTCTTTCCTTATAATTTCTGACAAATGGAAAGACACTGCTTTTGATGTTCTCAAAGTAAGACTTTCCATAATTGTGTCATCAGATGCCATGTCACATTAAATTTCTGGCATAAATCATCCTGCAGGTAAGTGTTTAGAAAAATAAAAAAATAAAAATTGGTACACAATGGAGAAAAAATAATGGGAAAAAGAGACTTGAAGTTTCCAGAGCCATTTATATATGAATGGTACCCTTTTGCTTTCTAGTATCCACACCTAGAAAATAAATAAATCATTCATATATATAGTATTAGGAAGATCCATATAATCTAAATCCATTCCATATGGGTACCACTTTCAAAGACAACTTTGTTCTGTCAAATAGTCTACATTTTCTTAGATTGCAAATAAAGCCAACACACACACACACACACACACACACACACAATTGTCTTTAAAATCACACACACACACACAATTGTCTTTAAAATCAATGTTCCCAAATTCATTTTCCCTCCCATGTAATATTTCCAGATATGCCTTGTTTGCAGTGCATTATTGATCTGAGAAACGGTTTAATAGTCTCATTCTCTGTGAATTTTATTTACATCTGGCTGTGATAAGTTTCATTTTGGTAGATCACACTTTCACCTTTTAAAAAGTCCATGACAGATTTTGTTTCATCCCTATGATGTTTGCTTAAGAGAATGCATGGCTGAGGTCTTGGAATCAAGTAAATAAGAACTTTTTTTACCTGAAAATCTCTGTTAATTATCTCCATTTCTTGCAGATCAGAAGAGTTATTCCAAGAATTTAGAAAACATGGACAAAGGCTCCTAAAAGTGAGCAACGTTGAAAGTGAAGATGAGCATGAACCAATTTAAATTTAAAGTGTTTAGAAAAAATATTAATATATGCCAACCCATATCAGTTTCAATATCATTTTCTGTGTTTGGGTGACAATGGGAGCTCTTGATTTTTGTTAGCTTAATAACATAATGACCAGAAGAATATGCTTCTATTCTAGGTTAAAGATAGTACACTAAGGATGCCAGTTTACATGTAGCAAATTTAACATATAAATCTATTGTTGTCTGATCTGAATTTTGTGTGACTTATTGGAGGTTGAGACTAACCAGCATTTGGCCCTTTAACTGTTGCTGAATCACAATTCCCAGAATTCTTTACTACTGGTTAGGTTGGGTTAATGCTACTTAGAGCTATTCATCAATATGTGGAAAACTATTGATTCCCCAAACCTTTAGAAACAAAACACTTCCCTTCACCAAGCAAAAAAATAATGAGTTTGTTGTGACAGGGTTACTGAAATAAGAAGTAGAAAATATCTTAACCGAGATACTTTAAAAGTCTATGTTTTGGTGCGGTTCTGATTTTGTGGATTGCGTTCCGTTTTGTTATTATCTGAACAAAAACCCTGGAACTCAAAATTATTTCTCTTAAGTAGCTGCATCTTTAAAGGAAATCAATAAAAGCTGCTCCTATGTGAGTTACAGAAAAACTGAATCCAGTGTTATATTTGGAGCATCTGCTGCTTCACAGCTCCCAAATCCAATAGTATCTGACAGAGCACAGATTTTAAGTTCTTTGTGGATGCTTTATGAATGAAGAAGAAACAAATTAGCCCTAAAAGTAGAATTCAGTACAGACTGCTGTGCACGATCTGCTTACTTACACCCCTGAAAGGACGCATTTGGATTCTTCCCTTTCTATCTTGCGCAGTCCAGTGAGTTCCATTATTTCCACCATGTTGACAAAGGCCCGAGGGAGCTGCAGAAATTACAATAACTAGCTTTATTGATTTCCTAAAGCACAAGCTAGTCAACAAACAACACAAAAAGGTTATACACAGATTAGTTCTGAATATACCTGGCCTTTCTGTAAGCCACAGACCAAGAAGTAGCAAAAGATGAACAGCAGTGAACTATTGCAATTCACTAATATGTTATGCATGATATTTATATTATAACTAAAACTGAGTCAACCAGAAGGTAAGTCTGCTAAAACATAATGCTTTTTCTACAGGCATTAATGATGACTGCATAATTCTGGCAACTCAAAGCTTGTTTTATGGATATAACAGACCACACATTTATGCCACTAACTTTGGCTAAGGGAAGGAAAGGGGAAAACAGACAGAACTACTTGGAAATAAGCTGCATGGTTCCTCCTTTCGGGTCGAACTGGACCTGTATGCTTTGAACTTCCTTTTTGCTCAGGATTTTAAGTGGAATTAGAAGGTGGTGTCAGATGAAGTTGGGGAATTTCAGGCTGACCATGACCTCAGGAAAACTGAACAAATTCTACTACATTGTTTCCTGAATTATTTCACCAATATCCAGAACTCACTATCAGTAAAGAACCCGGGATACTTAAAATTAACAAAACCAGCATAACAACGTGCCATCTGCTGTCTCAAGCAGAAGGTCTTCATTTTTAAAGTACACTTTAAGGAACCAGTTCCATGTTATCTGGGGTGAAGAAAATATAGTATCATGGTGTCATTTTCCTCATATTACAATTCCACTCATGTTCTTGGCCATTTGTTTTCATATTCACTGGATAGCCCTTCAGTGATGTTTGTACTGATGCCAGCTACTTGGATAGAATGCTGGGAATGAAACATAAGTAACATTTAATAGATGTGGCAAGAATTCAGCTGTCTAGAGTGTCTCAAACTCTTACCTCCTTATAAAGGATATCAAGAGCTTCCTGGAGATGGTTTACATATTTTTCCACTGAATATACCTCCTGCAGAAGATAGAGTACCAGATTATTCATACTATCTTTGACAATCTCTAATGCTCACCCATATGGAATGTCCATGAAACAGCTTGATTTGCCTGAGTTATATATATATATATATATTCTGAGGTTTTCGCGGGTTTTGTATGTAGGTCTTTGGTTATTCGGGTTTTCTCCCACGTAAAATTGGAAGTGTCTTGGCGACGTTTCGACGAAGTCCCATTCGTCATCTTCAGGCTGGTGTTTTCAGCTTCGTGCTTCGAATGTCATGTATTTATGAGGCATTATTATAATTATCACAGATCATAACAATCTGAGATTCTGGTTTTTACCCATTTCCTTAAAAATGTTAAAATACTATCAATTCAAGATAAGGCATCCCTTTCACAATAACCCAGTTTTAAAACTCCTTCCTAAAGGAATGTACTCTAATACAGGGTACTCTGTATTGTTGTCCTATCCTTTCTAGGCAGACAGTGAAAAATACTATTTAATCTGAATTTCAGTAGTGCTCAATAGGAATATTGACACTGTAATTTTGTTGCTCCATTCACTTTTAATTTTAGCTCTTAGTCTTTCCTTCAATATTGGTTATAGAGTTTGTTTAATTGGTTTCATACAGCCTTAGCCAACCAGCTCAACACATCTGAAGGGAACAGAGATGGGAAGACTATTTTAATGCTGTATAAAATTGCTAGAAAGCAGCTTAAATGCCTCAGCCAACTAAAATGAATGTAAGCCAATTTAGAGTCTATATATAAAAACAAAATCAGGTTTTTGCAAGTCAAGAAAGAAAGTACAATTCGCAGTAATATTCAAAATCTGAAATGTGGTTTCACAATGATTATTCAGAAATATACAAAAATATATTTTACAAATTTGAAGTAAAATTCACAAACAGAAAATGTAAGTATTATTATTTGAATCTCTGCTGGTCTTTTCTGATATGATCTTAAAATAAATGATTTTCGTTAAAATGATCTTTGTTAAAATAAATCTGTAAATTTGTTTTTTATTCTATAGAATCTCAATATCCCATGGTACATGTACAAAAATGATTCATCCAAATTGGTTTTCAACATTGTAGAAGAATCTTCTGCTTTGTAGCAGAACAGCTACTTCTGTGCAATTTTTTCACATTTTTTAAAAAATATTCCATATGTTTTCTTTCTCTGTCCAAGTTTTACTTTACAAATAAATAGAGGATTCTTGTGAATGTCTGAAAATAGCTGAATCAGTCTGGTGTAGTGATTAAGGCGCTGGCCTAGAAACCAGGAGACTATGAGTTCTAGTCCAGTGGTTCTCAACCTGTGGGTTGGGACCCCATTTGGGGTCGAATGACCATTTCACGGGGGTCGCCAAACAACTCAGTCCGCCATTTTTTTCCCCTTTTCCTTAGCTGTGCTACTCCCTTTTATTCTATTGGCTTTTGAAAGCCAATAGAATAGACTCTCTTGAATAGAGTCTAATTCTATTGGCTTTCAAAAGCCAATAGGAATTGTCCAGCCTGTCTCTGCCCTGCTGAGCCTGCCAAAAGTCCCATTCTGCAAACGGTGCTGCACCAGTTGAGTAGTCCTCAACTTACGACCGGTTGAGTAGTCCTCGACTTACGACCAGTTGGGGATCACGGCATTAAAAAGGTTGGGAACCACTGTTCTAGTCCCACCTTAGGCATTAAAAACCAGCTGGGCAACTTTGGGACACTCATTCTCCCTCAGTCCAACTCACCTCACAGGGTAATTGTTGCAGGGAAAATAGGAGGGAGTATTATATATGTTTGCTGCCTTGAGTGACTGATAAGGTAATAAAAGTGAGATTTAAAAAAATCTAATAAATAAAATAATAAATTATCAGTTCTCTCTCACAGTGAATTTTCACAGTCATTTTATTGAAGAGCTAGAATCTAAAGAATGATGCTATTGTAGGATTAATATGGCTCAGTTTTAATGGGTTTATCTATAAGTATTCTGATTGCATACCTTATCTAAACAGTGCTGACAGAGGTCATTGACTCCAATGAAGATGGTAACTAACTTCCAGTCCTCCTTATAGTTGAGGTCCTAGTGAAGAATAAAAGAAATGGGATTCAACATTACAGATGTTATAGTTACTTTGAAGGTAATAAGGGATGTCCTCAAGGGGTTTTGCCATGGTGCCCTCAAATCTGTTCCTTGGAACTATAGAGATTGTTATTGGTAACATTTATATTAGTGGCCTAAAATCTGTTCCATGGAAATAGGACATATTTCAAGGGGATTCTGAGCTTATCTTTTTCAATTTAATAATGTTATTTATCAGTAACACACATTACTTTCAAGCCTTTGACTCTCTCAAACATCCATGAACAGAACAGAACAAAACAAAACAGAATAACAGAGTTTGAAGGGACCTTGGAGGTCTTCTAGACCAATCTCAAATATTTTCATTTAGTCAAATGAACACTTCAGTTGTTCCCCGTTGGCTGACTAAATTTCTCTTTCTGGGAAACCCTCCCTTTGAAATGGAGGCAATGCATGAGGAACAGAATGGATTGGATGAACTGCAATATTTTCCTAAACTTATATAACTTGATATAGATTAGCAATATATGTGAAATAGAAATTATAAGCATGGGAGAAGGGGAAAATCATGAATTCTGGTTATAAACGCAACACCATATCTGTCACCGACTATTGTAAAACCCATGAAATTAATATACTTTGATTGGATTTTATAGAAATAAACAGGCTGAAATCTGTTCTTTTGTCTGCAGGGGGTTGGTCTGCTTGAACATTGGAGACAGCAGCCAAGAGTTACCAAAGAAGAAATAATGCCAGATTTGTTTTCCTTGTATTTGACAAATGGCAGTGCAAAAGAATTCTTATTTGAAAAAAAAAAAAAAAAAACCCTGACAACTTTTCTGGGTTCCTCTATATACCAGAGATTTCAATTCACAATGGATATGAGAGACTGGGTTTGCAAAGACTGTAACACTTTAATGTTAACCTACAAGTTAAGCAAGGAGGGGCAGAAACATTTCTTCAGGGATGAAAACAGAATACTTGTCAAGAATGCTAGAAAGAAGGAAGGGGAATGCTTTGTGGTGGAGGGGGCATTTGTGTTCCTGAGATTGGGACTTAGCCTACGTCAGTGTTTCCCAAACTTGACAATTTTAAGGCATGAGGACTTCAACTCCCAGAATTCCACATGCCTTAAAATTGTCAAGTTTGGGAAACACTGGCCTACGTCATGGGCCAGCCAACTATTGGAACTGCTGAGGGCTGTAATTCTGTGGAAATTACAAAATATTTTGTAATATACAAAACAAAAAGGAATAGGGCTATCTTTAGAGCAGCAAGTTTATATCACAAGCAGTGCTGGCGAGTCTATCCTGGCCTGGGAATCACTAATGTTGCCAATTTCTTGTCTCATTAATTGAATTTCTTTCCCTGGCCTGTTACTTTGTCTTCAAAGGATGCCTGCAGTGTTTGACATCACTTCTTTCTGTTTTGTAATCAGGGATCATGATCTCTGGAACCCAGCAGTTATTCTAACTTGTTTTTCAAATGTCAATGTTTCCACTCAACTGCTCCCAGGAATAATCAGACACAGAGGGGAAGAAAGGGAGGTGGAGTGAAGGAGAAAGAGAGAGATGAAAGGAAACGTGAAAATGCAAAAAAGAAAATCAATTCCCTTTTTTCTACATATCTTTGCTATTCCAAAAGTCATGATAAAGCCTCCTTCCAAGCAACTCAACTCCTTCTGACAACATGGACACTTCCATTTAGTTTTAGGGAGGGAGGTGGATAACAAAATGGAAGTGGTTTGTTATTGCCTTCCTCTGGGATATATTTTGCCTAATATTTTCCACCTAGGTGCTATCCCAAACTGACCCTCCTTAGCTTTTTGAGCTCAATCCAGGTGGGATAGATGCTGCCACAAATAACCAAATATACAACTATATGGAAAGCTCTCAACATCTGTTATCCAAGTCCTGACTTTTGAAATGCTTTGTTTTTTGTTTCAGAGCCACACAAAATGATGTGTCAATAGAGTGATGGCATTGGGCCTGAGCCCAGATACTTTTCTCACTAGTGGAGTTGGGTGGACAAGTGTCAACTTTACAAGTTGAGTCTGTCAACTTGATCTTTCTTTCTTGGCTCTTGGCACTCTAATCATGAGGTGCCTGGAGATTTCCTTAGGAGTCACTGCTTTCCTGAGCACTCAAGGACAATTTCTTCAGCTTCTCCTTGTCCAGAAAAACTCTGCTAATCCAGGCTCACCACCTAGGCCCAGTTCTCTGTCTTAGCATCACCCCCACCTTTTGGACAGGCATCAATCTGCCATTGTCTTCTCCTAGAAGCCTCCCCAGGTTCCTTTCTCAAAGTAAAAGGATGAGGGGTGGGATGTTTCTCAACTCCTCCTCTTTCTCCAATCAGCCCTAAATAGTTTGCATTAAAAGAAGAAATCTGGCAATGCCTCTGAAAGACATTCAGAGATCCAGGGAAAATAAGTTGTATGAAAGTTGGACAAACAGTAAGAGCATGTTTCTTTATCTGTGCTTCATATTCTCATTTAATGCATGCATAATGGAATTAAGAAGTTTCTAAATTTGAGAAATCAAGGCAGCGGTAATTCCATGCTCAGGGTGAATTAGTTATGTTTTTCTTTGCACTAAAACAGTGAAACTGCCAGCCCATGGGCCGGATATGTCACACCGAAACCTGCCCACCCCATTGCCGGCAAGGGGGAAAAAGTCACGATACGTCACGTGACGCGAGTTGGACATGCCTGCAACTAAAACATTGTTTTTCCATGTTCTTGGTGCCCTATGTCCCTGGTATCTCAGTTATCTAATTGATAAGTACTGAAATTGCTTATCCAGGCAAAGCTGAAAGTTATGTTACTGCACCCAAATCTTGAAGGAGCCAACTTTACCAAGCAGACTCCCTCATGGATTCTAGCACAATGTCAGACATTTTAAAGTGCCACTTTTTTGTCCCCCATTTCTTACGATCTATATAGCAAGAATAGTTTTGTAGCACTCTTTATCTGCAGATACTATTTAGTGTGTTCTATCCAGATAGGATTAATCTTCACAAGGACAGATTAAGATGGAATTCAAATAAAATAAAAATCAATCAACAGCACTTTCCCCAAACCCCAGAATTATAGCAAAGCTTCCAGCGGTTTTCTTTTTCCCCCCTCTTCTGCAACATTTCCTAAGTGCCTGATATTAGTCAGAAAGATAGAGGAAGCCAGGCCTAATCTAAATTTAAAGTTTTGACCAGGTTTTAAGGCCTTTGAGTGTGATGGTTATGTGTGAAATATACACAGTTTTGAAGATTGGTAGGTGGATAACAATAGGGAGAGTTACTGAAGAAAGTAAGATTTTAAAGAAGCACGGAGAATAAGTAACAACATAAAAAGCAAGATAAACTGCTGCCTTACCCTGCTGAATACTGTAAAGACGGGGCATGTTTCTACTGTAAGCAAACTCACCGTTTGCACCTGGTTTATATAAAACAATATTATTGCTTCAGTTTCTGACATGCCTGCAGCTGGATTATTACTTTTCCATAATGTAAAACTGCAGTCAGACAAAAGTAGGAAGGTGGTGGTTATAATGATTGGCAAGGACCCTGCCATGTCATGGATTAAGAACTGAAGCTAGAAGAATCAGGCAGAATTTGCCCTCTCCTCCCCCAGCTCCCCCCCCTTTTTTTTTTTTGGCTCTTTTAAATGTTGGCCTTAAAAACTCTCAAAATTAGAGATACAGGTTTGGATCCAAAGAGCAAAAGTAAGTTTTTGGTGCCCACAGATTTCATTCATCCATTGGCATCCCGGCTACTTTCCCCAGCCAAAAGTACATCTAGAGATCCCACCACACCATTCTTGGGAGTGCAGTAGGAATAAATATATTTTGCTCTTTGCAATATGTTAAATTGACATACGTGATATCCTTTATTTTCATTCAGAAACATATTCTAATATCTGGGTTAAGATATTACATTTTCTTAATATATGGGTTAAGAAAGGCATTCTTCCTTGTCTCTTTCTATCTCACATTCTTCCCATAAACCCAGTTTGGTCTAGTGATTAAGGCTCTAGGCTAGAAACTATATTATTATGTAATATTAATTTTTAAACACCTTACTGTGTCGTCATTATGTAAAAAAAAGGTAGAGTTCAAAAAATAAAATTTGGAAAAAAGAGATGCCTTAAATATAATCAGATTTTGCTTAAGGTGAAAGTTAGGACTTGTGTACAGTATAATAAAAATAAATAAGTAGCAGATACATTAACTTGGGACACTCAGTTTGGTAAGATGCTGGCCTAGAAACAGGAGATTTTGAGTCCTGCCTTAGCCATGAAAGCCAGCTGAGGGACTTTGGTCCAGTCATTCTCTCTCAACCCAACTCACTTCACAGGGTTGTTGTGGAGTATTAGGTATGTTTTCCTCTCAAGTTATTTATAAAAATAATAATACAAGTAGGACAAAATTAAATAAAAATAAATAAGATAACATTGCCCATTTATTACTATCTTCGAGGACTATTTGCTCTGTGTATATTTTCAGCAGCAAATATAATCTTAGTATTGTTAATATAGAATAAACTGCTGATATTGATCATGCAATAATTTATATTACACGAAAAGGGAATTAGCATCTTTTTATAATGATTTCAGGATTTTGATCATAACTATTATCTTGAACTGTGCAATGATGTGGAAGACTACTTAACATAGAAGAGGCTTCCAAAATGCATAGACTTACTGGACTCCTTTTCATGAGCTCTACCAATTCGTGTGCTTGGGCTGAGATATTCCTAGAGAGACAAAGAAGAAAAAACGTCTAACACATACCTTGAAATTGCAGCCTCAATGAAACCAATAAACTATGAGTGAGCTATATCATGGGGATGAACTGGGATTTGAGAACTCCCAGAGGAAGTTCATAGTGTGACTTGAAGAGTTACTTCTAATCATTCTCCAGCTGTCAACAGTCATTACCAAAACAACAGGTGAAAATAAATCACTTTTTTGAGCAACCAACATACTGAAATAAGCAATGTATCTGGGGAGTCTATAATTCATGAAAGTTGTGAGTCCTCTTGCATGAAATGAAAAATGGCAGGAAACTGTTTTTCTGTTAACAAAATAGGAGCTTTACTTTTGCATGACTTCTCGGTTTTAACATACATTACTTATGCATTTGAATGATCAGATTTATCATGTAATTTTCCATCAGTGATTAGAATTGGCCCTGAAGTCCATAGCAGCCTTGGTTGAAAACTACATCTAGCTCTGTTTCAGATTCCAAACCCTGAAATATATTTTCAGGATGCTTTTCTTCTCCAACTTTTATCTTTATAAATTAAATCCATGAAGAACAAAGCAAGGATTTCAAACTATAGCTTGTTGAACCAGCTATTGGATTTTTACATAGAGCAATGCCATAACAGATGCATTATTTTTGTGCTAACTAGAAGCAAATAAAACACATTAATGTTTAGCATTATCTGTCAACCATGACTCAGAGGGACTACAATGAATATATTCTGTTACATTGCTCTAACTGGCTGTGTGAAAACCACCACTAAGAACTAATAACAGAAAAAGCAATGAGTACCCCCAGTCTTTTAAATAATGATATTATATTATATTTTAAAGTTATATTTTATTGAAAAGACGACGTGGATTTGCTTAAACTGTTGAAGAAGTGTACTGCAACATCAAGAGAGGTTAAAAGCTAATTCAATTTTGAGTGCTACAGAAAGGCTTTGGGGAACTTTGGGCTAAACACTTTTTCAGCCCAATCTGCACTTATAGAACTGTTGTTGGGAGAAAAAGAGCAGGGCAATATATCACCTTAATTCCATGGAAAGCCAGGAGATAAATTTAATGAATTAATTAACTAATTAGATCAGATCATTTTGTATACTAGATAATGCCAAAAGTCAAGTTCCTCAAAGGTCATTCACTTTTGGTGCTTTCCCTTCTTCCCTTTATTTTATGAACAATTACCTCAGGAGCAATATTTGTTTGTGTATATAGAGAAAGAAACTTTCCATGAACGAAACCAGCAAGCAATATATATTCCCTGAAACAGTGGATGCCACGCTGAATTGCAAGACAGCATCCAACTGCCAACCAGCCTTCCTTCTTGTCAAAGAGCAGAGAAGCTTTGATCAATTATTTTGTGAAAGGATTGGTTCTGACAGCCTGCACAGAAATTTAAAGCTTTACATTCTCAAGGCTGCAGTGAATTTTTCACAGTCCTGCTATCTAACCTCTAACTCCCTCTGCAGTCAATTTAGTGTTTGGCAAAAAGTGATCAAATGGGGATTTCATTGACTAGGGTTGCCAGATGCATGCAAACAGGTAATACTGTAAAAGATTGAACAGTATAAGATTATGGTTAGATCTTTACATCAGACTAATATCCTAAGAGGATTGAGATAAAACACAGAAAGAATATGGTGGACTAATTTAAATTGTGAAAAACACATGCAGTGCTATACCAACAGAATATAGCTTCATGAGTTTGCCAAGAATTAATTCCACTTTGTTGGCTGTCTGCCCAGCAGCGGATGACTGCTTAGAAGACCTGAACTGGCATCTACTGCCTCAAATGTTTCCAAGGCAGACAGAATTATAGAAATCAGTTGAGTTTGGCCCAGATTCAGCTTTTACCAAATGAAGTAGAAGTAGTTAAGAAATCAACAGAGGGAACAGAAATACATTTGGGACAACAGAGAGCTGCCTCAAGGATGGGAATCCTAAATCAGAAAAATCTGAAGAACTGTTGGCCCATAGTATGTGATCATAGGCACTGGCAATAGAGAAGATAGGAAATGTTCAAACATGCGTGACATATGTATTTGTTTTATACATCAGGACAATATGTAACTGTGATGTTTATATGATGATGTTGCCTTCTGCATAGTCATTTTGGTATCATCAGATCTCTTAAAAAAATAAAAACAAGAAGACAGCAACTACTGTTGTGTTGCTAATGACTAAACTTTAAAAAGAACTGGATTAATAGAAGTCAGCTTGTTGCACAATCTGGTAATGTATCTTCCAGGTATGTTATATATGAATTTTAAAATGTATTTTGATTTTTATTCTGCATTCTTCAAAGTTTGCAGGATGATTGATTAAATAATAGCATCAGGGGTAGGTATAGAACTCTGTTGACGAACAGAGAATAGGAGTCTAAATGAATTTTAAATCACTTTCTTATATAGTATACGTGGACGTTATTTTATCTGTTTGTTAAATGAGTTCATACCATGGCTAATTGGCTCCCTGGATTTTTGCAATCTTCTAATTCCCCAGCAAGTTAATCCAAAGTCTTATTCAGGTGATACTTTTGCATGCTGAATTCTGGAGAGTTGATTATAACAAACAGCTAGTGGGGTGATTAATCTTAAGAAAAGCCCTCAGCTTTGGAATATGATTTGATTTAGTGAGGCTAAATATTCCAGTACTATTTCAGTCATGGACTTCCTTGACCATATGTCTCCTACAGGAACTTACCAGGTTGTGGCTTCTCCCACAGCTACATTGAACCCAGCAGTTTCCTTCTGCGTGCCAGTGGAGAAACCTGTGAGGCCTGGATTAAATTTCTTCAAAATATCTGACAGAGAAGGAGAAATTCAACTTCAGTGTTTCTCCAGTAAACAAGAATCAGCATCTCATTCCCATCTTTTAAGGGTTCTGAATCTTTACAAATCATTGAAAGTTAGTTCACATTTTACCCAAAATTTTCATAATTATTCTGGACAATTATTAGAAAAAAATATAGCTATGGGGTCCTCGATGCTTTCTGAGCTTGGGTTGTTTTCTTGCAAATGTTTCATTACTAAATTAGGTAACTTATCAATGCTAGAAGGGGTTTGTTCTCTATTTATAGACTAGTGGCTTGCCTGTCAATAGGAATGGTAGTGTTCTTGGTGATTCCTTGATAAGTCTGTTATTTACTGTTTGTCTGAGTTGTTAGTTTCTTGATTGGATTGTTGTTGCTTCTTGATTGTTGGTCTAATGTTAATCTTGGTGTTAATCTCTGCTTATCTGGCTACTGATTGCTAGTAAGGAGGTATTTTAGTCTTTTAGTTTTCTTTTTTTTTTTGCTTTTTGATTGTCTTTTTGAATGGTATGTAGATCTTGTTCATCTCCATGTGTCTGTTAATGGCTGATTTGTCCGAAGGCCAGGCTTCTAGAAACTCTCTAGCATTTTTGGACTTGGCTTGGTCTAGGAGGCTCACAGTTTCCCAGTTGAAACTATGGTGAAGTCTGCCCATGTATTGTGAAATTAAGGAGTTTTCATCATGTCTTCTGACTGCTAGTTGGTGTTAGTTTGTAAACTAAGTCTGAACTATGTTTGAATCTCCATGTCTTTATCTGACACTACTGAATGAGAAGTGCCATCACTGTTTCAGATAGGCAATCATTTGAATGGCTAATGGTAAGCAGGTAGAACCGTCTCTTCATACTACAAATAATGGTATCTATTAAATTTGACTGGTAGAAATGGGTAAGATTACAGATAGGGCAAAATAGGTTTGGAATTATTATTAATTCCAGCCAGTGGTGGGATTCAAATATGCAAACAACCGGTTCTATGTGTGGATGCCATTTCCAGATGTCCATTCTGGGCCTGGGCAATAAAAAATTAGCTACCGGTTCTACTGAAGTGGTGCGAACTGGCTGAATCACCACTGATTCCAGCTCTATATTTTGGAAGACTGAGTAGGTAGGGCAGGGCAGCTGGATTATGTTGTTCCCCTGATGGCTGACCAGAGAAGGCATTTTAATTCCAAACCATCACTAGTCTCTTTTAGGTTAAACCTATTCTTCCCTAACCCTAAAACTGATTAATTCCATCACTATCCAGTTCAGTGTGCCATGGGATTACAGCTGACATACCTCTTCATATGGTGGAATTAAGTCTTCTTTACTTTTGGAATTAAATCACAACTGTTGGCCAACTATATTATAAGTCTTGCTTTTCAAACCATTATCAGATCATGTATAGAGAGATCACTCTAATAATAATATCTTTGAATGGCATTCTGAACAGTGGTTTGACTCAAACAGAAAATAAAGGAGAGGAAGATGCCTGACTAAAAAGGGCAAGAAAATGTGGATAATAATGATTCATAATTGTTATTCATAAATTCATAATGCATTTCAGATTTACTCATGTCTATTCTTATTTTGTATTTTGATGTATTTCAGGCTACTCACTAGGTAATGTTGTGTGAGTCTCTAAGCTTCCATCGCTTCCAATGCTTGAAAAAGGATAATACAAAATTGGTCAGTAGTGTTAATACCATATCCAGCACATACCATCTGTCAGAGAAAATAACTGTGGAAAGGGGAGGATTTGGAAAAAACAAATTCTTCCAAAACAAACTATTAGGCAGCTATGAATTCTGTTTTCAAAGTTTTCAGATGATTTTAAATAACAATAATTTCTGAAGAAACGAAGTAATTTGAAAACAGCATGCAACTAGCCTAAACAGCAAAATATAGCCATTTATTTTTTGTGCATTCAGTGTACCAAGACACATCAAAGTATCAATTTAATAACAGGCATTATTTCATTGCATTTTTATTCCAAATGTCAGCATAATAAGAATCATTCCCTTAAGAACTGAGGGTTGGTTTTTTTGACAAAAAGATTAGCATTCCACAAAGATATGCAAAGAAGTAAATCTGTAGAGGAGAATTGGTGATAATGTTCCTAATGTAAGCATTGTTGCATTAATATATATAAGCATTCGGCAAGCTTCCTATCATTGCTTTGTGCCACTCCTAGTGGAGGTTTAATGACTTAGGAATTATCTCAAATCTTGATCAGGAGCTATTTATTCAGTTTGTGAAAGAAATGTAAGCCACACTAAAGATGGCCAGATGGTAGCACATTGTTAAAAGATTTGTTAATAAGTGGTTGGGAAAGATCAAACTGCATGTCTGGGCATGAAAATATGATGTAGGATGGAACTTTCCCATAATGCAGCCTGTTTTCATTTCTTTCATATCTATAATTACCTGAACTTTTCAACCATGAACCTTTAGTTCTATATTCTACTTCTGCTTTATCCAATTTAATACCTTCCAGAAAATGGGACTATCAGTTGGAAATTTTAGGCCTTGCTGTCCTAACACACCTGAAGGGTGCAGTGTTGGAGAACACTTTTAATAGAACTTGGATGAAATTTGGGGAAAAAATACTTACCTCCAGGAAAGTCCTCTCCAAGCTGTTTTGATATCATTCAGACCAATTGCTTTAGCACCTTCAGCAATCTATTAAAAATAGAAAAAATAAAATGCAATCAATAGGAATTTATTATTTCTTACAGAATCAAAAAATTAACATCTGGGTAATGGTTGCTGATGAGGTCACACTATCAATCTACCAAAAGCAACACAGAGTAATATTATATAAAACCTTCATTTAGTAAAGAAAGTAGGTAGGGCAAGGATCTTATGTTAAATTTATGTATTTAATATTTCCATTCACAGTATTCACCATTTGACCTGGCTAGTGAAAGAATCTGTTTTCTGAACTTGCCCGCCACACATCATAGCTTTAGCTATAATGGTCAATTATGATATTTCATTTAATAAACATTCATTATTAACATTCTCCTTAATGTCATTTTAATAAGCTGACATTTTCACATTCTTAGGAATAACAGCATGGCTGAAAATGTGGACATCCTTACCATCATTGAATCACCAAGTGCTGCTATCACTCGAATGTCAGCTGGCTGCAATCTGTGCACTAAAAAAATAGAAATGAGACTGAGAGAGAGTATCATATGCAGAACACAAAATAACAGAATTGGAAGGACCTTGAAAATCTTCTAGTCCAACCTCCTGCTGAAACAGTAGACCCTATACTAATTCAGACAAATGACTGTCCAATCTCGTCTTAAAAGCCTCCAGTGATGGAGCACTCACAACTTCCGGAGGCAAACCATTCCACTGATTAATTGTTCTCACTGACAGGAAATTTGGGCTAGATTGTATCTCTTTTTTATGAGTTTCCATCCATTATTCTTGTCCTGCCCTCAGGTACTTTGGAGAATAGGTTGATCCTCTCTTCTTTGTGACAGCCCCTCAAATATTAGAAGACTACTATCATGTCACCTTTAGTTCTTCTCTTCATTATACCAGATATACCTGGTTCAATATCCCGAGAGGCTAAACATGTTGTACCGATAGATATAACTTAAAAGGTAAGTAATAATAATAGAGTTGGAAGGGACCTTGGAGGTCTTTTAGTCCAACCTCCTGCTCAGGCAGGAAACCATAACTATTTCAGAAAAATGGTTGTCCAGTCTCTCCTTAAAGACTTCCAGCGTTAGAGATTCACAACTTCTGGAGGCAGGTTATTCCAATGATTAATTGTTCTAACTGTCAGGAAATTTCTCCTTAGTTCTAAGTTGCTTCTCTCTTTGGTGAGTTTCCATCCCTTGCTTCTTGTCCTGCCTTCAGGTGCTTTGGAGAATAGCTTGACTCCCTCTTCTTTGTGGCAACCTGAGATATTGGAAGACTGCTTTCAGGTCATTCCTAGTCCTTCTCATCATTAAACTAGACATACCCAATTCTAGCAACTGAGTTTATATGTTTTAGCTTCCGGTCCCCTAATCTTCTTTGTTGCTTTTCTCTGTACTCTTCATTTTTTCATCATTACTTAATCCCCAAATCAACAATCCAGTCTTTTCTTCCCTTTAGAAGTTAAGTACTTGTAAAGCTTACGAGCGCCATACCCTTACAGGTGTATAAGTCTTACTCAACAGAATTTGGGCTTATCACCATTTAATCTTGCATAGGACTGAGTTGTACAAAAAAGAGAATATAACAGGCAGATCAATAATACTAAGCATTGGCCTAGTTTGCTAAACTACAACCTAAATATGCCTTATCTCCTCCAGATTCGTCATTATCTTTGTTGCCCGATTTGGCAATTAATTTTCTCTTTGGGGATCATCCTGCGTATTATTAGGCAGCTGAAATTCCACTAAGTCAATGAGATTTAAGGAGTCTCATTGTATGCTCTACTTTCAACCATACCGACCCTGAACATACAGTATTACTGTATAGCTAAGATAAAATAAATTTTAAACATTCATTGACAGTGAAATATGAACTGAAAAATACAGTTGCTAGATTGCTTAAGATTATAAAAATAGAAAAGGAAAATAGAAAACTACAGATGTTTGTTGTCACTTTCTTCCCAAGCCCCAGCATTTTACATAAATCTGCACTGAGAGAGGAGGTAAATACCTTATTATTTATTATTATTTTTACTGCATGAGCAGCTATTTCTCACCTGATGTGGGGACTTCTCTGGATTCAGTCTGTACAGAACATGGCAGATTGCTACCCCAGTTCTTAAAAACAAAATGCAGTCAACATATCACTGGAAATTGTTCATATGGGTTGTAACATATTGAAACTACAAGAAATCTAGTAGCAACTTGTGTTTCAGAGGGACCTCTACATCCTATTTCTATGCTTCAAGAAATCAACCTGAAATTATTGATTAATCCTTGGGATGTCAGGAACAGAATTATATCCAGCATTATTCATTACTATTGCCCACAGTTTGGTGTATTGGTTAAAAATGCTGAAATAAGAGCATGGATTCTATGCCCCTGTTATGCAGGAAACCAGCTGAATTACTTTGAGATACTGGCCTGCCTCTTCCAAAAAAATTGTTAAGAAAACTGCATGGATGTGAAAGCATCATGTAGATACCAGAAAACATGAATATGCTCAGAGAAATAATGCACAGTAAATAATAAAGGAATTACCTGATCTGGCAACTTGGTAGGGTTTTCTGATGGATTTGTGGCATTGGTGTTTCTGAAGGTACCCAGGAAAGGTTGTTGCTAATAGAGAAAGAACATGAATGCCAAACTTCAAAATTTCAATAGAGGAAAACAGAAGCATAGATGCCACTAGATCGGCCACTTGATTGCAATTAAATCTGTAAGTCTAGCAATGGAAATGCTGCAGTAATGGTTCTATCACAAAAAAGGGGATCATTTTGGAATCAGTCTGTTTGAATAATGGAGACAAACTGGAAATTTTAAACTGAGATAAGCTTCCATAATGGGACTACTCTGAATAAGTATTAAGTTGCAAAATGCAACTGTCTGGAATCTGTTGTGTGTGTGTGGGGGGGGGGGAGTTTGTATCTTTTCATCATATTGCTTGTCAGCCAATCCAGCAACTTGGCAATATGGTGCTAGAAAGAGCCATAACCTCATGAAATAATGCACAAATAATGCAAAAGAATGATAGCTAGCTTAAAATTGGGCAGAGAAGAAGAAAATTAGAATTAGAGGCAGTTTAATAATCCAAATTCTAATAATATTTTGTAAGCCTATATTTGGGAGAAGTCCATGTATCCTAAAATTGCCAAGGTTGAGGAACACTGATATTTAACAATTACATTGCTTAGCTATAATGTGTTTGGCCATCTTGCAAATAGTTTGGGCTGGAAAATCCAAGGATATTTCCCCATGACATTAAGCAGAGCTGCTTTATCCCACAAAGGTCCACATCAGATTTTTTTCCAGTTCTGATTGTGAAATTCCATTGATTAAAGAAAATGGACAAATTCCATAAATTAGCTGGTAATATCAAAACCAGTTAATAAAATAAAATAAATACCAGCTAATAAAATAAAACCCCTAATTTTAAATATCTATATTATACTGCAGTTATGCCTATTTACTATGAATAAGCTATGATGGATCTTTTTTTAAAAAAATAAACTTGCACAGAATTGTGATGTTAATCTGTATAATTATGCCAATAAAGTATATGAGTGAGGTAAGCATTTTGCAGAATTAAAACCACCAGTTCCTAGGAGGTATGAAGGACGTAAGAACTGGCAGGCCCTTATGAAATCTGGAAGCTTATTTTGGAAAGATTTCTATTTTATCTAGTACATGGATGTGAGACCTACAGGATATAAATGTATTCATAGGTTAAGAATGTAATCCTACACATGCCAATTAGAATCGGAACTAAGCTGCATTACATTTTGTGGTAATATTATCTAGAATTTCAGTCTAATAGTTGAGGGATAGAACCAAGGATTTCCACCTTCAACACAAAGATTACTTGGAAATTTGCTTAGTCCTCAAAGATCAAGACCATCCAAGGACACCTGGATGAAGCATGAACTGTTAAGCTGCTGGCATTCAAATATTATCGGCTGTTCCTTTGATACCCAAATTGTTCATTCCCACAAAACCCTTGCACTGGAAGAAGACGTGTTATGTTTACCAGAGTTGGGCAGCTCAGTGTTATGTTATCCATAAAATTGAAGAAAACATCTTTCTTTCTAACAGGTTGAAGCTAGAGGGTAAAAGAAAAATATGATTATGTAGTTCTTTTATTTAAGGGCTCATGCAACTGTTTGACTTACTGCTTTCACAGATTTTGTGTAACAGGGAAAAGAGATAAAAGAAGCAATGGGCAATTATAAAGATTACAAATGGAATATCTTCTTGCAGGATATCCTATAAAATTCTGAGAACAAAATACAGCAGTTACCCAGTTCAAGATTCAGCTAAGATCACAGTAGAAAAAGAAGTTCAGACTTAATCGGGATGGAGAGATTGACATCCCATTGACATCCCAATCAGATTCACCAGTCTTGATAGTAAGTTATCAATTTACTATCAGAAATAAAAGTAGGGGTTTTGGTAGGAATGTACACACTGCCAAAATAAAACAATACAGCTATTTAAAAACTGAATGGTACAGTACCCTGAAGTAGGTGTCTCACCATATTATTCCAGAGAGCTCTAGAAAGTTGGGAATGTGATTTTTGGCTAAAGTGAAAACAGTCTGGTGCAAAGAAGGAGATATCTAGTTGCCCATCCTGAAAAATGAGGAAAGCATCATTATTATTATGCTTTTAAAGATGCAAAAACAACAAAGCCAAACGGAACCCATATTTATTTGTTTCAAAGAGAACTAGAATTTTAACATAAATACTTTATCCCACCTGTGTCATAAACCAGAGTCATTCAATGAAGTGAACAGCAAGAGATTCAGACAGGCTGACAAAAGTTTACAATTTACAGAATCAAACTATGAAATTCCTCATCAAAAGGTGTGTTGATGGACCCCAACTCCAACAACTTTAATAGAGGATTAAGCAAACTGATGGAAAATTCTGGCTAATCTGAGGGAGTGGTTGACAGTAAGCCTCTGAGTACCAATGTTTAAATGAGTGAAGTTACAATCACGTCCTGCCTTGGGTTTTCAGTAGGTGCTGGAATGATGATTAAGAGTATAATATTAGATAAGTCATTGATCTGATCCGTTAGAGTTTTAAAAGGTGAAAAGACTTCAGATCACAAAGCACTAAAGATGCTCAATTTGTTCTCAATGAATATTCCCTTAAACCTAATATAAATGTTGCAATACATAAGTTTTTATCATTAGGATTGATTACATTCCCTAATCTACATTATGAAATGAGTTTTAATGTGAACACTTTCAAGCATATTTGAATTTTAACTTTGGCAGAACAGATTTTCTTTTATTTTATGAAAACTAAACGTTGAAAAAGCAATCACTTTAAGTCTTAAAGAATTGCATGAATGATCATATGCATAAATTTTAAAGCACATCATGCAAGCAAGGAAACTTTTACATAATATGGAAAAATAGTTATTGTTGTAATTATATGAAAGTAATATATGTAAGAATGTGCCTGTCAATCGAACTCATATCAGGGTACTTTTTTATTTCTATTGATATGCTACAGTATCAGTCTTTTTAATTCAGTGTTGCTATATCTAGACTTAATTCTATGTAAGAAACACAGAATCCAGCCTAGTATAAGTGATGCTAGGAATTATGCTGTGAATTTCAGTCCACAAATAAGTAATATAATATAAATTTATATTATATTAATTATATAATTAAATATAATACAAAGAAAAACAGTAAATTGATCCAAAGCAGACCAGCGATTCAATATTTAGAAAACAGTTATGTGATTCTGCTCGGATTACATTATGAATGTTCTATGAGTTTGTACTGTAGCAATGGCTGAAATTTAGCAATGCTTCTACAGATCAGATTTATTTCTACAGGCCATTTTCTATTTATGGTTGAACATAATTTCATAAAGGATGTTTCCCAGAGCCTGTAACTCAGTCCAAACATATCAAAATAATTTGCATTTTCATAATCTCATAAATATATGCATCCGTATTAAATTACTTTGACCCTGCAGGATAGTCATTGTAGGAAAATAGGAAATGGGAAGATATTGTACACCTTGAATTGTACAAAATGAAGATATTATTATTGCTGTTGTTGCTGGTATTATTGTTTTGTACCCCACTTTGGAAGTATTGTTCTTGTAAAAAAGAGCAAACTAATAATAAATAATATAAGTAAATAGGAATCTAGAACTTACCTGTAAAACAGGTAATGAAATATTTCGGAGGAATGGCTGTAATACAACTGTAAAATCTTCTCGAGTATCATACTTGTGACTCTTAATTAGTTTTTGTATTTTGTTCTGTGAAAGAAATATAAAGATACATCCTTTAGTTCCTTGGCTAATTCCCATTCATCCAGCAAGAGGAGATATATCTTTTGCTTTTGAATCAAAACAATTCATTATCTAAAAGATCCAGAAACTCTTTTGGATTATAACATAGCATATTGAAGGGACATGGTAGCTTTACATTATGTAGTATAACCTTCAAATGTAATGCATAATGTTATTTTAGAAACAACGTGATAAGATTGTATAGGAGACAATCCACAAAATGGCAGTCATGATTCCTACCTGATAAGCTTTGGTTGCTTCCTCTATCATCACAAGGTCTAAGGAGTCTTCTTTAAGGGAAAGAAGGCAACTGCATTTATCTCTGTGTATGAAAATATAGGAAGAAAAGGCATATATGGAACAAACAAATAAAAGACTGGTACATCCAGAAAATAAATATTCCTCTAGTAAGGAAGCAGATATCTATGTACTTCTTTTATTCAAAGAAATATGTTTTTAGTAGTGATCTCCTCTTAATGATGAATGTGGATAAAATATTAATAAAATGCAAAAGGTCTCAGTTTTAGACATTTTTATTCCTGGGGTTATCCTTTTATGAAGCGTTGGCAGGAAAGCAATATGCTCATAGAATAAGTATACAATCCACCTTCCCTCTTTTCCCCTACACATTGAAGACCTTGTTGTGTACTAGTTATTTTCTAGGGGCAAGATGTGGGGAAAGCCAGGAAGTGTCTTGCTGCAAACACAGGCAGTTCCCCACAAGGGTATCCCTGCCTTTGGATTAACAAACGTACCTGAGTACCTATTATTTAGTTGTAGGTCAGCCTCTTGAGTGTTGTTATCAACATTTTGCTTGTTAATTGAAATCTAGAGTACAAAACTTCCCTGTAGTTTGGAATAAGGCTGCAATTTCTGTAACTTACATAGCAAAAGCTCAACAGGAGGCATCATCAGATTTGTGGCAATCCAGAATAAAAAGACCCCCTCAGCCAATTCTTTATAACAGTGTTTCTCAACCTCAACAACACTTTAAGCTGTGTAGGCTTCAACTCTGGCTGGGGAATTGTCAGAGTAGAAGTCCACACAGCTTACAGTTGCTGAGGTTGAGAAATAACAATCTAACAGGAAGAGGATGTCAAATCAACTTAATGGGAACCAGATGTGTTCAGTGGCCATTGAATGCTAAGGAGGAGTAAAGCCAGAAGAAAAATGGGGAAGAGGGAGCATGTAAAGTAAGGAAATGCAGAACAGCAACATTTAGCATGCAGGTCTCACATGCAAGAGAAAACTGAATGAGTGAATGGATCCAGATTGTACTGGATTCAAAATACCCAGTTTAATCACACGGGAGACCAAATACTGTAATATCTCAAGTTTATTTTTTTTAAAAAAAATATGCTGAATTGTTATTTAGCAGAGAAAATAGATCAGCAAAATGAGATGTCATTGAATTTTAATGTAGTCTTATGTGGGATATTTTTCTGTGTCACATTGGTGTAAGCCTTAGTATGTTGCAATTCTCATTTAGTCACTAAACTTCAGAACTAGTTATTACTTAGTGGTTTTGTATAAATTAATAGCTTATATGGAAGAGAGCCTTACTCTGCTAAGTGCACAGCACATGGTAATCTGCTATCTAGAAAGAGTTGCCTTAAAGGGAGAAGATCCATCACCTCCACCAGGTTAACCAAAGTTTTAGGTGCCTGAAAAGAAAAAGGAGTTAATTATCCAAATTGCATTATATATAACACAGAGCTTGTATCTGCTCTATAGTAGTTTCAAGGCTGCTGTCAAATTTAATTTAAAAAGATGATTAGGAGATTGGAGGCTAAAACATATAAGGAACAGTTGCTGGAATTAGGAACGTCTAGTTCAGTGATGGCGAACCTTTTAGAAACCGAGTGCCCAAACTGCAACCCAAAACCCACTTATGCATCGTCGAGTGCCGGGCGGGTGTGGCCCATTGGGTGGGCATGCAGTGGTAACGGCAGACTGGGTGGGACTAAAAAGTTCAATCAATTCCAACTTTGCAAGATCTTTTTTTTTCCCCCACAAGAAGTTGAAATTGATTGATTGATTGAACGCTTTTTTTTTTTTTTTTTGCACATGGAGGCAGAGGCCTAAAGCGAAAAGGTTTTATAAAACCCAGCTGAAGGTCTAGGACTGGGGCGATGGTGCGCATGCCCAAATAGAGGGCTCTGAGTGCCGCCTCTGGCACCCGTGCCATAGGTTTGCCACCACTGGCTCTAGTTTAATGAAGAGAAGGACGAGGGGTGACATGTTAGCAGTGTTCCAATATCTCAGGGGCTGCTACATAGAAGAGGGAGTCAAGCTATTCTCCAAAGCACTGAAGGCAGGACAAGAAGCAATGGATGGAAACTAATCAAGGAGAGAAGCAACCTATAACTAAAGAGAAATTTCCTGATAGTTAGAACAATTAATCAGTGGAACAACTTGCCTCCAGAAGCTTTGATTGCTCCAACACTGGAAGTTTTTAAGAAGAGACTGGACAGCCATTTGTCTGAAATGGTATAGGGTTTTCTGCCTGAGTAGGCAATTGGACTAGATGATCTCCAAGGTCTCTTCCAACATTGTTGTTATTATTACTATTACTATTATTACTATTACTATTATTACTACTATTATTACTATTATTACCTTCCATCAGGCTTCACCAGATTCCCTTTGCGTTCCCTTCACATTCCTATCTCTGCACTGACATGTTTTTTTACTCCATTATATAACAGATAATGGAGTTACAGCCCAACCTATCTGGATGGATCTGGTCAGGAAGGACTGGGACCAGAAAATAATTATTCAGGTCTAGGAGATTATGCTAAGTTCACCTTCTATTGATTTTAGCAAATGACAGTATTCATAAAAAAAATCCATCTCCCTATTTACATTTAATTAAATTCCATTAAACACTGAAATATATGATTCCCTGGCTTTGTACTTTTTGCCGGTATGTAAGATATCCTTTTATTATTGCAACTGCCAAAGCACATTTCCAAATCCTCTCCACCTTGCTGGCTCAGGAATTCTGGGAGCTGAAGTCCACGAGTCATAAAAGAGCCAAGGTTACCTACCTCTGCCATAGGGTAACCCAATATAAAGGATACTGTAAAAAATAAAACATTAGGATTTGTATACTAGGTCCGAAAAGCTCTTGTGGTACATGTATACGTGTATTTGTAGTACACATTTTGCAGTTGACAATACAAGGAAGAATTACATTATTTTATTACAATAATAAAATAATGCCACTTGAGTGTCGAGAAAATGCAGCCTCCTTTGTAGGTGTAGTGAGACGTGGCCTCAACTGAAAGTGTGTGACATATGGCTTTTGAATGAGAATCAGCAAACAATGGACAACTGTGTAAGACAAAATGAAAAGATGTTCTCTGTGCAATCACCACCTACCTCTGTATGAAGCAAGTCAAGCGCTTCTTCCACATGATTTGAAAAGTTTACCGCTGAATAGTGGTTCTAATTGGGAGGAGACATGAAAAGAGACTGTGACTGATTATAGAAAAGGAAAGGTCAAGTGAATTGTTGCAGATTCTATGAATTAAAATATGTGACTGTTCTTGAAAGTTGACTCTCCACTGGAAAACATAACATGGGATTCACGTACAGCATTGTACTCTAACTCAATCAGCAAATGATGCAGGCAATAATGAACTATTATGAGATAATTAAAAGCTGTGCTGGAAAGACAACTCACGATCTTAATCATCTGGATACCTCAATGATTGTAAATAAAGCTAGTCCTTGACTTACAACATTCATTTAATGATCGTTGAATGCTGCTGAAAAAGTGACTTATGACTGTTTTTCACACTTATAACTATTGCAGCATCCCCATGGTCATGTGATCAAAATTCAGAAGCTTGGCAGCTGACTCATACTTATGACAGTTGCAGTGGCCCGGGGGGGGGTAAATCTTTTGTGACCTTCTGACAAACAAAGTCAATGGGGAAACCGGATTCACTTAACAGCCATGTTACTAACTTAACAACTGCAGTGATTCATTTAACAACTGTGGTCGTAAAATGGGTCAAAACTCACTTAACAAATGTCTCACTTAGCAACAGAAATTTTGGGCTCTATTGTGGTCATAAGTCAAGGACTACCTGTAGGCCTCTCGAGCATTTAAGTGTTAAATTTGCCCACCCAAAATTTTTGAAAGAAAAGTTATAACGACTTTCAACAGAATATCTTCCATCAGAGGGCACTTGATTGTCCAGATTCTGGAGAGTGGGGGGGGGCATAACTATATTCAGTTTAGCAGGGTTAAAATGTTGTTTTAAATCTTCAAGGAATGGCAGGGAATGAAAAGAGTAAATCACTTAAACTAATTTCTGCTTAGTCCTCAAAGGTTAGAACTATTACTAGTTTTGTAAGGTCAGAGACTTCAGTTTACAGAACAGCTCAGATATACCAACTTGACAGTTCTTAAATAAAAGAAAAAATGAGTCAAAGGGTGGGCAATATATATATATATATTAACTGAATTCAACCAGCATATTTTTAGAGATTAGCTATCTACATTTTTTAAAAAAAAGCTCAGTTTGTATATTTGTAAGCCAAAATACATTTACTATATTTCCCAACAAGGAAACAGATACTATAAAGTCATTGTTGAAACTTTCCAAAGTTTAAAGAAGAAAATGTCAGTTATTCTCTTTTCATAATGGTAAATGAATACCAGTGTCAGAAACATTGGCTTGATACCAAGAGCTATATTATGCAAATTCTGAAAATCTATGAGATTCCCTAATTTTCTTTTCTTGTTCTAGTATTTCTGGAACTAATTTGAATTAGCATACTAAAGATGGCTGTCCCCATTTTCTTACTGTGCAGATCTGGCACTTTTGAAGCATCAAATTAGCCCAAGAGAGCTACAGAGTGAAGAGAAAGCTTATCAGTTAATTGCCATGAGTTTATTGAAAATTACAATCAAACCATGTCCAGAATAATGTGAGGGGGGGAAGTGATCACCTTTCAGTTTACACCTGAAGCTTTGTTCTCACCCCAGAAAAATACTTCAGATTACATAATAAATTTTCTCTCTGGTATTAATATACAAATATTGTCACAACTTCCAATTGAGCTCTATAGTTGTTGTTGTTTTTTCAAAAAAGTTTTTATTTTCCAATTATCAATTACATAAACAAAAAAGAAGAAATTTCACATTTAACAAGATAAAATAAATACACCTAGATGTCGCCTGCCCACCCCCCCGAAACTGCATCCGCCCTCTCTTATACTCTCCCTTACTTCCCTCCTCCTTCTCCCTCCCCTCGCCTCTCTCTCCCTTCCCCCTCTCCTCTCACCATCCTACTTCCTCCCAAACCTTTCTCCTCCTCTCTCTCTCCCCTCCCCCTCTCCTCTCACCATCCTACTTCCTCCCTAACCTTTCTCCTCCTCTCTCATCCTGAGTTCTATAGTTGTTAATAGGCTGTTCAGTTATAGAATGTTGTCTTTTCTAGTACAAAGTTGCAGTGTTAATAATTCCCCATAACTAAAATATTGGCTTAGAAACATTCCAAAAACTTACAATATCTTTGCAATAGTTGCAGAGATCTTGGATTCCAATGAATATTGTTATGACCTTCCAGACAATGTCGAATTTGGCTTTCTGAATGAAGAGAATAATACAGTGTATCATTTCTGTATTAAGGATATAAGGATATCATCCTACACTATTAAAAAGCAGTGTATTATGATTCTGAATAAATTGCAAAATTCTTATGATTTTGATTGTTCACCGAATTTTGGGCTGCTTGCTAAGCATGTACTTCACGACTTCATGAGAGAGAAATACTATCTTTCATGTATTTTCGATATCTATAATCTGAATCCTAATCTATTTCTTTGTAGCAGTATCTTTAGGTAGCCTTATTGAAATTTTTTATTTTTTAATAAAATAAAGGCAGGATAGATCGTGAGAGTTCTTTCAAATGTACACCCCAGGTGAATGCCAGGTAAGGAGCCCCTGATAGGTGAAAGTAGAAGAGTCTACCAAGCTAAAAACCCAAATAGAAAGCGGAACCAGATATGAAAAGCCAGAAAGTTAATGGGAATATTTGATACTCCGCTTTCCACCATATGGGCTTAGCCATTGTGCAACAGTGACAAATCAATGAATTCCTTGAATGTTGCCAACCTACCAAATCATTTTTCATGATTTTTACTAGATGCTTTACTTGATCTGGTAGATCCCTAGGGAAAAAAAAATAAGAAAAAAAGATGAATCAAGATGATAGAGAACCAATGCCTGAAAACTTACCTAAAATGACAACTCTTTTAAAAAGCAACAGTAAAAGCAGAAATATGTACACAACTGTGGCTCCCCCCCAATAAAGCATTGTGAAAAGACTAGGATAATTGCACAATACAAGTATTGTCTGGAAATCCCCCAGGGAACACTTTTAATATAGTACCATCCTATATTGCTTTTATTTACAATGGGATAAGCAAAATCAGAAAAAGGAGTGATTCATCAGCAAAAGTGGTTGATGACTGATATCTAATAGCCAGGAACTTCAGAATCTATCCAACCAGTACTGCCTCTGTGAATATTTGAGCAAGCTTCTGTTAGACTCAAGGTAAAGTGCAAAGTCAAGTGACATTTTGCTTTCAGTTGTGCATAAAATTTAATAGTATTAGAAATTACTGTGTTTTGGGGAGGAAGGAAGGAAGGAAGGAAGGAAGGAAGGAAGGAAGGAAGGAAGGAAGGAAGGAAGGAAGGAAGGAGGGAGGCAGGGAGGGAGGGAGGGAGGGAGGGAGGGAGGGAAGGAAGGAAGGAAGGAAGGAAGGAAGGAAGGAAGGTGGCACAGTTTGAAAGTTTAACAAATAGTCAATTTGTTCAGTGAGGATGCCACCCGATTCTTGAATTATTACAGCTGACTGAAGCTATTATACAGAAGCATCTTAATAGTAATGAAAAATGGAAGAGGAGCTAACCCTTTGCACTTTTTAGGAATTCTTAGAATCTGAAGTGAGTTGTTGGTCTGTTCCTTGATTTGTTCTGTTTCATAGATTTCCCATACATAAGGATGTCCTGATATTTCCTGAAACAGCTTCACATCAGTGGAGATAAATAGTTAACTTTCATAAGATAATTCCTATATGTCTACTGGGTGAAAATCTAGGAAATATATTCATCTTTTTTATCTTTACTGGATAACCTAGAGTGCAAATAACTTCTAGCAAAAACATTTAAGAGTTCATGGACAGTGTAATAATATCAGTGAACATAACAGCAGCTTATGAAAAAAGGGGAAAGAGGGAACACTTATTTTTCTTCATTTCTTTCTCAAGTGAATACATATTAGGGAAGTCAAGAGATGTCCAGGAAACAAACCTTTGCATTATAATTCCAAGATAAAAGTGTTAGATAATATTGATGTGCTATTCCTTTCTTTCTTCCTTTTTTTGTACTGTCCCAAGACAATTTCCACCTCGAAGTGGATCAACAGCACCCAAAAATGAAGGGACATGAAGCAGAATTTTCTGCAAACACCTCTTACAATTAAGAATACAATAGTAAAATTTTTAATAAAAAATAATTTTCTGACATTTCATGACATTTTCAGTCTGTCACTTTGGCTACTTCACCTTGCGTAGGTGAAGTAATCCTGCAAAGATGAGTGATCAGCCAACAGGGAGCCACAAGGAGTGTGACCTATTTTTTCTTACAAGAAAGCTGATCAAGATAAACAGATCGCTGATTTTCTATCATTAGATGCAGGAATACCACATTCTGTTCTTGTCTGATCAACAGAGAAATCAATGAGGAAATAAGCAAACTTGAGCAGAATTACTGGAAACAAAAATGAGTATGACTGCTCTCCAAGACCTACCAGCCTTTCTAAACAGTGCTAGAATAAAAACCATAAATTAGCAAACAGAAGCATGGAACAGAAAGTGCCTTATTCCCAGCAATTCTCTCAGGAACACTGGGGGAAAAGAAAGCAAATGTCATGTACATGGATTTGTATGTCAACAATGTAGCATAATGGATAAATAAAAAATCAATAAATATGTAGTCTCAAAGTTTAATTCAGCCTCTGGGCCACAGAGGTTGCCAATTTCTAGGCTAATGAAACAGCCATCCATGTTAGAACTGCCTAGATTGTATCAAGAACATCATGAGCTATTTACTGTTCTGGAAAATTTGCTGCTGGAAAACTGCTGGGCCAGAATGCTTAAATCACATGATCCTGAACAAGATATAAACATTCTAGAATGCATCATTTTGCAAATTTTGTGTGTGCATGTGTGTGTTCAATTTTTTTATTAAAAAAAAACATACCTAGCCTGTGCTCCTGGAACTGCCTGATTGAGAAACGCATTTGCCTCAATAAATTCACCAATACCAATTGAATAACCTGTGAGGTTAGCATTGAATTCACGAAGGATATCTGAAAGAAATGGAAAATCACGGAAGAAAGAAATTCCAAGGACCTCTTTAGAGAATTTACTCAACAGTTACTAGATGTAGTGATCTGTTTTTCCTAGGACTAGCATTGTATCAAATCAAATTAGCTATAAATTAGCTCACTATAAAGTTATTGACGTAAAAATCTTGGCATATGTCCTCGACGTCTTTTCAACAATATACTGGTACAATGGCCTTGTCCCTCTTACCAGTATATGACTAACACCTCTTGGGGTATGTCTGAATATCAGAAACCACTTTGGATATCACTGACCAGCAAGAATACTCCAGTTCTTTCCCAATCTTACTGGAGATGCCAGAATTGTTCTGAGGTTGTTTGCATGCAAAACATCCTGAGCTAATGAATTATAGCCTCTCTCCTATGTTTCCTAAAGTGAACAACAAGATTACTGGACCGCAAAACATGGATACATGGAGGGTGAGATGTGAGATGCTGATAGAAAGGCCAGTGGTATTTCAGTTGCCTTTAATTGCACTTTTGGAAAAATTGTATATTTGGAAAGGCTTCCTGACTTTTGCATCCCTTGTTCTCCTGTTCATGTTAGAAAGAGAAAGGCATTGTGTGTGTGTGTGTGTGTGTGTGTGTGTGTGTGTGTGTAGGGGGTTTTCACGTGGTGAGTGTAGTGTGAAAGGAAGAATAATAGATTGGAAATTAATGCTTTTTATAAATGAAAGGACTGTATTTTCATTTTAAAGGCAATAAATGCATACCAGCTCTATCTGGTTTTGGTGTAGTAGAGAAGCTGATATTGCACAGGATTTTAATTTGTTTTCATTTTTTTCTATCTACTTTGCTTGTTGAAGTGTCATTCTAAATTGAAAAATGGCTTTCTTTTGAGCAAATATTGTAGCCTTTTTAATGTTAATGCACCTTATTCACTACTATTGTAATTGGAGGTATACTATATATTATTGCATTCAGGGGGAATTCAAAAGTTTTGCAGGATAATAAAGCAGACAAGTATTGGAGGATTTCAATTTAAGAATAAATTATTTGTTAATTATAATTCAAATCCTCCAAATAAATTGACCATCTACAACAAAAGCCTTTGAAAAAAACCAACACTGTCTTATTCCTATCTGCAGATAAGATTATATTTTGATTGATCAAACATTCAGAGTCAGGAAGCAATGCCAAATTTTAAGAATAACTCTGATATCAACTGCAACATTGAGTTCTGTGCCTCTATTGTGTCACAGGTTCCCTTCTTATTGAATTACTTATTCTTAATAACAATACACAGAGGGAGCAATTGCTATTTTCTCATAGCACAATTGCAGAAGCCAGGCTTGACGTACTTGGTAAAGTTGTTACATTCCTTAATGAAGCATCTCCTCCAATGCTGCAATAAATAAATAAAATAAAAAAAACAGAAGAAGACACCAAGCCCGTTAGTATAAAATAGAACTGGTGGCAAGCACCTTCTTTTTCATGAAAAATGCAGTTTAGGTAGCACGATAACTAGAACCAAGAAATGCTGATATAAATAGCAGGGAAAAGATGGAGAAGACAAGGTACATTCATGTCAGACACAAACAACCAGACCCACATGTGAAGAGTTTACATTAGTTACTTTATTGCTCAATGCCTATTTCACAGCAATCTTCCCAGGCTGACAGTTTGTACCTGGGTTAGACTAGATAAGGTTCAACAGCATTGAGAGGGGGGGAGAGGAGGGGTTGGACCTTGCTCTCTAATGCCTATGTAATGATTCCAGACCAATTCCTCACTTGACTCCTCCTGGCTTGGCCAATCTCTGACAATAAATGAATAAGTGTTTATGGAATATTAATGCTTGTATGATCTGAGCAAGAATTGAATTTGCTAATGCCAAACAGGAACCCTCACATAACATGGCCAGTGTTTTTTATTCTAAAATATACCCAGATTTCTATAGAACAAAGATAATCTTTATTTTGAAGAAATGGGCAACTTTTTAAACTTTCCTTGGCATAGCAGATTCAGCATAGCAATTATAAAGAGATTCAGGAGTTAGACTTCCTTCAGAAAATTCCAAAAACTGTAACCCTACAGGGAAAGGAATATGGACTCATAGTATTCTCAGCATATCAGCAAATAACAGCTCTCAAGATTTTTGAGGTGTCATCTTAATTAAACCACTTAAAACTGGTATTATTTTGCTCCATAGATATAGAACACATGGTGAAACTTTAAAAATGCAAGATGAATGAAGTAGCCTCCTTGCTGAATGGTTTAATGCTGTTTCAAGAATGTTCAGAAATAGCCTAGTTGAGTGTATTTTGGTCTTTTGAAACAGCATTCAACTCATGTTCAACAACAGTTCCTTTGATAGATAACAGGCACACAGAAACAGCACGAGGGGAATGGGACAGGGGTCTTGCAAAGTTTTTGCTCTGCATCTGTTGCCTGATGGGCAATTTCTAAACATGGGATCAAGGCTCTTCTGAAAGAAGGTGAACCCAGCTGACAGGTAACAGTCATAGATGGGTATATGGGGCAAAGCAAGGGGGGAGGAGCAAATCCACGATGAATAAGCTGCATTGCCAACCATGATTGAAAGGAAATGGAGTCTAGTTCATAAATAACAAACAGCCTGACAATTGCAGTGGCCTCAGGCATGTCCTGGCAGTGATCTCATCAAGGCCATACTGAGTTTTAGCATTCATCTGTGAGTCATTGCAATAATAAAAGTTATAAAAACAGGATGAAGGCAGTGTTACAAGAAGCATTGGGAGAATTCCCCCCTATTATATCCTGGGTCTCTTTAGGTACTACCATCTGTTATTGGATAACTTGACAAGTGGATAAACCTACTATACTAAGCATTTATCTAAACTGACCCCACTCCAAAAAGTGCTTGTTTTCCCCACCAGATATAAAATTAATCCAAGGGACTCCATCAGTTCCTGAACTCGCAGTAAGCAAACAAGAACAGCGCCATCTGCTGTGCTTATTATTGTAGCAGAATATTATGGCAGAATATTGTAGCAGACTTTTCTGCCAGCTCAAGGACGGATGGATAACACTTTAACCAGCCATGATTTGAGCCCAAAGACAGCAAACTTACCTCCAAGCCAGACCCCGATATTGTGTATGCATATCCTGCATATCATTTGGTGCTGATCCAATTCCAATACCAGCCTATCTCAGAAAAAATAGAAAGAACGATTTCACCATTTATGTATTTTGTGTTTTCTTTTCCTTTTTTTATTGCTCAAATAAAACTACCCCCTTAAATCTTTGGCACTTATGACATGGGTATCTGACCTTTATACTTATTTAATTATAATGATATACACAAAAGTGTGAAATCCCAGCTGCCAGTTCTTTAAATATTGTTAGCCTTCATCTGCATCAAGTTCTTCCCAAAAATCTAGAACAGGGCTGTCAAACTGCCAGCCCGTGGGCCGGATGCGTCACGTGGAAGCCACGCCCACCCCAGCTCTGGCAAGAGGAAAAAAGTCACGATAAGTCACAACACGTCACGTGACATGGCGAGTTTGACACCCCCAATCTAGAATGTCATAATGTATACGCATAATATATGTGAGGATCCAAGCAGTGAGGCCTTTTGTAATTGACAGATGGAAATTTTGTCAATGCATAGATTTTAAGTGCAGTCCAAAACTTATTATTATAATTGGTCACACAGCCAGCCACATGTTAGGTGGATCTGGCATTTTTATCCACACATTATTATTATTACAAGCCTCCCCTGTATGACATTTTAAAAAATCTGAAATAGTGGAGGCATACACCATGTCCCATCAACAAGATTTATGGATGCACAAAGTGGTGTTTTGAGCTGTTATAAGCAGGATGCAAGATTAATGGAGCAATACAGCCGAGAAATTCATCAAGAAATGATACACTATCAGTTCAGTGAGCACTTGTACTACTGCTGTCCCATTATTTATTCAACGAAGCTGAATGGAGAAAAGTCAAAATGGGGTTGTTGCATATGTGTAAAGGTGCAACAAAAACAGAGTTTTTCTTGGAAGCCCATAGAATGCAACAAAGAGACAAAATGAAGATGATTGGGAGAAGTAGCAGCACAATTTAGAAATCAGTGCCCCTCATGTAGGCCACATCCACACATCTTCTGCACTGTGTTACCCTCTCATTCTGGAACAATCAGGAAATCCTGCCACCTTAATTCTCCTCTCATCCTACCTACACAAAATGAGCACTTAGAATACACCCAGAACAACTGAGCTACATTTGTTCATAAAGCTTTAATACCTGACATTCTAAGAGCTATGATCCTTCATCTGAAATCTGAACTCTTGCTATGAACAATCAACTTTTAAAATTGTGCATTGGGGGGGGGAACCAATAACTTGATTTTGGTTTTTCCTCACTGTCAGCCTCTGCCATGCTTTATATTAAAATTACAAAAGTGTTTTGCCACTCATACCAATAGTCCAGCTTTGCTCAAGTTCAGGGAGTCAGGGATAAAAATAACAGACTGATGAAGTTTCCCTTTAGAACTCAAAACAGCTGCTATCAATGTCTGATTAAATTACTTAATGAAGTGATTAAGGCTGTCAGTTTTGTTGAAAAAGCCAGTCTGGATTTACATGAAAACCTGAGCCATAATGATTTGATTCATACTGAGTCAGAGAAAAAAAATCTCATTAGGGCTGAGAATTATGATGAACCTACAGTAGGGGTGTCAAACTGCCGGCCGGTGGGCGGTTGCATCATACAGATGCCGTGCCGGCAATGCAAAAGAAGTCACAATACTTTGCAACACATCACGTGACGCAGTGAGTTTGACACTGTGTCCTAAGGCTACATTTCCACAGTGGGAGTAGCCTTTGCCTCTCCCAGGAGCTAGCACATGAATCTGTACTCTGTATTTAAATAAACAAAGGGAACCACAGCTTTCCTAGACAAAGAGTGGCAAAAGAACCAGGCTTCTTACAGTCATGGAATCTCCCAAGGCAGCTATTACTTGCACATCAGCTGGTTTTAGGCTATGCACTGTAAAACAAAAAGAACAAAGGGAAAAAAAACATTGTAATTAAACCTCTTGCAGGAAGCAAGAGGTTCCTGCAAGAGGTTGCTAATTTCAGCATAAAAAAAGCCTTATTCATAATTTTTGTAAGACATGTCTTCACAATGTCACCTTTGTTTCACCCCAAGTTCTCTACAGAGTGAGAGTGAATGTAATGGTTCCAATTCAGAAGACGTGTACTGCCTTCACAATCAATCTGTGATGCCTCTATATTAATGCTGGTGATGACTCCATCAGATTCTGGGTCCTGCCAGATAGTATTAGCCTTTTGAGGTTACTTGGAGCAGGCCTCCCTCCTCTGGTTCCTGAACACCATTTTCCAGGGCCATTCTTCTTTTGACACGGGAAACGTTGTTTCTTTTAATTAGGTTTTCCTGGTGCCAAAAAGCTATCTCTCATCACTTCTTCCAAACATTTATGTTAATGAACATAACTTCTTGACTGTACTTAGTGATATTATTGCATTACTTTATCAATTCATGGTTTCCACTGGTTCTATCCTCTCCTTGAAAGCCACTGAAGTTAGTGGTATATGCTAAATAAATACAGATAGTCCTTGTTTAACAACCACAACTAGGATCAACAACTTGATTGTAAACTGAAGCCATCGCTAAGTAAAAACACAACTGTGCTTGTGGTCTTCAGTTTTCCTTTGCTTCATAGACCTGAGCAGGTTGCAAATGCAAGGATTGGTTGTAAAGCTACTTTTTCATTGCCATCCTAACTGAGCAGTCACTAAATAAGGCAGTTGCTAAGAACTACCTGTAAAGTATTCATACTATTAAGAAAAAATAGCATAATAATGCATGTAAGATTCAAAAGTCAGAATTAACTATTCACAGCAGCGGAGCCATAAATTATTTGATTTTTCCAACTGCAAGAGCAAGCACACTAATGAACTTTTCTGATATGTTGCAGAAAAAAAATTCTGAGAAATCTTTTTTTTTAATACACATTTTATTGTTTTTTTTAATTTTAACATCAAAGTGCTCAGGAAAACACCGTGGTGAAAGGCTAATCAATCATAGCAAAACAAGTCATATATATATAACTAAAATTAATACCTTAAAAAATTCCCCCCTCTATTGCTTCACATGATATAACAAATTTAGTTTAATCTATTTCTTCTTAAAATTCAATTAATCCACAGAATCATCCCTACTATTACATCTACATAAATCACTTCTGCTTTTAAGCTCCACTAATTTCAATTAAAATATTCCAATTGATCTTAAACAAACACATTAATAAAATTTTGGGAATCCCTTCTACAACACACATAATATTCCAAGAATAACATTCTAATATTTTCACATATATTCCATCTCTTAATTTAATACATCATTAATTAATACCCTTTCTTCTCTTATCATAGAGCTCTCCAATTCTTCTGCTATTACAAAATAGTTTTCTATATAAACAGAGTAAAACAAAAAACAAAAAAAGAATCATTTCGACCTATTAAGTAAAATTTAACTTTCAACCAAATTAACTATCATATCTAAGACAAACATAATATTACACCAATTGTTATCTTACTGCTTTCATTTATTCAATTAGATTGTCAAATCAGTCCAAATCTCTAAAGCCTTTTTGACCCAATAATTAAGATTTTAAATCACATTTTTAAATCTAACTCTGGCTTTTTTTCTATACCAAGCTGGTTTCCGTAATGTCGCATCTATGTCATCAAATCTCAGTATTTGAGTACTAATGTTTATCAACAAATTGATCTGATCAAAATTCTCTTCCCCTTTTTCCAGTATCATATAAGCAATATAGTCCATTTTATTCCATATTATAATTTCAGCTTGATTATCCAGGTTGTCATAACTTTCAATCGATCGCGTCTGGCTGTCAATTCCTGTTAGTTTTGGAAATGGGAGAACTTCACTTATAGTCATTTTTTGATCTTCAAAGTTCTCCATTTGTACATAGACTTGTGAAATATCCTCCTCTGTAGTAGTTAGTTGATTTATAGAGTAGTTATTTAAGGTCTCAATCTGGGGTTTTGGGTCCAGAAGAAAAAAAAAAATTCTGAGAAATCTTAAAGATGTAGGTAGTACAACAGAAACATGTATAAGTCACAGCCAACATCATCAGGATGTTTTCATAAGTTTTCTTCTAATACTTAGATTATAATCTTACACAAGCCTCAGAATAAGTTCAACTGAACTCTTTTGCAATTCAACTGAATAAGAGTAAGAGTACATCTGCATAAGAGTAAGTCTCACATCTTTAAGTACATCTTTATTTTTTGTATAAATGAACAATCCACATTTCCTTAAAAAGGCTCCTCCTCCCCCAGTGACAATACATTATTAGTATTTGTTTTGTTTGTTTGTATCCTTATTATTTCTACACATAACTCAAGGTGGCGAACATGTCCAACTGGTCCTCCTCCTTCTGTTTTTCCCACAAGAACCCCCTGTGAGGTGGGTTGGGCTGACAGAATGACTGGCCCAAAGTCACCCAACTGGTTTTCGTGGCTAATTCAGGACTTGAACTCACGGTCTTCTGGTTTCTAGCCTGGTGCCTTCATCACTAGACCAAACTGGCTCTCTATAGCAGTGGTTCTCAACCTTTTTAATGCCGCGACCTCCAACTGGTCGTAAGTCGAGGACTACCCAACCGGTCATAAGTCGAGGACTACCCAACCGGCCATAAGTCAAGGACTACCCAACCAGTCATAAGTCGAGGACTTTCCCTGCCCTGGAGCGTCGCGCATGCATGGTGCCGCCCCCTGCGCCGGCTGAGGCGTAGCTGGCAAGCGGCAGAGACGGAGCAGGCCAACCACCAGCTGGGCCACCAGCTGGCCCAGCCCAAGGGAGGTAAGGCACCCGCTGGGCCCCACAGGCACCAGCAACCCTCCCTGCACCCCCAGGCCTCCCATCTCCCACCCCTGGCCCTCTTTTACTTACATTTTTAGTAGTTGCTCAGCAGGGGGAGTGGAAACTTCCAGACAGCTCGCCTTCGCTGCAGACAACTTGCAGCACCGTTTGCAGAATGGGACTTTTGCCGGGCTCAGCAGGGCAGAGACAGCCTGGACAATTTCTATTGGCTTTTGAAAGCCAATAGAATTAGACTCTATTCAAGAGAATCTATTCTATTGGCTTTCAAAAGCCAATAGAATAAAAGGGAATAGCACAGCTAAGGACAAGGGGGAAAAATGGTGGACTGCATTGTTTGGTGACCCCCGTGAAATGGTCATTCGACCCCAAATGGGGTCACGACCCACAGGTTGAGAACCACTGCTCTATAGTATCTTAACTATATTCTTTCAGGCCTGCTAGTCATGTTAATTAATGTTCATTATCATGGATCATATCTGCAACTTTATTTAAAAGTATGGGTCCCTGCTGAAAATACTGCAAAATCTGTTTAGAATTTGAGAAAGAGTTGATATTTTAAATTTGTCCTTAATGATATCTCTTGATTTTGGTGTCAAACAGCTAAGATTACCTGAAGTAGGATATTCGATGGATGGTGCTTTATCCTTGCACAGCATCTGGCTTCCATAAACGGGAGTATTTTCCTTGTAGTAAGTATAGTTGCTATTTTTGTATGTCATTAAATATGGCTGGGCCTACAGAACAGGAATAGCCAAGTCAAAGAGAAAAGATGATCCCAAAGCGCCCTCCAGAGGCAAGTCTGTCTTACAAATAAACCAGATACTATACAGTCATCTATCTGTACCTCTGATTAGGGACCAACCAGATGAAATAGGAGGAGATTATGAGATCTCAGCAATTTTAACAGGATAAAAGCAGACATTGTTTCTCAGGCAGAAGTCAACTTTCCTTACATTGTTCTTTCAGTCTAAATCTCTCTCACATTTACCCTTACCATCTCAGTTACTGTTGATCTTCAGAAAAAAATACACAGATAGTTGGTGGGATGAATTAAGTGTGGGATTCAGGTGGGGGGGAGGGAGGCATGGAAATTAAGTGCCCTTCGGAATAATAGCTCTGAATTTATTAGTCTACTAAGAGGAGCTTCTGTTATAGAGAGAGATAGAGAGAGAGAGAGAGAGAGAGGGAGGGAGGGAGGGAGGGAGGGAGGTGGAGGGAGAGAGAGATGCAAAATCCAGAGAGCAAATCATGCAGCTTATTAACCCAAGAACTGTGGAAGGTGCTTCCATCTAGAAATCATCATGATTCCCTAGGTCAGTATATTCTCCAAAGCCACAATTTTTTTAGCCAGTCAACGCAGTTGCACCACTTAAAGAAGACCAACACGAGAATATCTTCTCATCCATGTGCCTTCCAGGAGTTCAGACATCACAACAGTAGGTGCTAGTGAAGTGCTAGGTCCTTGGAGTGAGTAAGGGATTTTAATGAATTCAGATGGACCCACATTAACACTTCCCCTCATGTCATCTCTCACTTTCCAGATACATACCAGTATACCTTTTCTGATGTCTCATTTTATCCATAGAAGTTCCTCACTGAGGTTAGTGAGGCTATAGGGCAATTCTCACTTCTATGTTAGTGACCAGCATCCAATCAAGGCTAACCCAGATAATTTCTATCTTGCAGGTGTCAAGCTTCAAAGAAACGTATTCTGCTTCAGCCATCATTGTTTCTTAGCTTGCCAACAGGGGGCGGGGGAATGATTGGAATGCTCATTGCAGGTCTGAGTGGTCCACCATGAGAACCAAGGTCATCGGAGAACCATTGGCTGGAAACTGAAGATTTTTCTTGTAACAAATATCTGACACTTAATTAGGGAATGTGACCTGCACTATTAAGGGGGAAGGGAGGTTCTATACTTTTAATTTACTGTACCATTTCAGCCAGAGCTGGCTTTTTATTTATCAGTGCTGATATGCTGTACTCAATAAAGTTTTGCATTAGAGACTGGAATGTCTCAGCTGTGCTTACTTTGTTGGGATCATCAGTCGGAACTTTGACAGTAGGATTTATAGAAAAGAAACAGGATGGTGGTGACAATATTAATCTCACTTGCACAGCAAGGATGGGAAAGAAAATAGTACTGGAAATTACATTGCACTATAGAGTCCTAAGAAAATTCATTTACCTGGTTTGGACATTTGAGTGTTATCTCAGGTTCAATTCTTTGTATTATTGTCTTTTCTGCAATGGGTTCCAACTGTAGTAAATAATAAGAAAATATGTAGGGCATGGAATAGGAGATGAAAAACAAAAGATGCAGGAATGGATGCCATAAATCATTACAAAGTGTAATCCACAGACCTTTCGGAGAATTAGATAAATCAATATATAATTGTTTTTTGAACTATAACGATCTAATCCTGCAATTTTTAGTATATTAAAGATATAATGCACAGGGGAAAGAATATTGCAGCAGAATATCTGGCTCAGTTCCTTTCCAAACAAAAGGATTGCATTTTCTAAATCTAGTAGCTGAACTATTACTCCAGAAGAAATATTGCAGGCAGTTTTGCTGTGTATCCTCTGGAATTGCAGTACAACCAATTACCCATTTGTGAAAAGTCCACCTCATTCACCTCTTGGAACCATTAGATCAGGCATGTCAAGCTGCCAGGCCACGGGCCGGATGCATCACACTGAAACTGCGCCTACCCCATTGCCGGCAATGGGGAAAAAGTCACGATATGTTGCTCGATGTCATGTGACATCACAAGTTTGACATGCCTGCATTAGGTGGAATAGTAATTTTTATATTTTGCAATTTACTAGCTGGAGAAGAGGGAAGAGGGTCTATGACAATTCTCCACAGCCCAATTGCCATAGCCAACTCACCATGGTCAATTTGCCACAGCCAATTCACTATGGCCAACTTGCCATAGCCAACTTGCTGCGGGACAAGAATTACACTAATATCAAAAAAATAATCCAATAGAATCCTTAAAGAAAGGATGCCAAAGAAGGGACAAAATAAAATGTGAATGACAAAAATTAAAATATTTTTTTAATTATTTTAAATAATTAAATTGAATTGTTGAATTGTCCCATGGCGAGTTGGCTATGACAAATTGGCTGTGAAAAGTTGTCCCATTCCAGAGGGAAGAAGCTCCTACCGTATATTCCGGCGTATAAGACGACTTTCTAAACACTTAAAATCTTCGCAAAAGTCGGGGGTCGTCTTATACGCCGGAAAAATATTTACTCAGCAAGTTTTCTCTCCCCCCCCTCTCTCTCACTCAAAAAGAGTCCTAGGGTTATTATTAAAACCAGCCGATCAACTAAAGATATCTCTTTCCAGCCTCTATACTGGGAGTACGATAGGCATTATCTGGCTGTCGTGACAGTAAGATTTCCTGGAGGTTTAATCCCCATTCTATAATGCTACATTGCAAACCATCTCTTCTCTTCTTCCCTCCCTTTTGCATCCCAATTCCTTGCCCATCCCTCCAGAACTGCGGATTGGTAGTGGCCATCCCCTGATTAATTCATTCAAAGGAAGTAGAAAGGGATGGCCCATGTAATGGGGAAGGGGGGGAAAGAGTTGTAGGGTGGTTTTTTTTATATAATGAAAACAAACCTAAGCATCTGCGTCCATTCGAGGCACTTCTCAGTGCTTCTTCATGCAGGCTTTTCAGCGTTTACCTCTCACTGCCTGTGAGAGTAACTTGGGGGAGGCGGAGCTTGTGGGTCTGGAAGGGGAGGGGTGTCAGCTAAATTCCTCTCGGATTTACGAAGCAGGAATGGAGTGGGGACAGAAAACAGCTACACAATCCTTTCGCCTCTCGACTTCCACCGAGCTTATGCAAGCAGTTCCCCCCCCCCGCCTAAATAAACTTGCATGGTGCATTTGTGGTGTTATTTATGACAGATCCTGGCTGGTCAATCTGGCTCCCATCTATAAGTACTGTAGTGCACTGAGTTTTAATAACAAATTAAAAGGAAAGCATTTACTCCCCCCCATTACCTGAAAAGGGGGCAACTTATCACATTTGTGGAAATGCAAGTTTTCAAAGGGCGAATGCCTTTCTTACTTAGTTTATTAACTGCTTCCTTTCCTTCTTCCCTAAACATTCTGTCTGTCTCCAATTTCATTCTTGGTAGTGTTGCTTTTAAAAACTGCTGAGAAGTCCTTTTGCAGGCAGGGCAATTTTCATCAAGGTGTGTGTGCGATTGACAAGGCAGAGCCTTTGACAAACAGGCAGGCTTTCTGCTCACTCAGCTTGGAGAGGATGTGGAGGATTCGCAGGGTGGAAGACTGAGAGGAGGAGATCCCTGTGTGCAGCCTGCTTGCTCCAAGCCAAAGCTTGCTACTGGGGGGGGGGCAATGGAAGGGACCCGAGGAGTCACACGCATGCCTACACATGCACGCACACACCCTGAGCTACTCATTTGGACTTACAGGTGGCCAATGAGAACTCAGAAACTGTGCTCCCTTTCCCCCTCCCTCATGGAAGAGGGGTAGTCTTATACGGCGAGTATAGCCCAAACTCTATATTTTAACTGGAAAAGTTGGGGGTCGTCTTATACGCCCAGTCGTCTTATATGCCGGAATATACAGTAAGTGAAGATGATTCTTGGCAACAGAGTTGCATGCATGCAATTAGGAGCATTTGTGTGGCAATAACAGTGGCTGTCTAAGATAGCATGAAAGTATCTTAACACAGACTTACTAAATCTTATCTTCCTAATAATCTACAAGTGGACATCCAGTTAAAAATCCATTGTGACACTACATACACAGTGAATGTGATTCACCAATATCTTTCCATAATCAGAAAACAATTGACTTTCAGGATGGGTATGTCCTGTTAGTTTTTCTTATTGTGGACATTATAAAGTTTCAGTGCTTTTTACTATCAGATTTTCTTCACTTCTCAGTGTATAACCTTCTCACTGTTCCTGCCTATAGCATAAAACAAATGCCAGTTCTATAGATGTGAAAGATACATATCAGGTTCTCATTCAGTTTTTTTCTTTGCTTTGCTTTTAAATTATTCTTAGACTATGATAGTAGACTATGATAGTAGTACAAAATGTCCACATTCTCAGATTTATGAATGGGATTAAAAGAAAATCTAGAGCAGGGGTCCTCAATCTTGGCAACTTTAAGACTTGTAGACTTCAACTCCCAGAATTGCTGGCTGAGGAATTCTAGGAGCTGAAGTCCACAAGTCTTAAAGTTGCCAAGGTTGAGGACCCCTGTTCTAGAACAAGCTCTTACCATGTTGTTCCACAGCGCCCGAGCAACCTGGGTGTGAGTCTTCTGGCTGAAATGAAAACAGTCTGGGGCAAAATATGAAGCATCTGGAAGTCCATCCTAAAGTAAGAATCAGACATTATTATTTCCATAAGGGCATATTCTGACTCTGAGTTAAAAACGTCTTCTTTTAAATCAAGTCAGATAGATAACTCAATAGAAATGATTTCATAACAAAAATATATTTCAATCAGAAAGATTACTTGCATTCATGCTGTGGTTGTTACTTCTGGAAAATACATCTTTTGTCCATTCCTATAGGTAAAAGAATGATGCTCTCTTCCACACCATCTTTATAACGGTGCAGGCTCATCGGGTGACATCTGATGGCCCATGCCTCTTTCAGACAGACATTCCAATCTGGCTTGTGTCCAGGAAATCTCCCAATGCCCTTTAGAAACTCCTCCCACTGACCCATCAACAAACCCAGCATTTAACCCAATAACTGCCAGACATTCTAACATACTGATACATGCTCACTAGTTAGGGTTACATAGAGCTATACGAGGTTACATAGAGCTATACGGTTCAGAACAGGGCAACTCTGCTGATTTTTTCCAGCAAAGCAAATATGTGTTGCTGGATATATTTTCAAGAACTAGAGCCATTTCACTTGAGGGACAGAAAAGAACCTGTAAAAATGGAAACAAATGACTATCCAATTCAAGATACTCAGTCTATATATACAGAATAAAGCCTAAATATATGCTGTACACAACAAGCTTAATGACTGTCGATCACAACAATTGTGAATACTGTTGAGACTACAGGTTCATAAAGATACTGTGTTATCCTCTTTGAAGAATTTCTTGGTTGTTAGATATATATCCCATCTTCCTTCTTGAAGCTGAAGGTGACATATTATATTATGCTCCCTTTTTCACTTTTGTCTCTACAACTAGAGATAATGAGATTGGACTGACAGAGTGTGACTTACCCAAAGTCACTTAATTATCTTTGATGACTAAGGATGAATTTGAATCAGAATTTCCACAGTCAGGTCCTATATCTTAACCACTATATCTTACAAGTTATCTATATATAGCAAATTGAAATCCAGTCCACACATTCCAAGAAATGTGTGCATTTTTTAAAAAAAAATATATGCTTAATGTGTCTAATTTTATTTTGAAGAGATGGGAAGCAGAATCTTTGAGAGAAAGTTGGCAGAATCCTGCAATACACATACCACAACATTTGTACAAGAAAATCTTTAAACTTTTTAACTGATTAGTTGTGCATTTTAATGAAAAGTGTATTTCTTATAAAATTCGACTTAGGATGAAAATAGGGCAAACAAATTTACTCAAATGAGGAATAAATTATATCTGAACACTATTAAAGAATCTCTTAAAAGTCTGGTAATTCCAAACTGCAGGTATTGTCCACTGGCTTTTCCAATTGCTCTAGGAGCTATTTACAGTCTTGTAGCCCTGTTCAGGTGATGCATTTCCATGCCAAATTCAACACTTAAATAGATGTCATTGATAAAACTAGTGTCAATGGATACAACATGGTTATCTTCAGCCAGGACTCTTTGTTGTCACACATTAGTTTCCTTATGAACTAGAAGACAATATTCTTTATGTGTTGATTATGGGAACATATCATCCAAAAAACAGTAATATCCCACAGCCACAACTGAGTTGATGTGAAGACTCTGTTTTGGGGGATTTATTACATATAAGAGATTGATGATAAGTTTCTATTATGAAAATCCTGAGCAGCTCTTGCACAAGAATAAAAGCAAGGACTACTGGACAAATTCAGTGTATCTAGTATTCAAAGTACACATCTTATCTATTTATTCTATTTTAATTCTCACTAATAAGTCAAAGCCCCAATTTTCTTCAGTCTTATTCTAGCTTTCTTTCTTTGCCAAATCATCTTCCATGTCGGAGCTTTTGAGTCATCAAATAAATCTCGCTGTGTTGTTATGTATATTGTTTGACATAGAAAAAAAAAACATCCAGTCACCATTTTTTTGAGAGGAGTAACAAACCTCATCTCTCTATTTTTCCATAGTTGTCCTGAACTGTTTATCTTCTCTTCAGTCTGTTCTTCTTCTTGATCCTCAGGTTTCTTCTGATTTATATAGGAAGTCTTTTCCCTTTTCTACATTGTCAGTCCCTTTTCTGGGTTTTCCATTAACTGTATTAGTTGATCAGTTGAATCTTCTGTCATAATATTTAATTGTTCCACTTTTTCTAATATATTCTGTATAGTTAATTTTTTAGTTGTAATCAAAGTTTGAGTTCGTATATCTGGGCTGACATCTTGTTCTTTTCCGTAACTTCTTATTTCATCAGTAGCTGTAAGAATAGTTTCATAAATTGCTTTCAACATAAAGAGAATCTGTTCCTGATCTTCACCGCTTCTGGAGGCAGGTTGTTCCACTGGCTAATTGTTCTAACTGTCAGGAAGTTTCTCCTTAGTTCTAGGTTGCTTCTCTCCTTGATTAGTTTCCACCCATTGCTTCTTGTCCTGCCTTCAGGCGCTTTGGAAAATAGCTTGACTCCCTCTTCTATATGGCAGCCCCTAAGATATTGGAATACTGCTATCATGTCTCCCCTTGTCCTTCTCTTCATTAAACTAGACATACCGAATTCCAGCAGCCGTTCCTTATATGCTTTAGCCTCCAATCCCCTAATCATATTTGTTGCTCTTCTCTGTACTCTTTCTAGAGTCTCAACATCTTTTTTACATCGCGGTGACCAAACTGGATGCAGTATTCCAAGTGTGGCCTTACCAAGGCATTGTAAAGTGGTATTAACACTTCACGTGATCTTGATTCTATCCCTCTGTTACTGCAGCCTAGCACTGTGTTGGCCTTTTTGGCAGCTGCAGCACACTGCTGGCTCATATTTAGGTGATTGTCCACTAAGACTCCGAGGTCCCTCTCACAATTATTACTATTGAGCAAGGTACCCCCCCCATACTATACCTGTGCATTTGGTTTTTCTTGCCTAAATGTAGAACCTTGCTTTTTTCACATTGAATTTCATTTTGTTAGATAGTGCCCAGTGTTCAAGTCTGTCCAGATCCTTCTGTATCTTAAGCCTGTCTTCCGGAGTGTTGGCTATTCCTGCCAGTTTGGTGTCGTCTGCAAATTTGATGAGTTCCCCATCTATCCCTTTGTCCAAATCGTTGATGAAGATGTTGAAGAGCACTGGGCCCAGAACAGAGCCCTGGGGCACCCCACTACACACTTCCCTCCATGTAGATGCGATTCCATTGAGGACCACTTGCTGAGTACAGCTGGTCAGCCATATTCTTCATCCATATTCTCTTAGTAGTGTATTAGGTTAAAAGCTTTGCAATCAGAGAATGCAAAAAAATTTTTGTCACTGAGTATAGAACACAGCTGGGCTTCTCACAGCTGATATCTCAAGGTTACAAAAGTCTTATCTATAGTTTGGGTCAAGTCTCTTTTAAGCAATAACAACTTGTAATATCAGGTTTAGCCACAAGATGTCGCCCATACCATTTAAAATTTTCTTTTAAGTCCAAAAATTTTATAATCTTTTCAATTTTACTTCTTTTTTGTAAGTAAAAACCCAGATCTTCAGTAAGAATAAAAAATCTTTTAGTCCACAAACTTTAAAAAAAATAAAATTCCAATTAGGAGCAAGTTATTCTTACAACATTTTAAACTCCCCTGGATAGTAAGTCGCCATTGTTTTTAGAGGGAGGGATAAAATCTCCCTTCCCTCTCCACAGGGGGAAAAGTACTTTGAGCAGCTTATGCAGGTAAAAAAGATAGTTAGGATTTAAGAGAGGTAGATCTCACCCAGTTTCATCCACGCTGCTTTATAGTTGCCTGATGGTAAATGTGACTTCGGCTGTCTGCACCTAATGATGAGCCATATTTCTATGGCCTGTCTTTCATCCGCTGGTTTGCAGGGCTGCCCTGGATCAAGCGGAATGGCTACTGTCCTCCCACGATCAAGCAGGGATCCCCTCCTTGCTGGTCACCCCTACAGGGTGACTTTCAACCCTTTCCAGGGTCCCCCATTGAAGCAAAACTTGATGTGAAAGATGGAGCTCGCCTTCCAGATGGCCATTGATAAACAATTTAGTCTGCTGACCATTAAATCATAGTTGCTTGCAACCATCATGGCTTTGCTATCCTTCTCCTGAAAATAATTCCCAATCTCACCATATTATGAGTTGGGTTCAGACACAGTCAAATGTAAATGAGACCATTGAACTTAATGGTATTTAAGTTAGCTAGGTCCCACCTATGATTTACAGTTCTCAAAAATTTAGCACATGTATACATTTGTAGTTACCGGAGTCATAGGCATTTCTGGTTTTTCGAAAAGTGGTTGCACAACCACAGTGAAATCTTCTCTTGTGTCATACCTTCCACTCTCGATTAAGCGATGCGTTTCTTCCTGGAAAAACAAAAACCCATTATGTTGCTCCTTTTAGAGCAGCTAAACAGTGAAATGACAGGCTGATATATCTGTCAAAGAGATGTCAAACACAGGAATAATGCTCAATCACTTCTTTGGTTTATATAGGGAAAACTGCCAATTTTTCAGAGCATCTGAATCTGACCCCTAATTGTCTACACTCTTATGGACCTTGAAACGCAGGACTAAACTCAAGCCCATTAGTGCTTCCCCCCCCCTCCATCTGAAGTATAAGATAATGCATGTTTCCCCATCCTTTGAACTACCAAAGGTCATGGAGTAAAAATTAATTGTTCTCCATCCCACAATTCATCTGATCCATGTTTTTCAGTACATGTGTGTTATATACTGTACATTTAGTGGTTTACAATTTACAATTTCTCTTGCACACTCATGCATAGACACACATAAAGTTGCTAATGTGAGAAGCTACCTAAGGGTTCAGTTTAAGTCCTCCGAAGATTTCCCAACCTGCCATTTCATTGTTGCCTGTGACTTGAGATGAATTCTGAACATACATTCATGAAAAACCAAAAACTCAAAAGTGGAATTTTATCTGAGATTAAATGAAGTAAGCGCTGAGATGAAAGAAAAGGAGATAATGGCAGAGTTTGTTCCAATAGAAAATAGTCAAGACCTATGGAAATGCAAGTGTTCAAAGAGAGAGAAAACTCTGGTTTTCTGGTTAAAATTGCTCACAAAATTTACATACCTATTGTTCTGCAAAACAATTAGAATCCCTATTTTTTTTTTAATCTGAATAGGAAGATTATGTCATAAATCTCCATGATGTAATATGTGATGTGGTCTGAGAATCTATTCCAAATTCTCATTTCTGCTACAGGCTCTTTTCCTCAGATTTCCAATAACAAAAGAAACTGTACCATCAAAACAATAGCCCACTGCATTTTTGCTTCTACTGCAGTCATCTTTTCTTTGCTCACTGTCAAACTAAGCCACATTTCAAAGTCCAAGTCGCTGGGCTTTGCTTCTAACCAGACATCTGATATTTGTGGAACACACAGTAGGACCTCTGCCTTTTCAAGTCCATTTGTTCTATCTAATACTGGAGGAATTGTTGCATTATTCTTTGTTTAAATATATAATGTACCCCCAAAATGAAGCAATGGACTTACAGGCTTTAAAGGAATTTAAAACAGGTTGACATAATTCAAGCAGAAAAGCAGTCTTACTTTTCTCAAGAGAGACAGTATTTTATTGACCAACTATATAACACAAAATATTTTTAAACAGGTTTGATGGAACCTATTTCCATACTAAGTGTATAACTGCAGCTTTCGGTCAGTTGCACTTTTTGGAATTATGATGTATTTCCATTTATGTTAAACCTTTTTGAACTTGTAAGTAAAGGTGCATAGGATTGGGATGTGTGTTTTATTGATAAAAATTAGGTTATGTGATTATTATCAAAAGTTGGCCCAGCACTGCAAGTACGCTTTTAAATGAAGGTGTGAAAAAGACTAAATGTAATTTTGACATTTTAAGTCACTACTTATTATTTTTAAACTAACTTGCTTTTAATGGTTAAAAACAAATCCTGTAGCAGAGTTAGTAAAATGGCAAAAATAGCTAATATGTTCATGCTTGGTTTTTAAAAGGATGAGGTGTAGAACAACTGCTATATGTTATTTTATAATACATTTCCCTTACCTGATACCTTTGATTTAAAAACACTAAATTCTCAATTTCAGAGGAATTGTCATTAGGTTTGAAAACGCATGGACACAGTGCCCTAGAGTGGAAAAAATGGCACAAATTGACCATATAATTCTTATCTCAGACATTTTAAAAAGTGGAAATCTGTTTTCATGTCCCAGAACTACGTTTCATGCTACACATGCTGTGAAATGCATCTTATGCTCAAACAATATTGTCTATGGAGATTCTCAAACATGCTGGTCATGGTTGTCCCAAAGGTGTTTTTTCAAAAGGCAATTGGACTTTATTTTTCCTTGAAGATATTTTGTTTTTCATCCAAGAAGCTTCTTCAGCTTTGATTGAATGGTTGGAGAATGAAAGGATTTATATTGCTTGCAGTCATCTGCTTGTTAGCATTCTTTCTGAGAGTCGTTGAGGCTTCTTGAAAGTTTATCTGTGCCCTTAGGGTCATCTCCTGAATAATGCAAATGAGTGTGGAACCTTCTTGGAACTGCTGAAAGGACGGCAGTACAATGCAGTGAGACATGTACACATCTGTACTCTGGAGAAACAAAACAACCACTTCACAAAAGCATGGCTCAACATAGGAGAACAAACCCATCAGGACAAGATTCAGCAGTGCATCTGCCTTTGAAAGACAAAGGTCACTCTTTTGAAGACAGCAAAGTCCACATTCTGGACAGAGATGACCACTGGTTTGAAAGAGAGGTCGAAGGGGGAGGAATATGACACCACTTATCTCCTGTCTACACACTGGCAGTCTTTTCAGCAGTTCCAAGAAGGTTCCACACTTATTTGCATTACAGATAAACCTTCCAGTGGCCTCAATGACTCTCAAAAAGAATCCTAATAAGCAGATAACTGCAAGCAGTATAAATCTTTCCATTCTCCATCATTTGTTCAGAGCTGAAGAAGCTTCTTGGAAGTGAAATGTCTTCAAGGAAAAACAAAGTCCAGTTGCCTTTTGAAAAAGCACCTTTGTATCAAGCAATATTGCCTCCTCCAATCGAATTGCTTAAGTATCACAGATGATTTCATGGAGAACTGTTTTTCTGTAATATGCTATACTTCTTGGGTTTGAGTCATTGCTCTTTTCTATGAATAAAAGCCTCACAGTGCATCCTTTAGAGCAGGGCTTTTCAACCTTTTCACTGATTGTACCACTTTTAGAATATGGCAATATTTGAGTACCACCAGTCACCTAGCAAGGTGTCAAAAACTTGATGACAAAAAAAGGAAAAAAGTGATAAAGTACAGATAGTCCTTGACTTACAACAGTTCGCTTAGTGACTGTTCGAAGTTACAACAGCACTGAAAAAAGTGACATGACCATTTTTCACACTTATGACTGTTGCAGCATCCCCAGGGTCATGTGATTTACATTCGGATGCTTGGCAACCAATTCATATTTTTGATGATCACATTGTCCCAGGGACATGTGATCCCCTTTTGCAACCTTCTGACAAGCAAAGTCAATGGGGAAAACAGATTCACTTAACAACTATGTTACTAATTTAACAACTGCAGTGATTTACTTAACAAATGTGGCAAGAAAAGTCATAAAATGGGGCAAAACTCATTTAACAAATTTCTCACCCCTCCTTTTATATCCTCTCTTCTCTCCCTCCTTCTTTTATATCCTCTCTTCTCTCCCTTTTATATCCTTCTCTCCCTCTTTATATCATCTCTTCTCTCTCTATGGAACAGATCTGATGACAAATCCCCCCCATAATCTATGACTCTTCCAAGACTATTTCTATACCTTTTGATAAATGGTGCATACTTAGTTTATATTTCCATATTACAACAATCAAAATTAGTAAAAAACAATTTCTTAAGTTTAAGAAGCGCCACAATCAGCACAGATATTAGAGATTTTTCCCAGTTCCAGCACAATATCAATTCATTTCAAACCTCAAAATCAATCTTGGGCAGTAAACGCTCTTCTCCTGATACAGTTTCCTCAGAGATATCACATAAATAACTGTTGCCAGGTTCACGAATGCACGAGGGACCTGCAAAGAGGTACATGTAAAACAGAATGGGTAGTAGCAGTTTACAAGCCATGTGGTTCTTTTATAAAAGTAATACATAAGAACTGTCAAATGTCTCTATGAGGTAGTGAAGTTGGGAAAAGTAACTATAGCCAGGTAGAAACACTACTCACCCCATTTCCTCCATTCATTCATTAACTCACAACTTTACTCACAAGCATCCAAGCTGGTGTCTGCAGCTGATTGTGATAACAGAGCCACACCCTGGCATTTTTTCCACTCAGGCCCTTAGCTTGCAAAAGCAAATATTAAGAAGGAGTGAGGAAGAGTATAGGGACAGAGAACAATAGGGTTGAAGGGACCTTGTAGGTCTTCTAGTCCAAGCCCTGCCCACAGCAGGAGATTCTGTAAGTCAGGGGTCCCCAACCCCTGGTCCATGGACTGGTATCGGGCCGCAGCATGCCAGCAACCGGTTTGCACAAACAAGCAAAGCCCCATCCATGGGATGCAGGCAGCACTCTCCAGTCTGTGGAAAAAACTTTGGAGAATAAATTGACTCCCTCTTATCTATGACAGCCCCTCAAGTACTGGAAGACTGGTATCATATCACCCCTAGTTCTTCTCTTCATCAGACTAGACATACCTAGTTCCCTCAGTCATTCATCATATAGTTTAGCCTCCCTTATCATTTTTGTTGCTCTTTTGTGCACTTTTTCTAGGGTTTCAACATCTTTTTTGTATCATGGTGACCAAAATTGGACATAGTATTCCATGTGTGGTCTCACTAGTGCAGTATAAAGTAGTACTATCATTTCACATAAACTTGAAACTATCCCTCTATTAATGGAATCTAGGGCTGTATTTATTTACTTACTTACTTACTTACTTATTTACTTACTTACTTACTTACTTACTTACTTACTTACTTACTTACTTACAGCTGAAGAACACTGCTGGCTCATATTTAAATGATGATTTACTAGGACAGCTAGCTGTCTTTCACGGTTGCCAGGTACCACTAACTCTATATGTGTGCATTTGATTTTTCTTGCCTATGTGAAGGACCTTGCTTTTCTCACCATTGAATTTCATATTGTTGGATAGAGCCTTGTGGTCAAGTCAGTCAAGGTCCTTCTGAATCTTGAGTTATTCCTCCCCGCTTCGTGTCATCTGGAAATTTAATGAGTTCCCCTTCTATCCCCTCATCTAAACCATTTGTGAAGAAGTTCAAGAGTGCTTAGACCTAAGACAGAACCTTGAGGTTCCCCACTGAATGCTTCTCTCCACATAGATGTAGGTCCATTGAGGACTACCCACTAAATATCGGTGGTCAGCGAATGCAAATCCATCTGGTGGTGGTACTGTCTTGTCTATTCCATTTTGTTCTATCTTACCAAGAAGTAGGCTATGGACTACTTTGCCAAATACATTACTGAAATCTAAATAAACTATGTCCACAGCATTCCCATTATCCACTAATTTAGTCACTTTGTCAAAGAAGGCAATAAGGTTTATCTGGTTTTTGACAAATCCATGAAAAATGACAAACAAGTGGCACACAGATGGGGAAGTAGAGACAATACCTGGAGATTGGCAACTATTACAAGCAGGCAAGGAGACTCTCATTCAACTGCCTGGACCATATATTATGGTGAATAGCATATCCAAGTGGGAGTCCCACTTGGAGCTTTGCCAGGAGCTTGACAGCTACTAGAAGGCGAGCAACCACACTGAAACAACATCTTAACTGTCAGTAACTTATCCTAACTTTCAGAAGACCTTTTGGAAAAAGGAAAAGTTATATGCTACTTTATAGACTTTGAGGCATTTGTCTGAACTGATTATTACATGACTGAATATAAAGGACTGAGTGTTTATGTAGCAACAGCAACATGGAAAACCTAGAAGGATGAAGTTTACCCAGAGTAATACTTTGTTGTTGGGGAAGTTGTCTGCTACAGTTAAGCATTCTGTATTGATTTGCTATACCATGGTATCCAATCCTTGTAAAGCAAAAAAACCCTTATAGACCCAATCTTCACAACACAAGAGGCTCAAGACTTGCTATTTTCCACTTCAGTGGACAAAATTAAATTGGCAAAGTTTTAAGGAGATAGTCTCTTGGAAACAGTGAATTATAAATATAACTGTTCTCTCCCTGGCTGATTTTATTCAGACCTCTAAGGAAAGTTCTCCAGATGAATGATTTTGGTCGGCAGTCATGTATACCCATGAGTACTAATCTGAATCATGCTTATCCATGAGAGCAATTAAAGATGGAGAGGCAGGGCATACTGACAAGCATGTGATAGTCAAAGATAGAGCCCAGGGCTGCACATCAAAATCAGAAAACTCAGATCCAATCCAAAGTACTCTCTCTGACTTGTAGGACTCATGACTCACAACTCTGCATCTGAGGACTTGCCTTCCCTTTCATAAGTTTACAACAGGGGCCTTCAAACTTGGCCCTTTTATGACTTGTGGACTTCAACTCCCAGAATTCCTCAGCCAGCATGGCTGGCTGAGGAATTCTGAGAGTTGAAATCTACAAGTCATAAAAGGGCCAAGTTTGAAGACCCGTGGCTTATAACAATACCAAGATTTTAAGCATACATTCCTTTTGGAAAGTCTCCACCATTTAAGTTATGCTCTTTTCAGATCTGCTCTGAAATACTCTCTCCAAAGGTGCTCATTCACCTGCACCATTTTAATTAGCTTTGCTGCTACTTTTATGTGAGTATGTCAGTTTCTGTTTGTAAAGCCATTTAAAATGGTGGCAGTTCTCAGGAGGAGAAGCATTTCAAAAATAAGAGTCAATAATGCAAGTGAAAATGAATTGAACATATTTTTAAAAATTATGGAAATAAAGAATGCCAAAATTTCATCAGAGTTTGAGTGGGGACATACTTTTTGCAATATTTGATGACCTATGAGATCTGGGTCCCTTTAATTTTTTAAAATTATGTTTGCAGTTACAATGCAATTCCCCTGAAGTATTCTTGCAGGCAACCCTTGCAATTCATATGCTGGAAACCACTGTCTTAAAGAAATTATTGATTCCAATAATTCACCCAATCATTTTCCCTGTAGCCAGGATAGCAAAGACTCCTTTGATACCTCTTTATGGAGTACATCCAGCGCTGACTGTATATTCTTTATAAAGTACTCAGGAGAAGAATGTACCTATGAAAGAAAAGGATAACAGTGAATTTTGTGCATAAGCTGCTTGTAACTCTTCCTTAGCACATCGCTATTTATGCATGTTTGGCAATTGAGAGTTGCAATTTATATTAATGTGCACCTTTCACAAATGATATAATGGCCTTCTTTCCACAATATGTTTGACATAATCCAGTTGTTTTGAATCACCCAGATACAGTAATAGGATGAAAAGTAGTAATAAATATCAATCTGAGTATGGACCATGGCAGAGAATGGAAGCAGTTCAGCCACTCTGTGGCTATCATATTGGGACTTTAAAAAAATGGATGACCATTAGCTAGCAGAAAATTTAACTAACTATATCTCTTTGTCATCTAGCAGTCACCCACATTTTTGCAGCTCAGACATGGCAACTGTACCACATCTGTTTCCTGCCCAGCACCACCTGCCTCTCCTCTATCCTCCTTCCTCAAAGGACAAAAATCAAACCGTGAGGGAAAGAGCTAAAAAGGCTTTCCTCCATTCATTTTCACCTGACTGTTCATGTCTGATTACCTCTTGACATCCTTTCAGCAAAAGGGAAAACCAATGCTAGCTACCATGTCCCGGAAAGAGAGGAGAGGAACAAGGTACACTAGCCAGCTCCAGAAACAGACCCATTTCCATGTCATTTGTACCAATTGTGCAGCATTTTCAAAGCATGACATTGATCTTATGAGAACTACTCAAAATTTACTATGCAAGGAAACCAGGAATGGGACAGTTTGGACTGAATTTCCAGGATACCAGATCAAAATAGGATTCACTATAATATTTATGATACATATTTAGAATATAATCATTATTAGTTATTAAAATAAGATTTTTTTATTCACTTAATTTTTCTTGGCCTTTTGGCTAAGATTAAATGTATGGTAGTATTTATTCTTATTTGCTTAATTCACTTATCCTGATACTAATGCATAAAAATACTCAAACGTTAGAAGCTGAGCAAAACTTTCATGTAAATTTGTACTGCACTGCCAAACTTGCTGCACTTTGCATGCCCAAAATAGAATTAAACCTGTAACCCAAGGGAGACTGAAAGGTTGGAGAAACCAGGAGGCCTAAATAAGCATAAAATCTCTTTCCTGTAGTGTAGGAGCTCCAAAAATTACTAAAAATAATAAATTAGAAGTAGCATTTAAATGTTATCCAACTGTTCCTGTGAAACCCAATCCAGAAATGCATATCTAATGACATTCTTCAGCATGTTGATAAGAGCCCAAAGAAAGAAAGTTTATCACTTGAAGGCATTCACAAATAAGCACTTTACTGCCATCTTATCATGATTAATTATCAAAATGGAAAGTAATGTCAGTGTTTTGATCCAAGTTACACAAATGGCAGGTCTGCTAGGGATCCAAACTATCATTAAGTAAGAAAGGTACAAACCTTGCCTATTTATTATCAGCTCTGTTGACATCTGCTTTTATCAACAGAAAATTATCTATAAAATGAAGTAGCACTGATATACTAATCAGTGGAAGTTCTCAAAGATACGAAATTACAGGAGATTAAAAAACACTTTCAGGTTGAATGACCTCAAGGCCCTGCATGGGGACATGAACATGTACTTCTTTAAAATACTGATTCAGCAATGAACCACTATTACCCTCTCTAAAATGCACATGGTGCCAGGGAAGAATGGCTTGCCATTCAAGGTAGTTTTTTCACTGAGTTAGCTAGAAAGGATCTAAGAAAAGGTCAGTAGCAGGTGTTGAGTCAATCCCAATCTAATTCTTCTTGAGTAGAAGTGCAAGGTCTAAACCTCAATTTCTTATTAGGACAGATTGCATGTTCGTGATACTGTGGCAATAGAGTTGAGTTAATCTATGGTAGCTCATGAAAGCTCACGCCATTTAATAAAAGTTGGAAAAAGTACTACCAGAATGTATCTGATTTTTTTTTGCCATGTTTGCAATAGCTTGCTGCAAAATGAATGAATTGTCTCTCATTATTTCTTGTTGTCAACCTGAATGTTATTTAGGAGGCATCATATGACATGGAACATTTCTAATATTAAATGAAGTCATGTGAAGGACAGATTCTATGAACATCATATTCTTACATATGTCACTGAGCACTTGGACAATTCCTACTTGCATATCTAGAGATAAGCATTTAGATCACATACATCTTTTTAAAAAAGTGGGGGAGGAGAAAATTGGGAAAAATATATTAGGAATAACTGTAAAATATATGGAAACTTACAGAATTATTACAATAATCACAAAGGTCATTTCCTCCTATAAAAAGGGTTATGAGTTTCCAATCTTCTTGGAAATTTATTTTCTGCATTAGGAGAAAAAGGAAAAGAATAGACATAAAGAAAAAACAAAGAAAAATACTTGAATTAACATGTTAGAGTTAATAAAATAATTATTAAGGAGACTGTTTTTTTAGACCAGTATATAGTTAGGGAACCAAGGCAGCAATCTTAAATATAGTTTTAATATACTAATTAGTTATGTAAAAAGAGGAATTACTGATTTCTTTAACAGAGGCCTATTTGAAATCCAATTGCTACAAAGCACTGCTGCTCTGGTTCGTTAGGGTGCTACCAGTATTTCATTATGAAATTGGCTCTACATCACCAGACTTAAGAAGTGCATTGAATTCATTTGATGGTAATTAGTACCCAGTGTATTGCACCAACACTATAGTGCTGAAAGTTAGCTTTTCCATATGGACATGTGGAGCTTATTTTTCAGTACTATCTGTTCAATGATCAGAAGGTACAAAGCCACTAAGGGAAGCAGAGACTTCATGTATGTTTTCAAATCTAGTTAGAAACTGTGGTAGGGTTCCTGCGATCTAAGATAGGTGACCAGAAGGAGAAGCAAACGTCTCTAATTCAATTAATCTTAATTAAATGAATTAGTTTTGCATAAATTTGAACATAGATAAAAACAGATAGCTGTCTAGATAGCTAGCTAGCTAGCTAGATAGCTAGCTAGCTAGATAGATAGATAGATAGATAGATAGATAGATAGATAGATAGATAGATAGATAGATAGATAGATAATTTGAACACTTACAATAAAAATGAAAATATACTTTGTTTCTATGTACTAGAACTTTTTTTTGTATAAGAGTGAAAGTGGGGTACTTCTTGTGAGATGGCATCTAGTTGCCTCCTGTGGTTTTATTATCTTACATGATTTGCAAAAATATGTGTTGCCTGATTAACTGAGAATTCCAAAAGTTCAAGAAGCAAATTTAAATCTATTTCAGATAAATTCTCTTTCACATCAAACTCAGCCCCTGATGACTTTATGGACACATCACATAGTTTATTTGGTAACAATATGGCATTGTCTTTTTCCAGAATAATTTTTTTTGCTCCATAATCTATTTATGAGCTTAGCTTCTCCTATAGTCTGCCATTCAAGTCCAATTCTAATTAGCTTTTTGTGATCAGCCAAAGTTGGTAAGGTGTTGCTACCAAGAAGACCTTATATTGTTAAACATGATCAAATCTATTCCTTTTCTCAATGAAACAGTTAAAGATAGCAACCACTAATTAGATACAAAAGGACAGAACCTCATCTTCCCTCTGTTTGCCAACAATAAAAAGTCACAATTGCTTGTTGAAAAATTGTTCATGTCAGCAGAAACTCACAGAATCATTCTTCATCAACTTTATTAGCCTTCTGACCTGAGGTATGATGTCACTAAAAAAGAAAATAAAGAAGGCAAGCAAATATTAGGAGCAATATAGCAGTTCAGATTATCATTCTGAAAACACAAAGCAGAAATAATAATTCAAATGACATAGAACTTATTTCACAGATGAATTTTGCATGCGAACAATTCTGAGATAAATTTGCAAGCAAACAATGAAGCAATTTGGAGTGCATGAACAAGGATGAATAATGGCAAGGAGATTAATATAAATGATCCATAAAATGTTACTTCATTCAACACAGACTTACGTAACCAGATTTTGATTGAGCAACATGGTAACTGACACCTTACATGCAACGCACCTACAGACTGGCTCTCTCAGTGTACAGAGAGTTAGTCTGGTGTATAGCCCTTATGTGTTTCTACAAGCAGAATACAAAGCAATGAGTCTGCTCTTTGTTTCTACATGAGAGACTGCAACAGAATTGTGTAAAATCTCTCTGCCAAATAAAGTAGTTTTATTAAATCCCGTGGTTTGCTTGTAGTGCTATAGACAGAAGAAAAAGCGAAAAGGAAAAAGAATCCAAATGCCAGAGTAAATATGTTATGATTCAAAAGTCTGATGTGTTTCAGACAAGATTCTTTATCAATACTGTACATACTGGCTAAAACATGTTCATGGAACGTTTTTTAAAAAGAGATAGTTAATAATCCTTGCTAGGATAGCTGATATTGTAATAAAGTTTACCAGAAGCTGTCCAATATCTCTTGGCAGTTTCTCGCCAATATTATAGCTATTTCTTCCTATTACTATCATATCTATTTTATATTTACATCTTCAGCTATCTCCCCTCCCCTATCTACCCTTCAAATAAATTCTGTTAGAAATGCCAGTACTTTACATTTTTAAAAAATGCAGAACCTTCTATGTAGGTAATGCTGCAAATAATTAAAGTTGCCTTGTACTCTATTCTACATATTTACAGTATGCCTTTTGTATAAACTCTGGATCTGATCAGCATTGTGCCAACTCCTTCCAGTAACCTATTAAAAGCATACAAGCAACAACTGAGTCTGTAGCATAGTGTTTAACTGCTAAGGATACATTTTCTGGCTGAGTTTCAAAGAGAAGGCACTGAGTTTGTTAGCATCTGGAAAGCCACATGTTTCCCATTCCTAAATTAGAATACTCTATAATATATGATTGGGGAGATAGGACTCATATCCCCACCTTGTTACAAAGCTCATTGGTGGTTTTACTCATTAGGATTACCTACCAGATATGGGCTTCAAAAATCTAGCATTCCACTAGATAGCAGCAAAGAGGTACAGAAAATTCTTATTGCTACCATCTATACCTAGTTTTGGATCATATTCTATATCTCCCATTCTGATCAAAAGTTGTTGTGAAGGTAAATTGCTGGAGGCTACATACATACTTATATGCTGTCTTAGTTGTCTATGGGAAGGACAGGATATCAATGAATGAACAGATCAATCAATAAGTAATATTACAAAATGTAAGAAAATCTGCCTTAGTACAATACTTGTTATATTTTGCCACTAGCTAAAACAATTATGTTTATTTGAGACCGAATTTTTCACAAACTACATGACAATTATAGAAATTAGATTTCTCATATTTATCTGTTCATAATGTCACTTATAATTCAGCTAAAACCCACTGGTGATGCCAGTATTGTATATTATTCTAAAATTGGACAGAACTGGTTTAAGATGATGCATTCTTAACAGTTGTAGGGAGACATAAAGACCCTTCTTCATTATTTATAATTGGACAGGTCACATACAAGAAACTAAGTAATTTAATTAGTAGGCATATCAGGATATTCTAGGATAGGGAAGTGATCACTCAGTATTTTAAAGAATGAATAGGGAACAAAGTGCCCTTGTACAAAACCTAAAAAGTTTAACTATATAAGGCAAAAGCATGCTTTAAGCCAGTAAGAAATGTACCCACAGAATTATGCATTTTTTAAAGTCCTGTATCATCTCAAATACCTGCTCCTGTAGGACAGATCCAACCATCACTTCTGAAGCGTCTCCTGTACTCATCAAGCACAGAATTGGTTTTCCACAACACAGTTCTGTGATAAATGTTAGTTATCATCCCATATTCTTCAAGATGCTTACAGACCAGTGGTGGGATTCAAATATGTGAACAACCAGTTCTTTGTGTGGATGCCACTTCCCAAAGTCCATTCTGGGCCTGGGAAACAAAAAATTAGCTACCGGTTCTGCCGAACTGGTGCGAACTGGTTGAATCCCACCACTGTTACAGACTGATTGTGGCACTACCCGCAAGAGCAGAAATTAACTAAAGGAGCTATAGTTTGGACAGATTCCTGGGACCTTGCTTTCCTCAGAGAAGATCTGAAATAGAATTGTTATCTAATCAAAGATATTTTAGACATCTTTTAGACTATTAATTGTATAAACTTTGGCAACTGATTAAATTTGAATTAATTTTCAGATGAATGATGCACATGTTCTAAAGATTACCTGCTTCTTCTTATGTCCTAAGTTTAGATGTTGTGTGGTGTACTCATAAGGAAGGTTTTGTTTTCTGTTCACCACATGTTGTTGTGGTCCAATTGTAAGAGGAAATTATGGTTTTCTGTCTTGTGATAAACCCTGACAGATTATAGGCACCAATGCTCTTCTGCTTTGACATCCTCATTTTTGCCTCACTAGAGATTAAAAAGCTTTACTGCCTCTTTTAAACATACCATGGTTTTGGAATTAATGTTTATTTCAATTTGAACTGAATTCTGACCTTCCCACTAGCTTTCAGCCAGCAGATCTTGGTTTTAGAGCTATTCTAAAGAACTGGTCATTTTGATATTTCCAACATGCTTAAATAGCATAAAGGAAGGCCTATTTACAATAGATCTATATCCTGGACATTTCTAATCACCTTTTTCTGGAGATAAGGTAAGGTAAAAGAAATGATAGACTCCAGGTCTCACTATGGCTCAGTTCTAAAGTATGAAATCCATGTTCCCCTCCAGAACTGAATCAGCAAGCACCATAATACACCTTCTGTTTAATCAAATCCTCTTCTAAAATGGCACTAGATAACTGGAAGTTGAAATATAAGTATTAAAATAGCTAATTACACTTGGGTTTGAAATTTATTGTTAAATTAATCAGGAGTAACTTGAGAACTGATTCATCTCATCAGCTAAAAATCTTTTGATCGAGCAGTATGGCAGCACTGCTCCCTCAGTTCCTTAACCCTGAGTTTTTAAAGTTTGCTGTTTTTTTCCTTTTTTCACCCACATACTTCCAATCTGGCTAAAACAACTCAGAGAGTCTCTGGTGTCATGGAATAAAAAGATAGAAGAAACAGAATTACATGTTGTAAAGGTACTATGAATGGAACTATGTTATGTTTATCTACAGAAATAGTAAATCAAATTTAAAAAGTGGAAATCTAAAGCTCTTTGCTGAAATAAACTGGCACTAAGCAAATAGCAATAGCAATAACATTTAGACTTATGTACTTCTTCACAGTGCTTTACAGCCCTCTCTAAGCAGTGTACAGAGTCAGCCTATTGCCCCCAACAATTTGGGTCCTCATTTTACCGACCTCGGAAGGATGGAAGGCTGAGTCAACCTTGAGCTGGTAGACTCGAATTGCCAAAATGCTGGCAGTCAGCAGTCAGCAAAATTAGCCTGCAATACTGCATTCTAACCACTGCATCACCACAGCTCTTAGATTTCATAGAGCATTTCCACACATTTAGTAGTTTCCTTGCATTGGTTTTGTATCACTGCACAAGTGATTCCCTGCCACATGACTGGCTAATCAAATGCCTAGAAATAATAGTAGAAACATCTGAAGCTTTGTGCAAAGATCAATGGCACAATGGAAGACACAATTGCTGGTCAATGGTGATGGACTTATAGAGGTTAATATCAAAAGAGAAATCTTTCAAGGAGACTGACTATCACCATTACTATTTGTCATTGTGTGTATATTATGTGTATATGTAAATGTGTAAGATATTGCAATGGAGTTGGACTAAACAAATGTTCCACTTTCACCATTAACAGGAGAAAAATAGTCAAAATCAAAGGAATCATGATACCCTATGGAAATAACATCAAGAATCTGGATGAAGAAAATCACTACAAATATCTGGACATCCTTCAGGATGACAACATCAAGCAAATGAATATGTCATGAGAGTGAAGAACTTAAAATCCAAAATTAGTGAAGGAAATACTATCAAGGCAATTAACACTGGGGCAATTCCAGTCATTATATACTTAGCTAGAATAGCAGACTGCATTCAAGCAGAACTAAAAGCCCTGGATAGGAAAACCAGGAAAATAATGATAATGAATCATGCTCTTCATCCACACAGCAATGATAAAAGACTCTACTTACCAAGCAAAGTAGTTCTGTGTGGAATGTTGCAAGTGCATCAGAGGGTTGAAAAAGAAAAAAAGGGCATTGGAAGAATACCTGAAGGATAGTGAAGAAGATGCACTAAGCTAGTATGCCAGGAATGCTTACTGAGTATTGGAGAGGCTAAATTGATTAAGTCTAGAAACGTAACAAATCCTTGGGAAGGGCTCAATTGTTGTTCAGTCATTAAGTTGTATCCAACTCTTTATGACCCCATGGACCACAGCACACTAGGCCCCTGTTATCCATTGTCTCCTGAAGTTAAGGATCCAACAGGTGGGGTGGGAAAATGCCAAAGCCAGTCTAAACATCTGCCTGTTATGCAATCAACCATAACAATAATAATATGCCACCTGATTCCCAGCAATTCTGGGCAATTCTTTGGCTCTTATGAGGTTTTTGGAACTACTTCTACTGTCCAAACTGGGGCTGATGGGATAAAAAAAAAAATAACAAAATCAGCACAGTGCCAGCATATCAATTTTGGATGTTCCTATGCTGTCATGATAAGCATACAGAGGAGGCTGACCTTGTGTCATGATGGCACAAAGCTGCTTTTGTGAAACAGACCCATTTGAACATACCACCAAGGCTGTCCAATATAGATGCCACTGAGAAGGACAAAAGTCACTTTAGCTAATGAAACCATTCTAATGCCACAGATCAGGGCAAGTCCAAGTAAAATGCAGGGCAAGAAGAAATGGGCCCAGAACCATTACTGTGCTAGAAATATATATCTTTGGAACCCAGGTCTTTTGAAAGAATGGTGGGGTGGATTCAAAAGAAATGGGGCTGCCACAAAGAAGAGGGAGTCAAGCTATTCTCCAAAGCACCTGAGGGCAGGACAAGAAGCAACGAGTGGAAACTAATCAAGGAGAGAAGCAACCTAGAACTAAGGAGAAACTTCCTGACAGTTAGAACAATTAACCAGTGGAACAACCTGCCTCCAAAGCTGTGAATGCTCCAACACTGGAAGTTTTTAAGAAGAGATTGGACAGCCATTTGTCTGAGCAGGGGCTTGGACTAGATGACCTCCAAGGTACCTTCCAACATTATTATTATTATTATTATTATTATTATTATTATTAATGATTTGCCCTGGCAGAAAAATTACAGTGATATATTAGAGCCAATTGTAACATTAAAAAAGTGAAGTAACTAAGACTATCCTTTCCCGAGTTGTGAACTTGACACTCACTAACCTACCCCAACTCTTCAAAAATGTATTATTTAATAAAATAATAAAGTAATAAAAACAAAGTTCTAATAAAAACAAAGCTCTATCTCTGCTTATTCAGTTGTTATTAAAATAGTACTTTTGGTATTAAATTAATAAATTACTCTCATACATAAGACACACAAACAGACCGATCCTCCCAACACAGTCCTAGTCCCTTACTCAGATTTAGCTCCTGCCACAGCCTGGTTCAAGTGAGATTTGCGACAGCTCTCCTTTCCTTTGCCAATGGAAAAGCCCACCAGAGAAGGATTGAACTTACGAATAATGTCTAGGAAAGAATGAAAGGCAAATGTATGTATTATTTTTTTCACTTGGATACAACAACAACAAATACCCCCAAAACTAGAATAGAATAGAATAGAATAGAATAGAATAGAATAGAATAGAATAGAATAGAATAGAATAGAATAGAATAGAATTGGAAGGGACCTTAGAGGTCTTTTAGTCCAGTCCCCTGCTCAAGCAGGAGAACCTATACCATTTCAGATAACAGACTGTCTAGTCACTTTCTCAGTTGCTGTGGGGCATGCTGCTGTCTAACCAAATATTGGAGAGAGGGAGGGAGGAGTGGAGAGAAGGAGAAAAAAGTATAGTGTAGTAAAGACTATAGCCTAAGTGAATAGAAGAGGTAGAGGAAGTTGGAAAGAAAGATAAGCATACAAATCAGTTATTAGTTCTTTTTGGGGACAGGAGAATGTTCAAGGGGGTTCAAGTGAAAACCAGAGGGCCAAGAATTCCAATAACTTCCAAGAATGGGAAGAAGGGCCCCATCTGGCTATAGATGGCAACTTCTCCACAGGTGGGGTGGGGTGGGGTGAGGTGGAGGAACATGGTTGCTGGCAGAGAAGCCTTGGTTTTGAGGAAAGAAACTGGGCAAAAGTACCTGAGAAGTTCTTCCTCCAACAGAGAAGCATTAGGTATTTTGGCTGAGTTTGAGAAGATGAAGCCATACTGAGCACGCTACAATAATTCCCAGTCCTTTCCTTACTTTTCACTTTCTTTCTTGTCAAGCCCAAAAATGGGGAGGGAGAAGGAAAGAAATGGAGGGAAGCAGGAGGGATAGATAACCTCTGGGAAGGAGACTTGGGAGGAAACCTTATATCAGGACTGCATTGTTTAGCCTTTATATAGTAAAGAATACCTGCTGTGTTTCTGTCTCTGTTGCCATCTTTGCAAAGAAATGCATCTCCTGTTCAGAAACTGTGGACACTATTACAGTGTGTTATGGTGACAGGTTGCAATCACTTTAAAAGAAATGCTACTGGTCTAACATGTTCCTGGAAGCCTAAGTGGCATTGGTCATTAGGGGTACCTTTTTGCAGGTTTCTCTGGAATAATCATATAGAACCTACTAAGAACCTACAAAATGATAAATGCAAACATGATACCAAATTAGAGCATTAGGTTCAGCACCTTTCTGCCTCCTATATCCTACTGATCCTGGATCCTGGAATCCAAAGTGGTTTCATCTGACAACTTGCTAAACATTTTCTGAAGTCTGCTCCCTAAATTATGAAGGAGTTTTGCAAATACACCAACCTCTAGGAAAGAGATACTTACTTGCTAACGTTGTGACTGTTGCTATGTTTTCATTTCCACCAACGCTGCAGAATTGGGATGGGATAAGGAAAACAAGGAAAAAGAAAGCAAACAAGAAGGATTTATTTGGAATCAGTCTGGTGATATTTCAAACATTTAACAATATCTATTTATTTGAACTGTGAATTCTGACCTGAGACTCACTCTACACCACTAATCTATCTAAGGCACTTCTTGATTCTTGGCTCCAGATTAATTCAGCTTCAGCAAAGCTACAGCATCAGATGCTTTCAGCCAGCATTTTCCCAGGGTCTGAAGACCCAGAGGCTGTTTAGTTTTCTGTTTTCTGTTGCTGCCTACCTAGGATGTCCATCCAAATAAAATGGAAGGTGTCTGTCAGGCACAATAGAAGGCTGCTGGGAGTTTGGAACTCATCAACCTGCTATATGGGACATGATTAAAAATCTGGCATCTTTAAGTAAGTAATATCTGTTTCTCTTAAAAGCTCTATGTAATTGCTTCATTTATCTGTGTATCTACTATGCCAAGATGAAAAAAGGTACCACTTTTAAAGATCATCCAGGTCAAAAGCTTGAAGTGTTCTACAGAAGAGTAGGGAGTTGAGCAGGACTGTTTTCCATGATTACTTTTGATTTTTGAGTATATTATACATCTGTCTTTGAATAATTCTGCATTTTGCTAGCTTAAATATCCTTTTTTTTTATTTCACCCCAGTAGGTTGCTACATTTGATTCCCATCTTTGATATCAGCCTTAAGACTTTGGTACTCATGAGAAAACAGGTGGGAGAGGAAAGCAGAAGGGGAAAACAGTTCTTCCACTTTCCTCCTCCTTTTCACCTGGTCCCCTAAATATTGATTCAATCTAAAATTATATTTCCTGTGATATAAAATGCACTAAACCTTTTTGTTTTTAAAGGCAAACTAGACAACCCATGATCCCTTGGGTCGTTATTTCAGATATATATCCTAACCTAAACATAGGAATGGAATGATCACAGGTGGGCAAAAAACTAAGTTCTGACTTCTTGTTGGTTTCCCCATTGAATTTCCTTGTGGGAAGCTGGTAAGGAGCATCAGAAATCTTCCTTCCTTTTCCTTTCCTTCTCCACAGGCAGGTACATGACTGCTGCTGGGTGAGTGGGTGGGAGCGAGGGATTTGCAAATGGCCAAAAGCTGCCCTGGATTGTTGAAAATTAGGATCATGTGACTGCAGCAATGCAGCAGTGTTGAAGCACCCACAATTTTTTCAAATTTCATTCCCTTGGAAATAATGAGTCCCAGCATTCTGTAACTTAGCACATTTGTGGTACCTTGATTGAAAGGTTTTGCCCTATAATGCAACGTTCTGTTCAGTTAAAAGTTACAGACCCAGGAAGTTTAGTAGTATATAGATTACAGTAAGGCAAATCACCCAAATAAGCTCGTATGAAGCTTGATCATAAGGCTCCTTTATGCAGTGGAATAGAAATAGCAGCTGGAGAGATCCAAGGGACATAAAGGGTAAACTTTTCAACAGCCTTGCTAAGTTGTATATTAAAAACTAGTATCTATCTTACAATTTCAATTTATAATTCATAGCAACTTTTCTGAGTAGAACTAATCTGTCTTTAAGCATTTGTCTGCTATTGCCAGTAGATCTATGCTGACCTATTACAGTACTATGGAACACTACTAAATTGTTACTGAAGAGATTGATTCAAATTGTAAGCAAAACAACTTGAAGATTACTCCAGAACAGAATAGAAACATATTTCTGATAGTTCGTATGAGCATATGACCATGAAAACAGAACAGATTGCAGATTTTGGATAATCAAAAATATTTAGGTTAGAGCACTCACCTCCATGAAAGACCTCGATATTCCGTTAACACATCAATAATATTGTTTGGCAAAGCTCCCGCTCCATTTGCTGCCTGATAGCCAAGAAAACAAATAGAATTAATGATTAATGATAATGCTGACTTGGTATGATCCCCAGAAAACATCCACAGCCTTTGCTCTTAAGAAGTCTGAAAGTATTGTGCCTCTTCAGGATGGGAAGAAGCAGAATGAAAAACAAAGAATTATTAGTTAAATAAAATATGTGAAGAGATGCTTATGAATCAAACAAATCAGAAATAAATGGCATTCCATTCTCAAGAATACTGATTGCACAGGAGTGCAAAATCATAAGCCATATTTGGTCCAACTAATGAATGCTTCCACTAGCCTAAAATTAATGGATGCAAGGTGAAATGAATTTAAAGAATAGACCCATAATGTGGGTTTAAGTGCTGAACTAGTGCTACAAAGATCCAACTCAGTCCAAAAAGTGGCCTAATGCCCAGGTTCATAACCCCATCAATGATAAAGCTAAACTAATTATTGTGGACTTATCATCTCATTAAGTGTAACCTTTGGCACTAGATTGAGAGTAATCTTACACACTATTCTAAGTTCCTAGAGGAGAGGGTGAAATAGAAATAATAAGGGTTATGTTCAACACCCATACACTGGCATTGCTACTGTCTGGATTACACACCAGTGAGAGATAAGTAACTAGGCTAGCTCACTTTTTTTTAATGTTATAACACCCACACAGAACTTTCAGAGGTAAGATCTGTACTGCATACAAAAGAAGCAGCACATCTAAACTGACCTTCACAGGCCTTTTCAGCAAAATAGGTGTCTTTACTGCTTGCAGAGTTGCTACTTACTGAGAATAAAATTATACCAGATAGTTTACCATATAGTCAGGGTGCTTATTTTTCATTGCTAGAAAAATGTTTGCAGTGTCCATTATGCTATATTAATTACCACATGGAAACAGGAAACAATGCCAAAAAGATGGTATTTCTAGTCTGAAGGTGATTAATAACCCAGTACCATAGGACTATAGAAGAAGGAAACAGTGACAATTCAGTTGGCCTTGAAGATCATTTGTTCCTCCTTTTTCAAATTAGACATTTGGTGATCCATACTTACTGTTATTGAGTCCCCAAGGGCACCTATAACTTTTATGTCTCCTGGCCTCAAATTATGAACTATAAAAAAAGAAAGAGAACGATATAAGTTTTAGAAAATCTTTAGGATTAGGAATATATTTCTTTGCAGAATTTGTAAGAATTTGAAATGTTACTTAAAAGTCATGTTCAGCTAAGCTTTGCAACTCAGCCTTCTTACCAGCACACCATATTCTCTCCAATTCTTCCTCAAAGAAATTAATGCAACATTATTTCCTTGCTATTTCTCAAAAATAATTTGCATGTTGTACTTTGTTTTTTACAAAACAAGTATATTAAATGGTTTTGGTTTCTAGCAGTTGTTATCAAATTATTTAGAAGCTTTTCACAAGAATCCAGACTGTCCTTTAAAAGACACATTTTTACACAAATCACCCTTTCACGTCTCTTTTTATATATAAAAATCATTGGAAAACCAATATATAACATAAAGCAAGGAACACGTTTGAATAATTAGCAACTCAACAAGTAACAAATAAGTGAACTCGAAGGGAAAATTCCTACAAATACTTAGGTTCCTAAAATGTATCAAAGGAAGCCATCTTATATTTCTTAGAATACTTTACAGTACAGGATTCCCACAATGGATCAGATTGCCCCTCCCCCTCAACCATTGGAAGAGGTCACCTAATTTTGAAGTTCCCTATCTCTTTGCAGTCATCCCCAGTTGACTCTTTCCAAAATCAGAACTTTTCAACACAGAAATCTTCCTATGAGACCTGATGAATGTATGATAAGGTGGGGCATCTTGAGCTGAACTTTTGTTTGACCATAGATCAATCCCCATCCTCCAGCTTTCTGAACATTCCTCAACCAACAAGCAAGAATAATTCCATTCAGCAACTTCACCCTCATTCCATGCAAAAGAGAAATAAAATAATTGCACTATCCCATGTCTGGAGATGTATGTATGTATGTATGTATGTATGTATGTATGTATGTATGTATGTATATGTGTATGTACTGTATGTATGCATATGTCCCTGCCATTACTTGAAATACCTGCAGAAAATCAGCCCCAAAGTCTTCCAGCTACTTTTGCCCTTGAAAGGCCTGAAATACGCACTATACATGAACTCCACAAGGTCTGCTTGTTTTAAAAAAATGAACCTTAACAATTAGCTCTATTGTGGTTTTAAATGTTCCACAGAGAAGTAAAAAAAATGGCTCTGTCTTGACTCTGTTCCATTTATTTATTTATTCAATTTCCACAGCCACCCAGCTCAACTTCTTGACTAATACAATGTTGTGGTATCAGAGAAGTCTAGAAATGCTTTCAACCTGATAGAATCTTCACCAAGTGGAAGTTTTTTTTTACCAAGAACAAAACTAGAAGAGCAGTTGATGCTGTTCTTTCTTCCTTCTGACCTATTGTTCAGCACAGAACTACTTTTTTTAGTAAACTATTGTAGAAAAACGTTTATATCTGGCATATACTGTTCTATATGAACTGAAGTATTATAATTGATTATTCTCTTTTTAATAAAGAAACCTTCCCTAATATGGTATCTTTCATATTGCTCTGGGCTATAACTCCCATTATCTTCACAACCTGTCAAGGATTTATCTTCATATCTAATGGTCTACTGTGATAATGTTAGAAATAAACACTTGTATTAGATTCACACAACTACTAATCTATCTTACAAATAGATTTATGGAAGCTGTTTCTCAATCTTGGCAACTTTAAGTAGTGTGGACTTCAATTCCCAGAACTGGAGAACATGGCTAGAATTCTGGGAGTTTAAGTCCGCATATCTTAAAGTTGCCCTGGGTTGAAAAACACCAATGTAAACTCAAGGCAATAATCCTCACTATGTCTTTTCTACAAGAACCACCTATGATTATGCCTTCAAAATATGAGCCTCAATGTTCAGTAAACAAATATAGACTTTGTGATATTAAATGTGCTCTGTGATGACATTATGCACCCAATTTTCCATCCTCCTTGTTTCACCAGGAGCAGAGATTTATCTCAATGTGGTATTAAATTTTAAGCATATATATTCATATCCTTGATCTCATATTAAATATCAAGTTCTTGATGAATGACCTATGGTAAAGATCACATTTTCTCAATGAGCATTTGATAAAGAAAAATGAGATTTTAAATGAAACTCAAATCACCGTTATATATTTTCAGGTCATTTAAGGGTCAATATATTTGGTGCTAAAATACAGTTATGTACTACTGATTGCAGTGGGAATATAAATGAAATAAACTTTTAAAAAATCTCCCATTCTCTGTACAACTATTCTTTATTATAGAAACTATTCATATTCATTCCTCTGAATACAGAATACATTCCATCTTATAAAGTCTATCAAAAGACCTTGTATTTTTGCTTATAATTTTGCTAAGTTTGGATGGTAAGTCTCAACATATTTGCCTTGAGCTCCTCAAGTTCACAGATAAATAAGGTTCCCATCTTTGTCTTATTACATATTGAGAGATTCCAGACCTCGCAGACTGAAGTAACTGCATAAATAGAATCTGTACCTGAGACAGGAACTGTGTTAGAGGGGCTACGGTCAGAACATGGCATAATAGTCCCAAAGTTCATTTTCTGAGAAGAGACACAGAACAATGAATTATATACAGTCTCCAGTATTCCATTATTGAGAAAGACTAATGTGTTGAACAGATAGGAGAAGTAGAGTTGCTCCTTAGGAAAGAATGAAGCATGAAACATGTTCAGACAAACCTCCTTTCATCTCCAATCAGTAATAATAAAATATTGTGCAACCAATGTTTTCCATACCCGAGGATGTGCTTTAGTCTGTGACACCGCTGGAAAAGGTGAGTAATTACTATTCCTGTATGTGAAGATGTACGGGTACTCCTGAAAAGATAAGATAGTGAAAGCAATTAAAGTAAGTAATCATTTGGCACCACAGATGAAGTCATCAGAGCAATCATTTCAACTGATGGAAAATCTCTGTGGTCAATCCACAGAGAGAGGTCCAAGTACTAGAAGTATATTATGCACAATCTGACTCTCCTCCATGGACGATCAAGATCTGTGAGAAAGTCAGGGCTGCTAGTCAGTAAGAGCAGTCCAGACACTGAAGAGATGCACTTAGGAAGGGACAGAGCATGCCATATAAAACTCAAGATGTATTGTCAACTAAACTTTCTTGAATGGGATGGACTTTGGTCTTGGATCTGGCTATGAAAGAGGCTTGTTACCCTACAGGATTATTATTTCTCAGAAAGAGACAAGGAAGTAAGACAAGGATGCCCACTTTCCCCTCTTCTATTTATTTTATCATTAGAAACACTCCTGACAAAAATCAGAGAGGACCAAGAAATAAAGGGTTTAAAAATTAAGAAGGAAGAATATAAGGTCCAGGCCTTTGCTGATGATTTGGTATTTATTTTGGAAGATCCATTAGAAACTGGCTTTAAATTGATTCAAAAAATAGAAGAATTTGGTGAGGTAGCTGGACTTAAGATTAATAAGAATAAATCCAAATTAATAACCAAAAATCTTACAAAGGCACAGGAAAGTGAACTGGAAGATAAAACAAAGATAAGTATAACCAAGAAAATAAAATATTTAGGGATCTGGCTTACAGTGAAATGTTCCTTGATTAAGGAGGACAATTATGATAAAATATTACACCAGATAAAAAAAATTTAGAAAATTGGGAAAATCTGCAAATTTCATTTTTAGGAAGACTGCTACGGTCAAAATGAATATATTGCCAAAAATATTATTTCTGTTCCAAGTTATTCCAATAAAATTAGGGAAAACATTCTTTCAAGAATTAAATAAATTGGTCACTAAATTTATATGGCAAAGGAAAAAAACCAGGATTAAATTAAAACTCTTGCAAGATATGAAAGATAAAGGGGGATTGATGTTACAAGAGTGGGAAATATACTACCAAGCATTGAGCTTAACTTGGCTAAAAGATTGGATGGATTTGAAAAATACTAGAGTTTTAACAATAGAAGGACATGACTTGCAAGTAGGATGGCATGCATTCCTATGGGATGAAAAATATAAAATACACAGATACTTTCAAAGACACATAGTTAGGAATGCATTGCTACAGACTTGGGAAAAATAAAACAAAAACATTATATAAGAATTCCAATGTGGTTATCCCCAACAGAAGCTCTGAAATACCCAAACCTACTGGATATAAATAAGATAATTAGATACAAGGAATTAGTAAATGAACAGGGAAATCTGAAAACAAAACAAGAATTGGAACAAGATATAGGCAGAGAGATTGACTGGTGGACATTTACACAAATTCAATCTAAATATACAGAGGACAAAAAATTATATAAAATACAAAAAGAGCCGCAAGAATTGGATAAAATTATACATGGAACAGAAATAAAATTAATTAGCAATTTATACAAATACCTATTGAGATATAAAATGGAAGACGAGGTTGTCAAAGACACAATGATTAGATGGGCAAAAAAATTTGGATATAATATAGAATTGGAGAAATGGGAAAAAATATGGGAAATAAACATAAAATTGACTATGTCAGCGGCATTCAAGGAAAACCAGTTGAAGATGTATTACAGATGGCATCTTCCACCAGCAAAGCTTGCCAAGATGTTCCAGAACAATTCGCCAACATATTGGAAATGTAAAAAAAGTACATGGAACATATTATCATTTATGATGGACATGCCCAGTTGTGAAAAAATACTAGACTAAAATAAGAAGATGGATTGAAGAAATAATAGACCAACCCGTAGACTGGAAACCAGAGATCATTTTGTTGGGTATTTTAAACAGAAAATATAGTAAAGAAATACAATACTTAATTCTACATATAACAACGGCAGCAAGAATAGCTCTGGAAAAATGAGAATATACCATCAGAGGAAGAAGTGATAAGAAAAATCCTGGCCTGTGCTGAGATGGACAAATTAACAAAAGAGATAAAAGAAAAGGAAGACAAGAGTACTATCTAATATGGAACAAGTGGTATGACTGGTTGGAGACTAGAAATAATAGAGGAGAATAAATGTGGAAAGGTCAAAAGTGGAAAATGTGTGTATAATAATGTATAGAAATAATAATATGTATTATTCTTAGTATGAAGTATAGTATGAAGGAAGAAAAATGCAAATAAGAAACAACGGGGCAACAAGGACAAATATTCTAAAGAAGAATAAGGGGGAAAATGTAAATAATAGAAGATTACCATTACAAAATTGCTGTTTAAAAAAGGGGAGGAGTATATACTGTGTGTGTATGTGTGTTATGTTTTGTTTTGTTGGTTTAAAAAATTAAAAATTAAAAATAAGTTTAAAAAAAGAACTGTGGCAAGAAAGGTCATAAAATGGGCTAAAACTCACTTGACAACTATCTCACTTAGCAATAGAAATTTTGGCTCAATTGTGGTTGTAAATTGAGGACTATCTGTAGAGGATGGCTAGTCCAAAATGGCTCCAGAACTGTTATGCTAAAAATGGTTGCTATGGAGTATTTTCACAGAACAAAAGAGCATCATATCACCACAGTGGCCAATCAAATGGGATCAAGATTTAAACATAACCCTTGTCTTCTGTTATTGCTCCCCAGCAAGGGGTATATTTCTTGAAAATTATTGCTTCCCTTTAACCTTTAGGATTAATTATAACTGTTCATTAGTTTTTGGACTATATTGCAGTATTATTAAGTCATGCTGGTCAAAGGATACAATGTACCAATTTATTTGTTCCAAAAAGGAAATTATGTCACAGAATAGGTACTCATAATTTAGAGGTACATCCCTCTCTCTTTTCGAGTTGTTTTGTCCATTGTGTTCTGTTTTTGCCTTAACCTAGATTTTTATTTAAAAATACACTAAAATTACATGCAAATCTATTCAGATTTACTTTTTTTAAAAAAAATACCTCTAAATATACATTTATAACATATTTTGTTCTATGTTTTATGTGTATAGTGCCATTCTTTTTAGCGAATAGTGCACTGTGAAATGGGGGGGGGGGGAAGCAAAATCTTATCTGTATATCATTTTGGGTATACATATTGGGCTCATTCCTAGAGAATTTTACAGATAATGAATTCTTCTAACATTTTATTTGTTTTTATTTATTTGTAAAATTTATCTTACTACAGGGTAACTGTGGGCGGCTTACAATCTAACATTATCTGCAATATGTAGAATATAGATTTTAAAAACTTTAAAGGACCATAGTGGCCCAGTGGCTAGAATGTAGTACTTCAGGCTAATTCTGCTGTCAGCAGTTTGGCAGTTCGATTCTCACCAGCTCAGAGTTGACTCAGGCTTCCATTCTTCCGAGGTCGGTAAAATGAGGACCCAGATTGTTGGATGCAATATGCTGACTCATGTAAACTGCTTAGAGAGGGCTGTAAAGTAAGTCTAAGTGCTATTGCTATTGCTATTAAACTTCTTTAACCAGCTTTCCTGAACTTGATGTCCTTCAGATATGTTGGAGAATAATTTCTGTTATCTACAATCTGGGAGGTACTAGATATAAATCTTGTTATGAAGCAGAGGTGGAAAGCAATCTTATAAGAGCTGCTGAAATAGAAACATCAAATAGTGTTTGTCATCAGCTACCTCAGCTGGAGTTATAGGAAAAGCTCTAGTTCAACAGCAACTCGAGAGCCACAACTAGAAAGCCACACAGGTTGCCCATTTCAGTGAGAGAAAGTATTTCTCTGGAAAAAGAGATAATATTAAAGCTGTGTGTAGAAAATATTGTTCTCTTACCTGAGAAGGACACTTTGGTTCAGGTACTTCTGTGAAGTGATAGGGCTTCTTCTGACCAGCTGGGGTCAACTAAAATTAAAAAGTAGAAAGAAAACCCATAAGTGAGGTTTGCTCAGTTGATCAGTCCTCTAGTTATTCCTTTGCAGAACTGATTTGTAAGCCCTATGATGAGAGTAATAGTGTCAGAACCCATTTCTTTGGTGAGGGGGGACTTTTGCTAGTTCGGCCTTTTCTTTTCTCTTCTGCAGGTTCTGCCACACTCCTGGGAGGAGGGGGGAAGCTTTAGGGAATTGTTATGTATCTTCTTCTTGTAGCTGCTACAATGTATCCTCTCCACTTCCTCTATCTGCTTGCTCTTTGAACTGTTTCCCCCTTGATGCCAACCTGGGGTGAGAAAGGAATGTGCCTCCATCATATGGCTTATCTCTCGCTGTGGAAATTTTCATAGCCTTGGGAACGGCTTTCACAGTCTTATCAGCCCTGTTCCCACAGCGGACCTAACACCTGGGGATTGGCCCGTTTGAACTGACCAGATGAACTATTGGGGTGAGGTTTGCTTTTTGCTTTTTTAACCTATTGATTTGAGTGGGAAACCCTTAGATCCTGTCTCCTGTGCCTGCTGTTAACTTCTCGTAATAAAAGTTCCTTTTGGGATGAAACCGTTCCAAGAGTTCTGCTTTCTTGGGAAGAGGTTTTGAAGTGGGTCTTTACATATAGCCTGAGTACAAAAGATACAGGCAATAGGCATTTCTTAGCTGAAGCACTTGACTGAAATTGTCCTAACATAAATGCATGTTAACCCTAGTTTTATGAAATAATATAGAGAAATATAAAATAATTTTCTTTTCTTTTCTTTCTTTCTTTCTTTCTTTCTTTCTTTCTTTCTTTCTTCTTCTTTTTTTTTTTTTTTTGCTATTAAGTTCTATATTCAAAGAACAAGCCATTTGTTCCTGGGAGCCGGGGGTGGAAAATGTAATAAATAAATAAATGAAATTTAATAAATAACAAAGGAAAAAGAAACTCTTCACAAATATTTCTTATAGAGTGTTTTCCCTGGAGCATCATGCCTCTTTGTCAGAGATGCTGACCAGATAAGGTCATCTTTCTTATGGTGGGTTTTGTTTTGTTTTTTTAATTCTGGGAGTATCAGAAATTTTACTTGTATGGATTACAACCTTGAAAACTACACAAAAGGAAAAAAAACCCTCTGATGTTTTCTTCTGGTAATAAGAGAACCTGGATAGTGAAACACAGCAGTTCTTAGGCCATGTTAAATTAGTGTTCTGCATCTTATTTCAGCATTGTTCAAGGACAGCTTCAAGGTCTGTAAAATTTGCTTCATTTATAACATGTTGTGGGTAATGTCTCCCTGGCTTTTCTCTTACCACAATAATTGTATTAACCACAGATGGGACAGCTATAGAGTATCTTTCGAGCAATACTACTGATACAGAGACTCCCAGAGAGATGCTCATGGTGAAATTTTAAAGAATTATGAAAAGAAGAATGAAAAGTGGCTTAAAAAGGGGAGATAAGCAGAAGATGGAAAATTTTCCACTTGGAAAATGTGGAGTTTATCGTTTAGCAATAAAGTTTTTTAAAAAAATTAGTGGAACAGGTAGATTGCAAACTTTTAAATTGGGCTTAAAAAAGGGGAGAAGGAGATTCAACAACCTGTTCTCCAGCTCAAGTAACATGTATGTCAGATTTTAAATTAGAATTAGAATTCAAATGTAGTGATTTTTTTAAAAAAGCAAATTTAATAATCTAGGATACCACCTTTGTTCCTTTATCAGGGCATCTGACTTGCAATAAATGGAGGGCTGAGACAAGAACTTTGACATCATTATGTGTGTTTATGGATAAAAGAGAGATCAGTCAAGGTAATTAAGTGCAGCTCTTGTCATCCAAGATTGCAACCTTGATTCAAGACTTTAACTTTTATCCTATCATATCAGATAAAAGAGGTCATTAAAATGAAGGACGTCCATGGCCAAAAGAAAAGTTAGAGCTCATGTGTTACAACAGAAATCATTGATATCTGCTTTATGGGGCTGTTGAGTTGAAAGTCAATGCATTGAAAAGAAACCAGGCTGAAGAAGTTATACCTAATGAGGTAGTCAGAACAATAAGTTTGGTTTATGGACACCTGAATTCAAATTCTTGGTTAGTCATGACAATATATGCCACTGATTAGTCACTATCTCAGAGCCTCGTCGTGAAAAAAGTGCTATACCCATTCCTACTGCCATTTTTTTTTTAGAATGAAAAACACTGTGAAGTCTTTCATTTATTTTCAAGTCTCTTACCATATTGTTCCAAAGTTCTATTCCTACAGCAGCATCTTTTTCTCCCGAGATGTTCAGTAGCATCTCCTTTATTGAATAATCAATATCATGATTAACCTGCAACATAATTAAGAATGGAGCAGAATTGAATAATAATTTTGCATTCAAAGTTTAAAACAGGCGCCCCAACCAACCCAAGTACCTCATGTACTTTTTGTTTGTGTATATGTATATATATATATATATATATATATATATATATATATATATATATATATATATATGTTTTCTGAGGTTTTCGCGGTATTTGTATGTAGGTCTTTGGTTGTTCGGGTTTTCTCCCACGTAAAATTGGAAGTGTCTTGGCGACGTTTCGACGAAGTCCCATTCGTCATCTTCAGGCTGGTGCTTTCAGCTTCGTGCCTCGAGCAGCAATGTGCAGCAAACCCTATATCACATTGCTGCTCGAGGCACGAAGCTGAAAGCACCAGCCTGAAGATGACGAATGGGACTTCGTCGAAACGTCGCCAAGACACTTCCAATTTTACGTGGGAGAAAACCCGAACAACCAAAGACCTATATATATATATATATATATATATATATATATATATATATATATATATATATATATATATATATATATAAAAAACATACATTTTTAAAAAAACCACAAACATGATATCACATATATACTACATAAATTAGTCTTACATGTGTTTTGCATTTTACAATTAAATTATTACATTTAAATTGTCTAGAGAAATGGGAAAATAACTATATTTAACTTATAAACAATCCTCCAGCAGAACTATCAGCATTGTTGTTTATCTGGAAAAGAGAAGCTTTCTAGTCCATCATAAGGAGAATGGATGTTCTTCTAGCCTTTAGTATCTTTTTTTTTTTTTGCAGTCATAAAAGATTGCAATGTCCATGTCTATTGTGCTCCCAGCAAAGTTTTGAAAACTTGGCACATAGGAAATAATAATAATAATAATGAGTTGGAAGGACTTTGGAGGTCTTCTAGTCCAACCTCCTGCTCAGGCAGGAAACCCTATACCATTTCAGACAAATGGCTGTTCAGTCCCTTCTTAAAACCTTCCAGTGTTGGAGCATTCACAGCTTCTGGAGGCAGGTTGTTGTTGTTATTGTTATTGTTAATTGCGAAGTCGTGTCCGACCCATCGCGACCCCATGGACAACGTTCCTCCAGGTCTTCCTGTCCTCTACCATCTTCTGGAGTCCATTTAAGTTCACACCTACTGCTTCAGTGACTCCATCCAGCCATCTCATTCTCTGTCGTCCCCTTCTTCTATTGCCCTCAATCTTTCCCAGCATTAGGCCCTTCTCCAGTGAGTCCTTCCTTCTCATTAGGTGGCCAAAGTATTTGAGTTTCAACTTCAGGATCTGGCCTTCTAAAGAGCAGTCAGGGTTGATCTCTTCTAGGACTGACCGGTTTGAACGTCTTGCAGTCCAAAGGACTCACAGGAGTCTTCTCCAGCACCATAGTTCAAAGGCCTCAATTCTTTGGCACTCAGCCTTTCTTATGGCAGGTTGTTCCACTGATTAATTGTGCTGCCAGGAAATTTCTTCTTAGTTCTAGGTTGCTTCTCTCTTTGATTAGTTACTGTCCATTGTTTCTAGTCCTACCTTCAGGTGCTTTGGAGAATAACTTGACTCTCTCTTCTTTGTTTGTGACAACCCCTGAGATATTGGAACAATACTATCATGTCACCCCCTAGTCCTTCTCTTCTTTAAACTAGACATATCTAATTCCAGCAACCTTTATATGTTTTAGCCTCCAGTTCTCTGATCATATTTGATGCTCTTCTCTGGACTCTTTCTAGAGTCTCAACATCTTTTTTACATCGTGGTGACCAAAACTGGATGCAGTATTCCAAGTGTGGCTTTACCAAGGTGTTATAAACTGGTACAGTACTAACACTTCATGTGATCTTGATTCTATCCCTCTGTTAATGCAGCCTAGCACTGGGTTGACTTTGGTAGCTGCAGCATACTGCTGGCTCATATTTAAGTGATTGTTCACTAAGACTCCAAGATCCTTCTCACAATTACTACTGTTCAGCAAGGTATCAACTATATTGTACCTGTGCATTTGGTTTTTCTTGCCTAAATGTAGAACCTTACTTTTTTCACCATTGAATTTCATTTTGTTAGATAGTGCCCAATGTTCAAGTCTGCCAAGATCCTTCTTATCTTAAGCCTGTCTTCTGGAGTGTTGGCTATTCCTGCCAGCTTCGTGTCTGCAAATTTGATGAGTTCCCCATCCACCCCTTCATCCAAATCATTGATGAAGATGAAGGGCCCAAAACAGAGCCCTGGGGCACCCCACTAGACACTTCCCTCCATGTAGATGCAGTTCCATTAAGGACCACACACTGAATCTGGCTGGTCAGCCAGCTACAAATCCATCTGGTTGTGATGTTGTCTAACATACATTTTTCTATCTTACCAAATAGAAGGTTGTAGTCTACTTTATCAAATGGCTTACTGAAGCCCAAGTAAAATATATCCACAGCATTCCTCTAGTCCACTAATTTTGTCACCTGGTCAAAGAATGCAATAAGATTTATCTGGCATGATCTGTTTTTGACAAACTCATGCTGGCTTTTGGTTATGACTTTGTTTGCTTCTAGGTGTTCACTGATTAGCTGCTTGATTATTTTTTCCAGAATCTTCCCAGGTATTGAGGTCAGGCTGATAGGCCTATAGTTTCCTGGATCATTTTTTTTCTTTTTTGAATATGGGAACTATATCAGCTCTTTTCCAGTCCTCTGGTAGTTCGCCAGTGCTCCAGGATCTTTGAAAAATATAGTTCAGTGGTTCTGAGATCACATCTGCCGGTTCCTTCAGAACCTTGGGGTATAATCCATATGGTCTTGGTGATTTGAACTTGTCTAGGTGGACAGATGCTGACTTACCATTTTCTTGCCTATTTTAACTTGTGTTTCTAATCTGTTTTTTATGATACTATTTTTGATAGGTTGGACTGTTTCTTCCCTTTGTGTAAACACGGATGCAAAAATGAGTTAAGTAGTTCTGCTTTCTCCCTGTTGATTGTCACCTTCTTGCCACTTTCTCCCACTAATGGACCAATCATTTCCTTAACTTTTTTCTTGTTTTTTACATGTTGAAAGAAGCTTTGTTATTTTTCACTTTTGTTATAAGCCTTAATTCATTTTGATCCTTAGTTTTCCTCACTTCATCTTTGCAGATTCAGGCTATTTGCTGATATTCTGCCTTAGTTATGTGCCCCTCTTTCCACTTTTTATACTTGTCCTTTTTGTCTTTCAATTTATCTGAGAGTTCTTTATGCAGCCGTGCTGGTTTCTTTTGAGACCTGGTATTTTTCTTCTTCATTGGTATTGTGCTAGACTGAGCTTTTATAATCTCACTTTTCAAAATTTCCCGAGTTTCTTAAGTTGTTTTCCCTTTGAGGATTCTCATCCATGGAATCCTTTCCAAGCTCTCCCTAAGTTTATTGAAATTAGCTCTCTTAAAGTCCAAGACTCTAGTTTGACTAGGATCTATTGCTTGTGCTTGCATAATGCTGAATTCCAATATTGCATGATCACTCCCCTCCACCTTCTATCATTTCATCTCTGTTAGTGACAATTAAGTCCAATATGTCTGATCCCCTAGTTCCCTTCTCTATTTTTTCAGAGACAAAGTTGTCTGCTAGGTTTGTCAGGAATCTATTTGATCTTCCACTTGGTGCACAGTTTGTCTCCCAGTTGATGTCAGGGTAATTAAAGTCCCCCATTACTATTGTGATGTGCTTCCTATGTACCTTATTTAACTGACTAGCAAAAAGTTCACTTATTTCCTTTGTTTGATTGGATGGCCTATAGTTTGCACCTATGGCAATATCAATCCCCCCCCCTTTTTTTATATTGACCCAAATACATTCAAGACAGTTTCCATCATTGTGCTATTTTTCTGTAGAAATGTAGTTATTTCTTATATATAGTGCAATTCCATCTCCTATTTTATTTGGTCTGTTTCTTTTAAATAATTTAAATCCCGCTAGCTGTGTGTTCCATTTGTGGGTTTCATCCCTCAAGTTTCTGTAAGGGCAACAATATCATATCTGCCCTCATTTACCTGAATTTCTAGTTCACTCTGTTTATTGCTTATACTCTGTGCATTGGTGTATAGACATTTGAGTCAGACATTATGACTGACCCTGTGTTTACTTTCTACATAACCTGTGTGGTGCCTGAGTTCCCCTACTTCCTTACCACCTGTTTGATTTGTAAAGCACTATGATGTGATATATAAGTTTTTGCTATTGCTATTGCTCTAAAGGGCAAAGATCTGCGAACCCAATTCCTAGAGGTGAGGAGTTGAACCCCAGAGAATAATATTTAGCTAGCCATGTCTGACAAATCCCAAAGCCACTCCTGATGGTTAATCTAACTTTCCTCCCCTTTTATAACTCCTCTGACATGAAACAATAATTGGTGTTCATAAGTAGTAGAGTTTGGCCTGCAGAAGCCCAGGACCATAGTGACTCTGAGCAGTAGCAGCAATATAGCTGCCCTGATTGCTAGGAAAGGGAGGCTTGGCAGAGGCTCTCTCCACACTACTTCTTCCCTGTGCTCTGCCCACCAGCTCCTAGCCCTATCATTCCTTGATGCCTGCTCCACTCACTCTCTTCCTGGCTGAGCCAACACTGCATAGACTCCTGAACAATCAGACTGCACAAGGCCGGGCAGGCAGCAGAAAGGTGCAAGGCAGGGCACTGAGTGTAAAGATGGCACCTACTGCAGAGACAGAGGAAAGGGGGAGAAAAACCTCATCTTTTATACCCCATTTGCTGAGTGCTGCACCAGGCTAGAAACTGAGAGATTGTGAATGCTAGTCCAACCTTAAGTACAAAGTCAGCAGGATGACCTTGGGCCAGTCATAGTCTCTCAGCCCTAGGATAAAGCAATGGCAAACCACCTTTGAAATCCTACCAAGAAAACCACGGTTGCCAGGAATCAATACTGACTCAAAAACATACACACAAAATAAAAAACAAGAAAAAAAGAAAAGAAAAGAAAGCCCAGAAAGAATAAGAGAGTTGTATTTCTTACGGTTGCAAGTGGCATATTTACTTCCTCAAATGAAATTTGGAGACCCACAGTGAAATCTCTCCTTAGGGCATACTTTTCAGATGCCAGTAACTTTTCCAAAGCATCCTATAGAAAGAGATAACAAAAACACTTTTTTTTAAACTACACAGAATTCATTGCAATATATACATTTCTCCCTGATTTAAGTAAAATCAATTTATTATACCTAATAAATATGAACAACAAAAGTACATAGTCAAAATATAAATAAAATAGGAAAAATAATCTACTTTAAATAACCATAAAAATGCCCCAGTGGCTATGAAACATTTACCACAAATCCATTTTCTTAAGAAAGGCATAAGCCTAGTAAGACAATTGGATTTCACACGACTTTCCATATCCTGGAGGCATTTCAGAAATGAGGATATCCCAGTGATGCTCTTGCCATCTCTAACTAATCAGACATATTTAGCAGCAGATTTCATATATTTCATCAGTTTGGAAACTGATTATAATGAGGGTGGTCTTGTGACATCTTGTTCCAAACACTCTCAAACTGGTCATGATAGATTCCTTGGTAGAAGTGGATGATACCATGTGAAAGGGATATGAAACACTAAAAACAACTTGTCTATTTGTAATATACAACTAGAGGCAAATTCTCTTTTCACTAAACCCAGTATATTACTCACCTGATACACCCATTTTCGTACAGATTCATCCAATTTGGAACAGTCTTTGAAACAAATGCATGAATTAGGAACTATATTCCTAGAATATATCAATAGGAAAACAAAGTAAAAAATATAGAAGGCCATAAAATCTCCATTTAAAACTTGAAATTTCTTGAAATCTAGTAAAGGAAGAAGACAGTTTCTTGGCATAACTAACTAATCTATCTTTTCCTTTGCAAAATTTAAACTATCTCAAGCTCAAAATATTCTTGGAAATATTCCAGTCCTGTTTCAGTCATTCCAATCAATTATTCAAAAAGCTGTTCAACTTGCAACACTTCCAGAATTTGGGAACAGAATGGAAACACATCTAGGAAGTTCAGAACAACTGATTTTAAGTTGAAATAGGAAGCTTCAAGCTCAAAACATTTCAAATTCAAAATATTTTGTGTTGCGTCCTTGGCGGGAAAACAGACACGAGAAGCAGCTGGAGTCCTCAGGTTCTTTTATTCAGCGTTCAGCTTACAGGAAGATGGCTTCAGCTCAGCCCAAACGCCTCGCAGCCCCTTATATAGGCAACTCCCGGGTAAATGGGTTACTTTTCCCGCGCCAGCACCCGCGCATGCGCACGGCGCTGGCGACAGCCTGTCTGGTCCCGGGCAGCTTTGCACCTGCCCGGGACTGCCTGCAAACGCCCGAGCCGTTTGCAAAGGCTCGGGACATAACACCCCTTTCCCCCGGGCTAAAACTACTACCAACATACAGCATTTATTTTATATAACATTTTGCTCCCCAGTGCTCCCACTGTTTACTGGCCTTTGCCTTGCCAGCAATGTTATGTAGTCTTCTAGGTACTTGGGAGATTTCTTTGCTCTCTGTGACCTTCTTAGCTGTGGGTTACTGGCATAAGTCCCCTGACTGGAGGGAGGCGTGAGCCTGTTCTCTCTATTGTGCCCTGGTGTCTTCCAAGGACTGTGCCCCGATGCCTGGCCTGCTTGCTTGCCCACCGGGCTCGTCAGGCCAGGGCTTCTGTTGCTTTGTGACCTGGTTGACCTGCCTAGCTGTAGACCCTCAGGCCCCTTGAAGTGATAGCCGCTGCTGGGCGTCTCTGTAGGACCTCCTAGGTCAGTCCAAGACCTGTCAGGAGGCTGTCCATTCCCTGAACCCCATTCTGTGTTTGGGCTCATGTGGGTTTCTGTACTCTCCCAAAACTCAGGTGTCCCCTGATTTGTGCTAGGGGTGTTGTAGTCGGGACTTGGTTCCTCGACTAGCTCTGTGTATGTTTGACCCTCTGTAGGATTTGGGGTAAGGTCAGGCCAACTTTGGGGATTGTGTGCCAGCTCTCTTGCGGGGAATGATTTGTTGGGATGCCCCCGGGTATCCTCCGTGACTGGAGTGCTGTGTGATGTGTGTGGAAAGTGAGTATGCCCCCGGGGTGACTCCCTGGCTGGAGTAGGCGTGAGTGCCTGTTGTGTGGGTAAGCTCCATGACTTCCTTTTCGGAGCAATTGCGGAATCTTGGGACGGGCCGTTTGTGGCTCCCTCAGTGGAGATGGGCAGTAACTCTTGCCCTTCCCTTTGCTCCAAAGGGTCCCCCTCCCCCCCTGGAAAAGACCCAGGAGTTTCAGCAGAAAAGTCCCGCCTAGAGCGGAGTTGGTCGATGTGCCGACGCAGGACACGACCGTTGTCCAGGGCAACCTCGTAGGAGAGAGGACCTGTGATCCTGGACACAGAAGCGGGGACCCATGTATGACCAGGCCCGTAATTGCGAGCCCAAACCGGGGCACCCACAAGTAGTTGTCTAGGTGCCCTAGGATGTGAGGTAGATGAAGGCAGTCTGTCCGGATGCAACCGGTCAAGTCTCGTAGTAAGTTGGCGCCCCCAACGAAGTTCAGCTGGACTTCTCCCTGTAGAAGTGGACGGTGTGGTGCGATAAGAAAGGAGAAAGTCAGCCAACCTGTGATGCCAGTCCCCGTAGGTGAGTCTCTTCAAGGCGTCCTTTGCGATGCGCACCATGCGTTCAGCCATACCGTTGGTGGAAGGGTGAAAGGGCGCAGATGTGGCATGACGAATCAGGTTTGCCTGTAAGAAAGCTTGGAATTCGGAGGAGGTGAATTGAGGGCCGTTGTCAGACACAATGACATCTGGCAGCCCGTGTGCAGCAAAAATCCCCCTCAGTACCTGAATAGTCTTTGCAGTGGTGGTGGGTCGAGACAGGCACAACCTCAAGCCATTTTGAATGGCTGTCAACAAGGACCAAGAAGAACTGGCCCTGAAAGGGCCCAGCGTAGTCAATGTGCACCCTAGACCATGGGGACTGTGTTTCCTCCCATTTATGCACAGGAGCTTGGGGCATCTCTGGGCGAGATCGTTGGCACATGTGGCATGCGTGTACCTTAGCCTCAATATCTTTATCTAAAGCAGGCCACCACAAGTGGCTGCGTGCAAGAGCCTTCATACGAACAATGCCAGGATGACCCTCGTGGAGGGATTCTAAGACCCTAGTCCTCATTGAGGTGGGAATGACAACTCTGTTTCCCCAAAGCAAACAACCCTGAGAAAGGGACAATTCGTTCCTTTTGGACCAGAAACTCTGAAACTCAGGACTAGGGCAGTGCTCAGGCCACCCGGACAGGACCCAGGAGCGGACACGTGAAAGTGTGTGATCTGTACCTGTTTCAGCGGTAACATCCCTGGCACTAAGAGGAAGCTCGGGCAAGGCTTGGATTGATAGAATGTTGACAGCTGGCGCGGGGTCAGCTTCTACTACTGGCAGAGGCAACCTACTGAGGCCATCAGCATGGCCCATTTCTTTCCCAGGCTTGTGGAGTAATGAAAAATCATATGCAGACAAAAAAATAGACCACCTAAGCATTCTAGGGGAAATGATGTGGGGAGTCTGCTTACGTGTGGTAAACAGTCCCAGCAGAGGCTTATGGTCAGTGAAGACCGTGAAATGCCTGCCATATAGAAAATCGTGGAATTTTTTAATTCCAGCAACAACAGCCAGAGCCTCCCTGTCTATCTGAGCGTAGTTGCGCTCGGCAGAAGACAGTGTTCTGGAGTAGTATGCAATAGGAACCTGAGTTCCATCAGACCTGAGGTGACTCAGGACAGCTCCAACCCCGTAGGGGGATGCATCACAAGCGATGCACACAGGAAGAGACTCGTTGAAATGTGCAAGAACACTGTTAGAAGTGAGCAAGGCCTTGACTTCTTTAAAGCAAGCCTCATGTGCTTGTGACCACAGCCACACAGCTTGTTTGTCTAGTAGCCTGTGAAGAGGCTCAGCTACACTAGCTTTATGTGGAAGAAAAGAATTGTAGAAATTCAGGAGGCCTAGGAAGGCCTGAAGTTCGGCCTTAGACTTTGGCCTGGGTGCTTCTAAAATAGCAGTTAGTTTGGATTCAGCAGGATGAATCCCAGCAGCATCAATTTTGAATCCCAGAAATTCAGTAGAAGGCACCCCAATCTTGCATTTGTCTTTTCTGAGCTTAAGGCCTGATTTCCTGAATCTTAACAGGACAGCCCTAAGCCTTTCAGCTAGAATGTGTGTGGAGTCTCCTGCAATCAAGACATCGTCAAAGTAGGGGCAGACCCCTGGTATACCTCGTAGTGTGTTTTCCATTACGCTTTGGAAAATCCCAGGAGCGACATTCACTCCAAACTGCAGCCTTTTTACCTTAAAGGCTCCCCTGTGGGTCACAATAGTCTGAGCTATGGCAGCATCATCATCAACAGGCAGCTGTTGATATGCTTGAGCTAGGTCAAGCTTTGCAAAAACACGCCCCCCTTGAGAGAGGCCAGGATGTGACTGACCACAGGAACAGGATAGGCATGTTGCTGCAATGCCTTATTGAGTGTGCATTTGTAATCAGCACAAATGCGAATGTCCCCATTTGCCTTTAGAGGCGTGACAATGGGGGTCTCCCATGGGCTGGAATCAACAGGTTCTAGGATTCCTTGTTGGATTAGTTTGTCTAATTCAGTGTCAATCTTACTTTTTAAAGCAAAAGGGACCCTTCTTGCTTTAATCCTAATGGGAGTGACAGTGGGGTCTAGCTTTAAGGACACAGGTGGTCCTTTGAATGTGCCCAGCTGGGGGCTGAAAACATCTGCAAATTCCTTGCAGACTTCCTGTAGGTCGAGTGTTTGTAAGCTGTTGAGTCCTGTGACGTGTATCCCCAGGGCCTCAAACCAATCGAGTCCTATGAGACTCGTTCTTTCACCCCCTACTACTAACAAGTCTAGTGGACCTTCAAAACTCTTGTATTGCACGTTAAGGGTGGCCTCCCCCTTAACACACACTCTTGAGTTCTGAAAATCAGTTAATACAATATCAGAAGGCCTTAACTTGGCCTTAGTCCCACTACTGGAACAAATCTTCCTAAATGTATGCAATGAAATGATGGAAAGGGCAGACCCTGTGTCTAGTTCCATAGATAATGGAACCCCTTGTAGCTTCACGTTGAGTGACAGCTTTTTCTTCATGGGCTTGTGTGTGCCTGTCCTACAAATGTTTCTACGCGAAGCGCAAAAACCTACCCTATTCTGGCTGGGGACTCTGGTACCCTTCAGGCGTTCTTCTTGAGGTTGTGCCTTTCGTCGGCCCAGACACACAGCTGCAATGTGCCCTTGTTTGCCGCATGCCCGGCAGGTAGCGGAGCGGAACTTGCAGTCGGTTCTCCTGTGGCGACCTCCACAGCCGATGCACTTGAGCGGAGCTGAAGAGCTTTCCTTCTGATTTTCTCCCTTCGCGGGGTGTAGACGGTCGACTTCTTCGTCCGGATCCTCCTCGGAGTTTCGTCGGACGTCTTCTTGGTGCACGGACGCACCCTCTGCACTGCTTCTGATCGGCCGCATGTTCTTGACGGCGCCGCCTGCTGCTTCTTCCGCGGTGGCTTCCCTTAAAGCGTCTTGGAAGGATAATTCTTCCTTAGCGAAAAGTCTCTGTTGTAGCTCTCGATGCCTCAACCCGCACACGAATCGGTCCCTCAGTCGTTCCTCGAGGTCCTTGAACTCGCAGGGCTTGGCGGCCTTCCGTAACGCGGCGATGTATTCCTTGACTGACTCACCGGACCGTTGATCCCTCTGCTCGAAGGTGTGGCGCCATGAGATAACGGACACCTTGGGGTGAAAGTGGTCCTTCAGCAGCTTCTTCAGGTCTGCGTAGCTTACAGACTCTACTGGAACAGGTGCTGCAAGGTTTTCTGCGATTTCGAAGGCGTCTTGGCCGCAAGCGCAAAGCAGGGTGGCAGCCTTCAAGCTATCTTCCCTCACTTGGTTTGCCTTGAAGTAGTTCTCCATTCTGGATACGTAGGACTCCCACCGCTCTGGATGTGAGACGTCGAATTCCGCAAGCCTTCCGATTTTCGCCATCTTCGGATCTTCAGGAGACGGGTCTATCAGCCAGCCTACCCCCGAATGCGCACTGGATTGGCGGGCAGCTGCTGAGTCAACACCGTTCCTCTTCCGCCGCTCAGGACTCCTTGGGTAAGCTTACACTTTTTCCTTTCCAGGTAGTGCAAGGCATCCCACCTCGTCGCCAGTGTTGCGTCCTTGGCGGGAAAACAGACACGAGAAGCAGCTGGAGTCCTCAGGTTCTTTTATTCAGCGTTCAGCTTACAGGAAGATGGCTTCAGCTCAGCCCAAACGCCTCGCAGCCCCTTATATAGGCAACTCCCGGGTAAATGGGTTACTTTTCCCGCGCCAGCACCCGCGCATGCGCACGGCGCTGGCGACAGCCTGTCTGGTCCCGGGCAGCTTTGCACCTGCCCGGGACTGCCTGCAAACGCCCGAGCCGTTTGCAAAGGCTCGGGACATAACATTTTGCATATCAATACTTTTCCTCTTTAAAAGGTTGGTATTATTTTCTGGCTTGATAACTCCTTGATAAAAGTTCATCTGTTAGTATTATCTCCTCTATATTTATTTACAGATAAAGTCCTGAGATTCCCAAATGCCAAGATGCTCAAAAATTGATAAAAATGTTCCATTGAGCTATATTAAGTACACATAAGAAATTGCATCATCATGCACAACAAATGTCAATTTACAGGTTATGAGACTTGTCTCACCTGAGCTCCTTTGATATCTAGTAAATCCAAGTCAAGTTTCTTGTGTTTATTCACATGTATAAATGCAATATATTCTTGTTTCCTTTTGTTTCATTACATATATAAATGCAATGTACTCTTTGAGGCAAGTGGGAGGGGAGGAGAAGATGAGTGCCAAGATACATTTTTAAAAGTTCTTGCTTATGGCATCTACTCCTTGATACTTCAAAAGCAATTTGAAAACAATCTGGGATTGATTTCAAACCCTTCAACTTTGTAATGCTGAGAAAAAGGAGCAAGGAGAAGGAATAGATCTTGTACCAGCAAAAATCTATTAACAGCTATTCCTCATGAAAAGATACAGAAGGGAAGGAAAAGGCAAAGAATCTTGTCAATTTCTCCATGGATCCTTTATTTGGACTGCTAAGAAGGGAGTGACAATCTGTCAAGCTGGAGTGCCCCTTGCAGGGTGTTCTGGAGCAGCAGCTCCCAACCTTTTGGGCACCAGGGACCTGTTCCACGGAGAAAGGTTTTTCAGCAGACCAGAGGAGGCGTGGTTTCTCATGCTGCCTGCATCCTGTGGGTGGGGTTTTGCTTGTTTGCATAGACCTGTTGCTGGCATGCTGCAGAGGCAGTGCCGGTCCATGGACCAGGGGTTGGGGACCCCTGTTCTAGAGTGACCTAAGCTTAAGAGAAATCCATAGAGAGTAAAGGAAGTATTTCATTCAATAGTATTTCATTCAATAGAAAACTATTCCACCACCAACCTCTCCAGAGACCTACTTTGTCACTCCACAGGCTCCAATGGCCATAAGTTGCTGCCTAGTCTTTTGGGACTGGTGGGGATGGGGTGGGGGTTAAAAATGCTGTAATATAAATAAATACACCAAAAACATGCAGTTATCATTCAAATAGGGCAGTAATCCTCAAGATGCATATTGGAAATTTGGGAAATTGAAAGATTAGGTTGTGTGTTTGTGTGTGGTATCATACTAGGGAAGACTCAGCTACTAACATGCACAAATGGTACATGTCAAGATAATACAGAAATGGGCAAAATGGCCCCAAGTAAAAACTTTTACAAGCAGAGCCTAACTCACAAGTGATTTGCCAAACCATATAGAGCATTTTTGGAATAAACCACTTGGAGGGGGGGAAATAAAGAAAACAATACAATCTAAAATGGAAGATGAAAACTGTCTCAATCTATCAATAGGAGAAATTTGGGTTACCTGACATTATTCCGACCTGTGTTTGAGAGAGTTGAGATTGGGAGCAATGTAAAATCCACCAGATTTACAAAGACTTTAGGAACCTGCAGTGATAGAAGAATAGCCAAATGAATTACTGCAATAGTTTCCTAATTCAGAAAAGGCTTTCTATCACCAATCTTTACTGTTTATAATGTAAACTTTTGTGGCTTCACAACCTTACTCACTATTTCAGGATGAAAGGGAATGGTAAAAAAAGCTTCACTGAGACAGTGGATGCTGATTTAGTCTATGAAAGAATAACTGGAGAGGCAGTATTCATATAACAATTTATCTGAATCAGATGAAAACCTATCAAATACTGTATATTCACCCCAATGCTCAGGTTGTTTAGTATTATGCTTGATTAGGTTTCTGAGCAGGATGCATACACCCAACCTATTTGATTAGTGTGAGTTTAGTGCATTGTCAATCAAGTGAGTATCTAGGTTAAACATGCCATTTATGTAGGGGCATAACTGTACACAAACAGTACTGAAACTGTAAGCTTTTTGAATTGTAAAATAATATTAACAGCAATTATCCGCATGCAAAACTAGATGCAACAGGGCTGATGTATGAGAGTAATGAGAAAGGTGTATGACGTTGAGCTGGATCCTATTCCCTTTCCTTGAACTCTAAAACAACTTTCCCCAACCTACAGTAAGGGGAAGGATGTTCCGTGCACACCAATATATGTGCATTTAACCTCATTGAAACATTGGAAAAAGAACTGCCTTTGTAATTCAATGTGAATAAATTAGGCAACCAGACATTTTCCCATAAGGGATGTTATGTGTGGGCAACATATTTATTATAAATACTACTATTTTTACAGTTTTTTATTGTAAAAATAGCAATAATTCATGTTCAATAATTTGAGCTAAATATTTATTGTTACATTATAAACCATCCTGGGACAAATATAACAGTAGGTAGAATATCTGTAGGTCTGTATATATTTGTGTGTATAGGGTTACTAATAATAGTAGTAATAATAACAGCCTGAATCAATCCATTATAGGATGAAAGTCCTTGGACTGAAAGTTATAGACCATATTCTATTTTGCTGGCCCAAAATTGATAAGTATTTTTCAACTTTTCAATCTAGCCCAAAATCACCCAGCTGCCTTCCATGCCTAAAAGAAAACTGGGTCTCCCTATTCCCTTAACTACTATATTACACTGGCTGTCGCAGATACATGCATAAGCATAGGCTATACATAAGTCTATATGAATAACTCCAGTGTTTCAAAATTATTGAATCTGGGAAAATGTTCATACTTCTCTGTATAAAAAATCCAATACTCTTTCAAATTTCTTTATGTTGTTGAGTCGGGAAATGTCCTGTTCAAAATAAAAATTTATATGAGGAAATGGTCAAGAAAGCAATCTTTTTTCATTCCAAGTCAAACACTTCAGAATAATGCCTGCCTTCCATATCTCTTATTTCACCAGCTTGGAAAGGAATCTCAAGTAAATATATCTCGAAAAGAATGGGAATCCTCCATTTCTAACTATGATACCCTCTTAATTTAATCAATAAAAAGATGGTTATGGATTAACCATCTCCTTTCCTGCATTAAATAATCTGTATTCAATAATTTTAGAACTAAACCCTAATTTTAACTGGGGCAAATACTTTTTACAGGGACTCTGTTAGAATTTCTTGTGCTAAATTATCATGTTTTGAAATAATTTTAATATATATTTGTGAAGAGAAAAACCGTATATCCTTTCCAAGGCTTGTGATTGAGCTTACTAATGTCCAGTGAAGTCGTACTTGTTTTTAGATTAGACAGAGAGCCAATCTTTTCATGACTTGGCATAATAATTTTTTTAATTAAAAATGAATTTCAGGGCCGTGACAAAGGTGCAATGAGACCATCAGAAGTGGACCAAAGCAAATAGTGTAAAAGAATTTAAGGACTAAGTAGGCATTTTAAGTTTAGACATATTTTATATATCATTAATACATTATTCATTTTTTTGAAATCCCAAATATAAAACTCCCAAATATACTGCTGAAAATCATTTGTTAGTGAATTTCAACACTGTGATATCAATGCTACTTATCTGGTACTTTATCTGACTGCAAGCATAAATAAAATGACTTTTCCATATTAAGTTATTGAGGTATTCCTAGCATTTTAGAAAATGTGGGAGGTGAATAACTGTTATTATACACATATTTAAGAATGTTTACTATATTTTGATTTATAGATACTTGATTAAATCTTCAAGAGAAGAACACGTATCCCTTAGGAAAATGACTTATTTGTAATAATACAAATTATTATGGGGCAATATACCACTAAAGGAAAAATAAAGTATTATTTGGGAAGGAAAATCAGTCTCATAGCAGTGCAATAAAGCCATTCTTATTTTTACAAGCATTGCAATTTTGCATGAGCTGTGCAGGATTTATCATTCAGATAAAAGCAGTGAGATACTGAAGATGCCCCTGTCTAGAGTGGTCAAAATAGTCAATATAGCAGCCATGGCCATATAATCAAAATTCCAGCCTTTTTTTTACAGGCATTGTGGGGCCTACCATTTTGCCTTTTTTGTCCCCTGCAGATGTCCCTGCCTAGGGTGGCTTGTATATTTTAAAAAAAGCTGGCACCATCCAAGAAACATCAAAATCCACCATTTGTTTATTCTTTAATCCAATTTCTTGGTCTATTTTCCAAGTAAATACCCATGCCTCTTATTTACCTGGGAGTCAGAGTTCTGTGAAGAACACGGGTGAAAAACTGTGATTAGCTTCCAGTCATTCTGATAGTCAAACAACTAAGGGGAAAGAACATAGCACCTGTTTAAGTGTTAGGAAAAAAACTCTAATTTGAAAGCTTCTGTCATGAAAAAAGTTGAATTATGCCCAGATAAGAGGGGAGTGGGTAGAGTGGGGTTTCTCATAAAAATGCTTCTGTGATATGAATGGCTTTGTCATGGCTGACTGTCACACACCCCTGCTCACCACCAGACAACAGAAACAGGGAAGGGGAAGGGAAAGTACTGCAGTGCAAGGGAGACTTGGAAGGGAATTGAGGAATTCAAGTGAGCCGATGCGGCCTGGGACAGTCCCAATTATCAGTAAAGTTATACAGGCTTCCACCAAGCTAGAGGGTCTTCAGAATTCCCCATCATCTGAGAATAGTATATTAACACATCTGATATTTTTTTTAAAAAAATCCATTTTTTATCCTAGTACATTTTAGATAGTCTTGTTAACTGTTAAATAAAGAGACTAGTTGGCCTTTTTTAAAAAAAAAAAAAAATCAGAACAATTGTCAGAATTAAAAGGAAAAATATGAATGTGTCCCTAGTTCCATAGGACCAAGAATTAAATGCTGCTGTTTTATATAAATATGTTAATTTTTAAGGTTTGACCATCATAATATTATAAGCAAGCAAAGCAAAAAAATACAGTATATGATTATAATTGGTGGTCTTCCAAGTCTTTATCTTTAGCATTTTGATATCCTAACTTAAAACATCAGTGTCTCCATCCAGAGAATCCAAAGCAGAATTTCAAGTTATAATTTATTAGGGCTGATCCTGTCACATGTGCATTGTGACATGAGAAATCAACAAATGTTGGTAGAACCACTGCCTGAATGCACAGGAAAGTCATGTCTAATAGATATATATGCTACAAGGATGAAAATGTTTTTGGCCAACATTAAAAATTCAAGAGACTATAAATATAAGCAGATTGTTGTACTATAATATGTTACAATACATATACCTGGCTCTCTCTCATGCTCTCCACAAGTTCTTTTGCTTGATCCAAAAGATCACTGTGTCACAAATCAAAGGGGGAAATGGTTAAGCAGGTAAATGTTCTTTCTTTGCAGGTAGAAAGATGAATTTTAATCTACAGACTCCAGGCTATTCCAATGTACAAAATGGTCCTTTCTTAAGTGATGTTTTCAGAAGCCAAGAGAAGAGAGAAGGAGTAGGGTGTGCACAGTATTCAGAAAGTCTAAAGGACTTTACTAAAGGAGATGGTGGGATATTTACATTTTCAGACTTGTGGGACTGATGTCAGCCTTCTCAGGTAGAGTAGACAGGAAACATGACCAGACAATATGATTCTACTTTATTGTAATGCTACCTTAACAGGATCTTACAAGTCTGAAAGTACGAATATCCCACCATTTCCTTTACAGACTAAGAACTAAAGAGGGATACAGTGTACTTTATAAATCTCTTTCTCTACCTATTGTGCAGTTGTGGGCTATGCCCTCTTTTATCTGACTATTCCCTCCCCTCATTCCCAAGGTAATTCCTACATAACATTATACTGGAGGTAGTCCTCAGCTTATGACCACAATTGGGATTGGTATTTTGGTTATTAAGTTGTGAAGTTTTAAACTGAGGCAGCCACCTTATGTGACCTAATTTTACAACTATTTTTATGGCAGTCATTAACAAATTACACAGCCGTAAGACTGAATCCATTCTCTTGATTTTTTTTTTATTTTTTTTTTTGCCAAATTACAAATTATGGTCACAGGACTGTGGGAGTCTGCAACCAGCTGTAAATGTGAGCCAGTCGCCAAGCTTCTGAAAAAATAGTAATTGGATGGATGGAGCCAACAGCATGATATTTTATGACAGCCAGAAATGTTTTAAAGCACCTTTTCCTAAGGCAGTTGTAACTCCAAACAGTTACTAAATGACTAGTTGTAAATCAAGTTTCCTTTTTATTAACAATCCTGATTATGAAAAAAAATCAACTGTCATTCTTAATAGCTTAATAATTTTAACCATTTCTTTCCTTTTCCTGTTTTTCCTGTTCAGTTAGCTTCCCTGTAATTATTTTTTAATATAGAATCCTTCTGATAATTTTCTAAAAAAAACAAGCAAACAAAAAGTTACATAGAAATGCAGCAAGTAAATAAATAGGCAATTACTCCAGTTTCAAAAAATATGTCTTTTCTGCACAATTTCCATCTACAGCATCATTCATCACTGCAACAATGACAGTGAACAAGAAGCAGCCCAGTACATAAAAAAAATGAACTTACATAGTTCCATTTGTTGATAAAATCCTACTGTTTATATCCAAGGGAGAGTAATGTTGCACAGAAGGATTAAACATCCTAATAAGAGCTGAAAGATATAAACTTAGTTCAGTTTATTCATAGGCTCTGGAATTGCTTATGCAAACGTGACAATGAAACCACTAGGCAACAAATTAGGGAATTGTTTAAAAAAGGGGATACAGAAGGAAGACTAGAATGGGAACTTTACCATGGCAAGTGGTAATAATATTAATTGTAGTATAATAAAGTAACATTTCCTTTTAGTTGAACTTGAACCCTGAAGACTTCATGGGCACTTCCTTGTAATTTTCCATGAAACTATTCTGGAAATAGTTTGTCATGGTTTTATTCTCAGTCTGCAACCTTATAATTTTCAAATCACCTCTCATTTTAGTACTAACTAAATTTAATTAAGCATAGCTTTTTGAGATTGGCTAAGAATGAGATTTATATTATTTAATGCTAAAAGAAAAAGATTTCACAATAGACAAAATAAGTATAATTGGTTTATATGGATGGAAACTAACCAAAGAGAGAAGCAACCTAGAACTAAGGAAAAACTTCCTGATAATTAGAACAATTAATCAGTGGAATAACCTGCCTCCAGAAGCTATGAATGCTCCAACACTGGAGGTGTTTAAGAAGAGACTGGACAGCCATTTGTCTGGTATAGGGTTTCCTGCCTGAGTAGGGGGTTGGACTAGATGATCTCCAAGGTCCCTTCCAACTTTATCATCATCATCATCATCATCATCATTGGATCATCGCACAGTCAGCCAGATGTTCAGACTGGATTTGGCATTTTGTCTTGCTACCGAGTCCTTACCAAGGACCTGGGATAGGCAGATGTGGATGTTTGATGTTATTACAGATATCGTCACAGGATGGAGGTGGTTCCTAGTAAGGCCAACTTTTGCAATTGACTAATGGTGAATTTGTCAGTGCCAATGGTGTTCAAGTTTTGCTCCAGTTATTATATTATTATTATTATTATTATTATTATTATTATTATTATTATTATTATTGTTGTTGTTGATCATCGCACAGTCAGCCAGATGTTCAGACTGGATTTGGCATTTTGTCTACCTATCGAGTCCTTACCAAGAACCTGGGATAGGCAGATGTGGATGTTTGATGGTATTACAGATATCATCGCAAGATGGAAGCAGTTCCTAGTAAGGCCGCCTTTTGCAATTGACTAATAGCGAATTTGTCAATGCCAATGGTGTTCAAGTGGTGCTCCAGTTTTTTGGGGATTGCACCCAAGGCGCCTATGACTATTGGTACTACCCTTGCTTGCTTTTGCCACAGTCTTTCTATTTCTATTTGTAGGTCTTTGTATTTTGTTATCTTCTCCAGTTTTTTCTCGTCTATTCTGCTGTCTCCAGGCACCGCTACGTCCACTATCCAGACCTTTTTGTCTTTCTTATCGACAATTGTTAAGTCTGGGGTGTTATGTTGCAGGTGCTTGTCTGTTTGAATTCTAAATCATCATCATCATCATCATCATTATTATTATTATTATTATTATTATTATTATTATTATTATACCCAAAACCAGATCATGACTCAGAGGCAACCAAATTAACAAACACCATTTGCATCATACAGATGATACTTAAACAGCAAGGACCATGGCCCAGCAACCACAAACAGCCAATCAAACAGCCCGAAACCAGATCATGATTCAGAAACTCCCAGACAAACAACACCATACCAATTTAAAAGCCAGTGCTCCAACAGACAAGCAAATTCAAAGCGCACTGAAGATGTCCCTCTGAATGGAGACAAAATATTTGCCGCCAAACCGCCAAACTCAGAGATCAAACCTAAAGCCCTGATCACGTCATACTTGAGGGCCCAGTTAAACTAATTTATTGCTTATCATGCTTATCCATCAGAATCTTCTCAACTAACAGTTAACACTTGCTTGGGATTAAATAAGGGTCAGTGGAATTCAAGGAAGGTTGGACTTAGTTTGCTTATGGCTACAAAGGGATTCCAGCCTGGTTGGAGAAGCACCATTCCTCTCTCTCTTTCTCTCTTTCTTTCCTCTCTCTTTCTCTCTTTCTTTCCTCTCTTTCTCTTTCTCTTTCTCTTTCCTCTCTCTCTTCTCTTTCTCTTTCCTCTTTCTCTTCTCTTTCCTCCCTCTTTCTCTTTCTCTTTCCTCTCTTTTCCTGCTTCTCTCTTTCCTCTCTCTTTCTCTTTCCTCTCTCTCTTCTCTCTCTCCCTTTCCTCTCTTTCCCTCTTTCCTCTTTCTCTTTCCTCTCCCCCTGTTTCTCTCTTTCTCTCTCTCTTTCCTCTCTTTTTCTCTCTTTCCTCTCTTTCTCTTTCCTCTCTTTCTTTCTCTCTCTCTTTCTCTGTTTCCTCCCTTTGTCTTTCTCTCTCTTTCCCCTCTCTTTCTCTTTCTCTCTCTCTTTCCTCTCTTTTCCTCTGTTTCTCTCTCTTTCCTCTCTTTCTCTCTCTCTCTTATGGCAGCATTGTCGGGGGTCCCTGCTGTCCCCAGCCCGGCTTCAACCACATCCTCAGCTGAACGGCTGGGGAAGGGGAGTAGGACGGGAGGCAGCGGCTGCAGCGGCCGCTGCTGCATCATCGGGGGTCCCCGCCACCCCCGCGCTGCCCCGCCTTGTCCTCTGTCCATCGATGGAGCCGTGGTGGGTGCTGGTGTCGTGCAGCCCGCCAGCCCCTCTGCCAGCCCGGCTGCTCCCCCCAGGCACCCCTCTTGCCCTGGCGCCTGCCCGAGCCGCCGTGGGGGCAGTAGGAGGAAGGAGGGGAGGAGGATGAGGATGGCAAGGAAGCTGCCGCCACTACTGGGCCCCAGGAGGTGGCTCTCTTCTCCTACCTTTGCTGAAGCTCCTTCTTCCTTCCCGGCAGCCTGGACTCCGGCCGCCTTCCTGGCCAGTGGGTCCAATGGTCAGGCTGGCTAGGGATTGCAGCAGCTGGTCTCCCTTGGGCTGCAGCTTGTGGGAGGGCTGGCCTGCTCAGCAGAGCCTCCAATGGGCCGCTCCCAGCAGGGATTCCGGGGTTTCCCTGGGCGGCTCCAAGGCCATGAGGCCCTGGCCGCGCTTCTCCCAGGGGGTGGGGCACCCAGGCGCAGGGCCAATCAGGAGCCCTGCAGGAGGTAAGTCCACCTGAGAGAGAGAAAGAAGGGAAGCAAAAGTGCCTCTCTCTCTCTCTGCAAATGGTGGAGGAGGCCGTGCAGAGACGGATGCAGAGCGGTGTCTCGGTTCCTAAGACCATCGGAAATATATGTTTTCCGATGGTCTTAGGTGACCCCTGTGAAAGGCTCATTCGACCCCCAAAAGGGTCACGACCCACAGGTTGAAAACCACTGCTCTAGGGAGACTATGACTCTTCCATTTTGAAGATCTAAAAACAAAGAGTGGAGAGATGTTTATTTGAAGTGCTCAAACTCAGGTTCTCAGCTTTTTCCATTGAAGGGATTTTATTGTGCTTAAGATTTTAGTATGTTTAAGTTTGACATTAGCATTTATTTTATATATAGTAACCATTTTATATTGATACTTATAGTGTTATCATGTAATCATTGTTTTGTTATTTTTTAATCATTATTTTGTAGTTAATTGCTTGATCAGATGCTTTATATATATATATTGGAAAAGTAAGGGCTTTATGCTTTAGACATAGGTGATTGCTTATATGAAACGAGCACAGTAAGGGGAGGGGGAAAAGGAGTTACGGATGGAGCCTGGGTTGCTGTGTATGAGTCATCATCTAAGAATTGTTTTTTTGTGCCATCTTATGCCTGGTACCAAGACCTGATCTTTTTGTTCTGGAAAGGTATAAAAGGTGGAACACATCTTTTCTGCTTGCTTGCCTTCATTCCTCTACCCGCCACGAAGAGGAATCAGGCAGCCCCTCTCTATTTTAATTAAAATAAAGTTGTAATCTTTGTTGAAACCTTAGCTCAGGAGTTTCTTTGGCTCTTAAATTCCTGAGTAATGCTGGGGCAATTGGGAGGCTAATTGGAAAACCTTACATCATTATATGAGCTATTCATTGTCATCAAAAGCTTCTACAAACCACCACATAAATAATGGTAAACATTTAAAGTTTCATATCCATTGATCTATGTTTGGATCCCCACCTTCTAACCACACATGGGCAACTGGTTTACCTCTATTTAAATTCACAGAATATTATACTACACAACAAACTACACTACAAGTAATCTAACTCTGAGTATAATGTAAAAGTCATGCATGGGATATATTATTATTACATTGTTATTTTGCTTTTCACAGATTTATTTATTTATTTATTTATTTATTTATGAGACTTATATACCGCTTTAAGTGCAAGCACTCTCTAAGCGGTGTACACCAGTAAGCAATGTATATATATATATATTTACATTGCCCCCAACAATCTGGGTCCTCATTTTACCTACCCCAGAAGGATGGACGGCTGAGTCAACCTTGAGCCGGTGAGATTTGAACCGCTGACCTGCTGAACAGTCAGCTAAAGTGGCCTGCAGTACTGCACTCTAACTGCTGCGCCACCTCGGCTCATCATCTTCATTATGTTTATGGACCACAGTTGAACTATTGGTCTACTGTTAATTTTTTTGCACACAATAAAGGAATGGGTTAGATTATCTACAAGACTGGCATCAGCTTTAACTGTCTAAGATCATGAGGCTAAACAAGATCAAAGTTAAACAAGGAGGAAAAACATTTCCTCCTTCAGGTTAAACAATGAGATCCATTTCCCTTCTTAAAATTTTCTGATCATTGAGTAACAAAATAATTCTGTCAAGAATTTAAGACATACCTGTAAGTATTCTCATGGTTCCCTGAATAAAGTCTTGTTCTGAGCTAAAAATAGAAACATCAATTCATCATTCATTCATACAGAGTAATGGATCCCAGAATATACTAGGCCTCGTCTTTTCCCCTCCCCTCCATTTAATGTCTATATTACCTTTGAAAGCAATTCTCAGTTACTTTGATTGTGGGATGTTTAGCAAAGAAACATCTTTCCTAAAAGGAGTTATTTTTGAGTCCAGCAATTATCTATTTTTTTCTTCTCACTATTAAAATCTTAATTGCTATTATTCAGTATAGAAATGGAAGACAAACTGAGTCAAGGTTGTCAGCCAGTCTGACAGTCAGAAGTTCGAAATTAGAATTCACCCACAAGTCGGAAGTCAGACATTGCTTCCAGCAAAGAGAACAGAGGCAGAGCGGATTCTTATATAAGCTGCAGCCAGCTGTCACTAAGTAGAAGGTCTGCTTCTTTGTTTGATGAGAAGCTGAATAGACCTTTGGTGTTGTGCTCTCCTCTCAAAACATCAGGTACATCATTTGGGAGGCCTTATACCAGTCTACATGACTCCTTCAGATGCTCAAGTGTTGCCTGTGTTTGATCAGCCTCATGTGATTCCTTCTGAGGCTGACATAGCAGATATTCAGTTGGAACTCAGAATCTGAATCCTGAACCTGGGCCATGACACCTCTTTTCCTACTTGTTAATCCACTTAAGAGTGGTGGAATCCAATATGCCAATGTATCCAATATATCCATTAGTGTTCCTGTTCATTATTGGGACAGAAATGAAAGAAATATGATCCTAATATTGCGGTATATATTTGACTATTTAGCTACCCTCTATTGGAACAGCTCACCAGCTGGACTGGTCATATATTTGCTCCATTTACTGGGCCTGCAGAACATGTTGTAATATGGTCTCTCCTACTGTAATATTGTGTTCCTTCTATACTGATTCCTGCCTCAGGCAGATTCTTCTGTTATTATGAAAGGAAAGATCTGGAACTCTACAAAGTACATGAATGAGTAAAACCTAATAAAAGGTACTACCTTTGGAAGAGACCTGCTTGCTCCTTTCCAGAATCTCCCATCTGGAAATAAAGACAAAAAGGAAGACAATGGCCATTTTTTTGTTTGAACTCTTACCTGGGAAGAAAGGGTGAGGAAAGGGAGAAAATCTACACGGAAGGGGAATTCTGTGATGGCAATGAATTCTGTTCCTGCTCCAGTACTGAGATTGGTAACCCAAAAAAAGAAATGAAGAACAAAAAGCAGGCAGAAGAAATGAAAAGAGAATGCCTGTTTGCATCAGAAGAACTGCTGAGATGAAGGAACAATATTTGGTCTCTACTTTTAAAAAAAATGCCTAATGAAGAGAATTTGTAAACTGAATATGAGAATTAAAGCAGAATATATACTAGATGGTGGAATGAAGATTTTCTACCACTTTAATATACAAAAATATTGCAAGTAGAAAAAGAGAATGTATGAAGAAAGGAAAGCATAGGGGAAAGACAGAAAGTTTTAGATGTATGGAACTTGAGTTGTCAATCATTCACCCAAGAGAAAATATTAGACAGATAGAGAAAAATTAGGAATTTTGCAGATCTAGTAGTTGGTAAGAGCATGGCTGCAGGAGCCAACTCATAAGTTGGCAACTTTTCCTTGATTCAACTGACTAGCAGTTTTTATATCTGGTTAAAGATTACTGTACTTCTGCACAATCCCTTTTCAAGATAATTCACTGCTATACTCACATTTCCCAAACTTCCTATAGCAACAGTTACTTGAATGTCTGATGGTCGCAGTGTGTGAACTGAAGAAATAAAACATTGGCTATCAGTTGACCAAGTACAGTAATAATTTTCCTTATCTCTATTTATTTAAATTAAAATAAAGGCAAATCCAAAACATTACAATTACTTTTAAACATGCATATTGCTTTATTCTAAAAGTGGATATATGTATATGTTGTGTTTGTGCACTCCTACACATAGACACTTAAATGCTATGTGCAAAGCAGATAACATTTGATTGAAATAATTCTAACTAATAAGGATGGAATATTTTATCCTAGCTAATAAAACAAAATATAATTAATAACAATCCATTATTTCACTTATTTTCATTTGATCAAAATAGCATTTTCCCCCTGGTGATTTATCTAGGACTTGGATGGCATAAGTAAACTTGACTCCCACATTTTTGTATTCAGTAAGATAACTCTTATCTTTTACTTTGAATATGCTCCTTGGTACCAATACCTGAAGGTGAGGTTTGATGAGTACTTTGTAACTTGTAGTTCCTTGGAGGCTGTAGGAAAAAAATGTGATTGAAAGGACAGTCAGTATGCTAGAATGGACAATCAGATCCACAACACTAAAACAAGAAACTTCATCCATTCTTACAGGAAATATTTTTTGATAGACCATGTCACTAAAACATAAAAAGACTGTTTCTGCAAGGAAATGTCAGTAAAATGACTATCTACATTCTTTATCAAATATAGCAATAGCATTTAAGACTTCTATACCACTTCATAGTGCTTTAGCACTCTCTAAGAGGTTTACAAATTACAATCTAGATCCTCATTTTACTGACCCCAGAAGACTGGAAGGTTGAGTTAACCTTGACCCAGTCAGGATTGAGTTCCTGGCAGTGGACAGAGTTAGCCTGCAATATTGCACTTTAACCACTGCACCACCATGGTTCTTTGCCTGGTGGTGCAGTGGTTATTATCAATATCCTGATATTTTCCAAATAATTTCATTGCTTTCTATGTTTAATGTTTCACTGTTTACTTTACAAAGGCAGTTTGGGGCTTTTACCCTCCAATCTATGTTTTGTTCATACTAATGTATCAGACAGCCTATAGTAATCTTAACCACCCTTTAGAAGAGTTTGGAGACTCCTTGGAAAAAAAGAAAATCTGAAGTCTTAAAATTAGAATTAATACTTCCATAATCTACAGTATATGTGGATCTCTCTTAAGTATTCAGGAACAGCTACAGCATGGAGTTGCTATTCTAAGCACAGTGAAAATTCTGATTCTCTTCACCAATCAAGATCTGACATTGGAGCCTAAATAGAAAAGGTCCACCTAAACAACTTTGATATCTGAGATGAGAAAGATATTGTGGCTCTCTTGATTTCATATACTAATTAGATTACCAACTGGATCTATCTTTAACACGGATAGTTGGCTATTATTTTCCATTGTTGCTGAACTAGCAAACTATTTTTTTTTTTGGTCTCAGACTTGTTGGCTGTGTACTTAATTAAACAAAGTAGGGCAACCAGAAAATCCAGAACCAAATATGAACATGCCACCCCATTGCCTTCCATTACTTTTTGATTTACCCTACATCAGACATGTCAAACTCACAATGTCACATGACATCGCACAACGTATCGGAAGTTTTCCCCCATTGCTGGCAATGGTTTCCTTGTGACGTGTCTGACCCATGGGCCAGCAGTTTGACACCTTTGCCCTACATAATGATGCACCTGCTTTGAGTGGGAGAAACTGTGATACACATACCTGCCTTACAACACTAAACTAGCTTGCTCTGCTTAATTAGTAGAAGCTAATAAAAACAAATTAAATTCACCTGCCAGGCCAATCAGATTCAATAACTGGAAAGCTAGAGACCTGAGTATACTGTCTTTTCTAGATTTATGCATGTGCTCTCCCAGTCAAAAATTGCCATATCCAAATGGGAGGTCATGTTTGAGAGATGTCGCACTTCCCTTTTCATCTTGCAATTGTGAAGAAACAATGACTTACATCCAGTTCCATTTCTTCTTTCATTTTATTCTTGGCTGTCAGAATATGAGCTGCAGTCCCTTTAAGAAAAAATGTGTTTGTTTAATTTATTTCCTTGTTGCACTGACTTTCTTTTGATTCCTAGCGATTGAGTCGTATGATCATTTTATGCCTAGAGTGTAAATGTTCAGTTTCTATAGAAATGATAAGACAGGTTTCAACAGATGCACTAGCTAATGATTGGATTATGGATTCTTAAAAATGCTTCCAATAACATCATCTAATTAAAATATAAAACAATTACATAAAAAGTATTACTGGAACTAGCATTTGATCTTATTGCTCTTTCTCATAAGAGAATGCCTAAAAATAGAGGTTGCCTACAACAAAAATTTTGAAATTCAGTTATTATGAACTTCTCTCAAACTCGTAATTACAGAACTTTTTCTGCATTTCATTCCAACAGCAGTTAGCGATGCAAAATCATGATGGGGAAATCATCTCTCTCAGGAAACTACACTTCATAACTATCAATCCTATGTTCCTACATTTGTCATCAGCACAAAACACAACACATATATCTATCTTGGCATTATAACATAACATAACATAACATAACATAACATAACATCAAAGATATGTTCTATTTCACCATCCTAGATTTGCTTTAGTTATGTTTTCTCTGCTTCAGAATGTAGAACTAGTGCTTTTTTTGTAAGAAAAAAGGTGCCAGAACTCACATCTTGTTAATTTATATATGTGCTGGAACACTGTTCTGGTGCGTTCTATGGCAAAAAAAGCACTGTGTAGAACCATTCACAGAGATGTCCTAATCAGCCTTGGTTTTCAGTTAAGTTGCTGAAATGAATCCCTGCTTGAAGTATGTCTGGAAAGTTTTCAAAGGAAAAGTGCCTTACCTAAGAAAAAGGGCAGCCATAGGGAGAACAACAGCTTCTTCATGCTTTGCTCCTTTTTGAATAAATGCGTTTGGAAAGATGTTAGCTTTGCTTTACCAAATGACAATTCTGTGGTCAAGAAACTGCCTTCTCCTCTGAAGTTTTTATAACCAGGTGAGAAGATAATTTAGCTGTCATAAAATTTATTGCCCTTTTCTCATTTGAAAATGCAGCTTTTAAAAGTGAAGTGATAAAATATTAACATTTTGATGCCCCAGCATCAAAGAAGAGTCTTATGTACTTTATAGTCATTTCTTAAAGAAAGAATAAAAAGGCGCAATTACTCTTTAAATAAGCAACCTACGATACTTTGTAATTTCCCATTTTATATATGTTTATTATGGGAAATCTGATCAAAGAAGCCTTGTTTCCTCAGTGTATGTTTCCTTAGTCATTTATATTTACAATCTTCTGCTTTATAATGTCATATAATTACAAAACTAGAAATTACATTTCTATGTCTCCTGAGAATTTAAAGAAAAGGAAAACCTGTATGATATATCTGTAGATATCAAGATACAGATTTCTGTAGATCTACCTATTTAGATTTACAGCTAAATTCTTGGAAAGTTTGCACTGTTTATGTGAATTATGGATGGAATCTAAGTTCTTAGACATAGCCACTCCAGACTTTCAGATTAAGCCTTGCTTCCTATGTTATCATCCATGCAATTATTAACTCCCATCTTCTGAGATTGGTCAAAACTGGCTATGTACTTCCATTTAGTTGGGAAACAGTTATTTTTTTCCAGAGTCTCAGAGAAATGATAACAGTTTACTCCTTGGGGGTTGCCTTTGAGTCTTAAATTTGAAAGAGGGGAGATATTTTACAACTACACCATAAAGTGAATATTGGTGATATGCATATAGCTTCAATATACTAAAAATATGGTATTGTAAGTGTAATTATTGCAAACTATAAATCTGTGCAAATGTATCAGTTGTGTGGAACATATGGATAAAATTATTTTTACACTTCTTTCTTGTATGCTAAATTGGATTATTAGTCATTGTTGATTTTGTTTTCCAGTCTTATATCAGTCTTTCATATTGGAGTATAGAGAAAATATAGTATATGGAGAATTTATATGAAAAATTCATAGCTAAGGAATATATGAAGAAAATGTATGAAGAATTTATGTAGAGAAAATACATGAAATTGAGAAGATAAAATCAAGATTTGGGGAGGAGTAAGTCATCTTAATACATTTCTTTTTTTTAATAAGGTCCATAGATAATCTCACAAGATCAGTTTTTCTGTTAACTCTTCTATAGCTTTCCTTAGGCTGGTAGGTTTTGTAAGTATTGACATTTTCCTATTTTTTTTACCTCCATAACGAAGAGCATAAAATGTCTCATGCACACAACAGATATCTAAGTAATACATTTCCCTAAATACAAGGGCCATTTCTTTTAGACCAGGGGTTTCAAACTCTCAATGTCATGTGACATGTCATGACGCATAGCAACTTTTTTCCCATTGCCGGCAATGGGGTGGATGCGATTTCACTATGATGCCTCCGGTCTATGGGCCGGTAATTTGACACCCGTTTTAGACCATCATAAAACAAAACTCACCTACTTTTCCTAGTTGTAGGAAGAGAGTAAATACATTCAGGGGAAGTGGGAAAATAAATAAAGTATCTTGGGAGAAAGTAACTATTCTTCTTCAATAATTTTTGTCAGGAAATTGATACTTTTTAAAGCAAATGTTTCAAGAATAGTTACTATACATATTTTAATTTATTAATAGCAATTTTATAAAAGCCTGGCTATTAAAGTATTTCACAGATGAAGACAAAATCAAGCATATAAAATATGCCAAAGTACTCAAGTTAGTGGCTATAACCATAGGTTTAAAATCCCCTCCCCTTTTTTATATACACTGTGGCTGCTGTCTTGAATTTTTAGACTTTTCTTTACAGAAATCCTTGCAGGCAGCTAATTTGGGGCATTATGAATGGTTAGCAAATTTAATTCATCATTTTTCACTATTTTTTTCCTGAGGATTTCCATTTAACTTTGCTTAAACAGTAGCCAAACAGCCCCACTAAATTAATTCATTTACTATTTAATGCTTAAGTACAGCTTCTTCTCAACATTCACCTGAGATTTGTACAAGTTGCACTGTATATTTGACAACAGACACAGGAAGTGTCAGGAGCTGAGTAACACAATAAAAATGGCACAATAATAGTGTGGGCATTTCCTACTTCATGGTTTCCAGAAACAGCACTTCTGAGAAAAGAACCTAAGAAATAGAAAAGATCCTAGTAAGATAATATTTCAAAATATAGGGTTTAAAGCCTAACAGAATTCAGTGACAACATTGGAATATAGCATCAGCCCTCACAAGGGCTTAAATATAACACAAAGTGAGTGAGCCTTTGCAGTATTCACTCCCTTAATTCATCTTAAAAAAGAAAATCCCATTTATTAGAGAGGAGTTACTGTTACAGGTAATCCTTGACTTCTGATCACAATTGAACCCAATTTTTCTACTGCTAAGTGAGACATTTGTTAAGTGAGTTTTGCCCCATTTTGCTACCTTTCTTGACACAGTTGTTAAGTGAATGATTGCAGCTGTTAGTAACACAGCGGTTAAATGAATATGGCTTCTCCATTGACTTTGACTATCAGAAAGTTGCAAAAGGTGATCACATGATCCTGGGACAGTACAACCGTCATATGTAGGAGTTAGTTGTCAAGTGAATTTTGATCATGTGATCATGGGGATGCTGCAATGGTTTTAAGTATGAAAAACAGTCATAAGTTACTTTTTTGAGTGCCATTGTAACTTTGAATGGCCACTAAACAAACTGTTGTATTTGAAAGAAAGAGCCATTTTATAGTCCTGAAAATATGAATTTAAGTGCTCCAAACCTCAGAGTGGTCTGTGCTTTGGAATCTGGAATGTTGCAGTAGCGCCTTTTTTTAAAAAAACACAGCTTTTGCTGATATTGGCCGTATGTTCCCATTTCCTCACTCCCTCTATCCCCACTATTTCTTTCCTTTGCCATTCATGGGCTCCCATGGTTTTAGTAGAATGGGCGAAGAATGAGGGTGAAGGAGATGGCAGCTCCCTCTTGGCTCCCGAGAGCCTCTTTTGGCCATTAGAGCAAATGGTGAGACAGATGAGGGAGCTTCACTCAATACCAGGAGCCTGTTTGCAAGGTGAATCTGTTTCTCACCTCACCAGTTCTCCCCTGACCATCTCTTCCTTCTCTCTTTTTCTTTTCCAGATGTAGCTTAGATGGAATTGAAACTCTCCAGTTCTAGGTAGTTCTTAATACATTTACTTTTTACTTGGAAAATAATGGAGATATGCTAGAATGCTGTGACATACTTTGCATACAAGGCAACTATTATCATGCACCTTTTTATACTTATATGCTATTACTTAATTACTCACTATTCTTTTAGCACTCCATATATGCTCCAAATATGCCGTATTCTAATTTCCTACAATCAAGAAAGCTAAGAAACCAAAAGGAAAACTGGGTAAAAAAATAGGTCATATTAAAATATCAACAGTTCTTGTGACCCCTGTAAATTTACTTATAAAAATGAGATCTAGTAAAGAGCTGCCCAGTTGGCATAGTTCTCTGATGAGAATCAAGAACAGCCAAATCCAGATGAATACTGAATCCAGTGTCAAACTGCTTCAGAAAAAGTCACTGGGTGACCAAAGAAAAGCAGGATTTTCTCCAAAGAAATCCGAACAAAATCTGGGTTTCTCCAGTGCTTCAGGAGCATTTTGAAATGTTATATAGGGCTACACAATACCTACCTTGTAAAGCATTATTTCAAGTAAAACTGGACTCTTCTCCTTCCTCTCCTTCTTCAAATCATCACAATCCTCTATCTGCTTTCAGATGTGGCACTCCAGAGCCTTGGCACACTGATTTTAATTCCAACGTCCAAAAAAAGGGGGAAACATGCAATGTTAAAACTGCCATTTTAAGGCTACGTTTTAGCAGCACAAATCAAAAAGTCCTTGTGGATGCCAAAATGTCCTGGGAGACTGCTGCTTGCTCACCCTTATTTTATAGGTGGAACATCCTATAAAATAAATTCAAATGTTGACAATCCCTCTCTATAAATCTCTCTCTCTTCCTCCCACTCAGTTTCAAAAGCAGTGAATAATGGAAACCGGGTTGTGCTACAATGACCCAAGCTCTGATATTTTTGCATATGCTTCATAATATCACTCACAGGCACAAAAGGGGAGGGACTTGTGTCACAACAGCATATCACTGCTTTTGTCAATTTAACAAATGCTTCAGATGTGGTGGACAGTTGTAGTTGATGCCTGAATTGCTGATGGTTTCCCAGTCTTCAAGAATCTGGCAGAAATCTGGAGAAACTGCTATCAGTGAGGGAAGAATGGCTGCCTACCCAGCTATATGCTGGATCTACCACACATAGTTGGACTTAAATCACCCATTCTGCCACTACTCTCATACAAACCTTTTACCCAAAATGCTGGTAGCAGAAGATAATAGATGTCCTGATTAAAGAGAGAATAGCTATCTAGGACATCTTGCCAGGCAGCTTTTTTTCAGATTTATAAAGGCTGAGGTCAATCACTCACCACTCTAGTTCCAGGAAGCTGAATACAACATTTATATGGTACCTCCCATTCTACCTCCCACAACAGACATGCTGAACTTCATGGCTGAGGGAAGATATGAACCAGTGTTTCCATGTAAACGCAGCGAAGTCAGGTCCCAAGAATGAAGGACATGTAATGATTCTTCTAAGCAAATGTCTTTATTGTTACCCAATATAGACAGAATCTTGCCAAACTATAGCAGTCTGCTATCTATACTCAGAGCATCTGAAGGCAGGACAAGGGGCAACGGATGGAGGCTTATCAAAGAGAGATCCAGCTTAGAACTAAGGAGAAATTTCCTGACAGTGAGAACAATTAATCAGTGGAACGGCTCACCTTCAGAAGTTGTGGATGCTCCATCCCTGGAAATTTTTAAGAAGAGATTGGACAAATATTTGTCTGACATGGTATAGAGTCTCCTGATGGAGCAGGGCGGTGGTCTAGAAGACCTCCAAGGTCTTTCAACTCTGTTATTCTGTTAGCTATAAGGGAGGAACTGTCTTCACCCCTTTTTTCTCACACAAACTATCTGAACTGAGTTGTCTCTTACTCCTCCGGAATGTATCCCCCTTCCTCCTGGGAATGCAGCCCATTACATTCCATCAGAAGCACACTGTCTCAACTTGAACCTTTAAGCAAGAACGATCCTTGACTCCATTTGTTGAGAAAGGTATAGTTTACTAAAGGTCAAGTGAAATACAGTAGAGCAATGCCAGAACTGAAATTTATGCACCAAATTCCCCAAGTCTTTTCCCTTCTTAGGTACTTCCCATTTCTGGTCCCCTATCATCCAATCATATTCAAAGTGTGGGCTGGTATGTAGCTACTTTCCATTCCCTACTGTCTGACCTTGAAGCTCTGTCTCAGGAAGATCCAATGAAGAGTGAAGCTTCCCCTCCTCCCGTCCAGCTTTCCCCTTCCTCCCCCAGAGTTCATGGCAGACTGGTATCCAGTGATAGCAAAGCACCAATGTGAGATGGCAGTTCTGACATTCTGTCCCCCTTGAAAAAAAGAGCTAAACCTCACACAGCACAATTTAAGTCCTCCTTTCAGGATGTTAACTGTAAGGTTTGTTGTATCCAAAATATATCATATTTGGGTGTTTTAGAGAGATCTGTCCTAATTGCCACTGTGAATTTCTAAAAATGATTTATTTTTTTGTTTGTCTTCCTCTATCAAAAACAAAAAACAAAAACCATCCCTTGTGCAAAACAGAAGGGAATACTTAAAGTACTCTGCTGCCACCTGCTGCACATGATAAAAAAATCACAAGAATCTCAAAAAGTTGAATGCATTTCATTATGACAGCACTTTGCATCCATAATTGAAGAAAAAAAATAATACTTCCTATTGCCACCAGCTGCATCCTTTGCAATAGGTGATTGAGAAAAGAAGAGGAGCATTAATAGGTCATTGAGTTGACCAATGTGGAGATAGAAAAATCAACCAGTCTTTCTCTCCCCGCTTGCTATTTTCTTGCTGCATTTGCTTTCATGTCTTCTAATGTTCCTATCTAATAAATGGAGGCTGACAAGACAAAGCAGTACTTCCGTCTTAAAAAAGACGGGGAAATCACGAGAATAGGATATGAATATTCAAGAAAATGGATATTGCTTGTCAACAGGAAACTGCCCCACCCCACTGGTTAGATTTAACCAGTTCTGCTTGCAAAGCCCTAGGAAGATCTATGGCATCATGGTTAATGTGAGTGAGTGCTGTCGATGATTCTTTCATACAAAAATTCATACACAAACCTAATTGATTATTATATGCCATAAAGTCAATGTTGACTCTTAGAGACCAAATGGATAGATTTTTTTTCTCCATGATGATTGGACCCTAACCTGATCGTTCAGCTTTACCCATGGTGCCCCCTTGGCTACTGTAACTGAGCCTGTCCATCACCCTCTTCTTCTGTTTGCTTACAAACACTTAAGGCATCCAGATTATTTTTGAAACCATTGTGTCCAAGAGATAGTCTTCTCCCATTGCTTAGCTGTAGTGATCTTCACCCATCCTTTTGTCAGCAAAAAAAAAAAAACTACACCAGGTTACAATTGTCAATCCCTCTCCTGCCTCTGTTGCCCCTGTTTCCAGTCATTGTATGTTGTCCTGAACCATAACAAAAGGAAAAATACTGCACCAATATGGTTTGAAGCTGCCTAATTCATACGGTAGGGAGGAAGTAATGTCATGGGACCTGGCCAAAATAAAATGCTGCCAAGCATGCTTTTGCTTTGGTGGTTTGAGCCTGGGACGTGGTCCTTGGGCTATACTTCTGATATGCATACCACTGAGCAGTTTTATAATTCAAGCAAGTTTCCAAAGGCTTGTTCCATCTCTAAGGAGTCCAACAAGAAGGAAGGAAGGAAGGAAGAAGGGACCAAAATATATTATAGTACATATTAAAAATATCATTCAACCTAAATTAAAATAACTCATTAAACAATGATACATGAAATATTAATTAGTCTCTCGACTGCATTGACAGAATATCCATTCATAAACAGGAAGTCAATATATACTTGTAATTCTAGAGTAATTATCTTTCCAGCTCTACGTAACTATTCATAATTCTTCATATCATGATCCATTCTATATTTTTGATATATAATTCAAAAACATAATTGCATCTTTAAGCAACAATGATCTCTATAGTAGGGCTTTTCAACTTTTTCATAGATTGTACCACTTTTAGGACATGACAATATTCGAGTACCACCAGTGCTTAGCAAGGTGTCAAAAACCTGATGACAAAAAAGGGGGGGATTTTGGGCTTTACTAGTTAGATTCATTTGTTGTTATAGAAATGGCTATTTTATAATATTATGGAAAAGTTGAGGTTCAATGTTAATGCTTCCATCCTAGTGCAACAGTGGAACTCAAAAGTCAATGCCTTTTCTTTTTCCCTTCTCCCCCTCACTTTTCCCTTTTTCTCTCACCCTTCGCTCGCAAGCTCCCCCTTACCCTTTGCTAGCAAAAGCCTCTCTCTTTCTCTCATTCACTCACACATTGCTCGCAAAAACTTCTCTCTCGCTCTTTCATTCACACGTTGCTCGCACAAGCTTCTCTCTCGCTCTTTCATTCACCCTTCGCTCGCAAAGGCTCTCCCTCGCTCTCTCCTCACTGCTTCACTAACAAAAGCATCTTCTATTCTCTCTTTTTCTCGGTGTGTTTTTTTTTCTCTCCTGCCAAAATCTGCTCCTTTTATAACTTCTCCTCTCTCTGCCCTCCTCCTCCTTTTCTCTTCCAGGTGCATTGGAAACTCCAACCAGAATGCAGCCACACGCGCAAATCCTGGGGCTTCTGCTGAGCTCTGCAGCTCCAGCTGATCTCCTCCAGGCCTGCACGGCAGTACTTTAGCTCATTCCCTCCCCTGCTACACTTGGCTAGAGATCGCATACCACCTGCCAAGTGCTAAAGTACCACCGATGGTATGCATAGCACCGGTTGAAAAGCCCTGCTCTATAGTATCATATTCCAAATGTTGCAAATACTAAACCAAAATTATATTAATTGAACAAACTCACATTATGTCTGTGAGTGTTCCTCATCTATACTGCATTTTTAATACAAAGGAGTTGGTAACCAGCTTTTTTGGAACATTTTCTGTGGAATATAATAGACACACAAAAGAAGTTTATGTTGAATTAGTTTCACTGTATGATCAAAAGAGATATATTTAATAGATGTGAAGAACCTTTGTTATTGAAGGCAAAAGGAGAAAGGGGCGGCAGAAGAGATAGGCATGAGTTTGGGCAAACTTACGGAGATAATGGAGGATGGGGGGCTTGGTGTGCTATGATCCATGGGGTTGCAAAGAGTCAGACATGACTTAGCAACTAAACAACAACAACAAAACCTTTGCTACTGAATAATTAGTATAGCATATCCAGTTCTTTGTTCCATAGTTCTTAAAAATAATGAATTTCTACCTTATAAATAAACTTCAGTTGTTTTTATTGAAATGTGATGTAAGGTTAAATATAACTACAACACATTTTAGAAGGAATTATAATTCAAGAAATGCATCTGAACCAAACTGCAAATGCAACAGGTGTTTTAACTGAATATTTTGACCCTTTGCCATTTAAATTCCTCTCGTAATAAAGAATGTGATTAAAAAAATGATTTATATTATATCATTTAAAAGAGTGGCAGAGTGGTATATTGGTTAAGGCATCAGGCTAGAAATCCTGAGACCATGAGCTATAATCCCAGTTTAGGCAAAAAGCCAGCAGGATGATCTTAGGCTAGTCACTTTCAATCCCAGGAAGGAGGCAAGGATAAACCACTGCTCAAAAAAATCATTGTCAAGAAAATTTCAGGGATTTTGTCCAGGCAGTGTCCAAGAATCAGAACTAATTCAATGGAAGGAAAAAAATGTATTTCAAACAAAGAATAATAG